TGGCCAGGTAGCCTCTGAAAAAGGGTTACGTAGACCACTAGTGGGTCATACCTGGTAAAATAAAAATACTTTATAGTTCAATCGTTTTTTTATAGTTTATACTTTCTTTGCCGCTCATTGAGCTCGACTATCCTATCATTTAAGGAATTGATTGCTCTCCTGACTATCGGTTTGATTACTCGAATAATTGGATAAGACACAGGGGTTGGGGGGGGGTGGGAAATAAGTCTCACCTCTGTCCCCAAGTGCGCCGCTGTACGGGAGACGCTGGGTGGGGCTTGGTAACGTTATTCGTACCATAGGCAACATCACGCTCGCCTGTGGATTGTTAGGGTTGTTTCCCGCACTCAATATTCAACTCCAAAAGTAATTCGCCAAAGGAGCGATCGTGCTTAAGCGGGACAACCACCATAGGGAGCGAGTGATGATCATTCAGAATCAGAATCTTTATTTAACCTGGAGGAATCAGATGACCAATGAAGCTCTTTTTCACAGATGTCCAGTAGGGGCGGGTCTGCGAGTTACAATTCCTTATGCTGTGGTTGGATGTATTGCAGCATTGCAATTACTGTGAAGGATTTCGAGGCCATCATCCAACAGTGGATAGAAAAGGCTGATGATGATGTAATGCGGTTGCTGCGTCATTAAAATGCACGACCAATGCATTTGGTGCGCTGTTGTTTCCCGTGGTGACCAAACCTGAACGCTGCCCTTGGCCTGCGCAGGTGGAGATTCACTTCCCGCAACCAACTTCCGATGACCCAGACCTTGTGACTGTGACCGGTCTGCCTGAGAACGTCGACAACGCCGTGGACTACCTACTCAACCTCGAGGAGGAGTATGTAAGTCCTCGCATGAAGGTCCACGCGTCGCAAACGTCTCTTGGGGCAGGAAGAACCGTCGGGTATTTATCGTCAACGTTTAACGTTAACATTTTGATTGTGGTGTTGTTCCCCCCCCCACCCCTTGTCCGACAGTGCTGAATGATTATATTGTATTTCTAACATTTATATCCGAGCTGGCATGTGGATGAACCGTGCAGGGATGTCCTATTGTTGTATCTCATCAGGACGCTTGGGTGAATGGTCTCCACCATAGGGATGCGGAGGTTTTACGCAACTTTAGTTTAGCAGTGCCAACAGATGAGCATCGGGAATGGTGGTTAATATTCGAAGTTGAAGCATTTGTAGAGCAGTGTTTAATTGGCTCTACTGAATTTGCGATGGAGCGATGATGGTTGTTAAATTACATTGACAAGTGTTACTTCCAAAGCACAGTGACTGAATATTAAACTTAGAAGTGTGCTGGCTCAGAAAATACTTTACGAAAAGCATTCCTCTCCTAGAGTTGGTGCCAACAAGTTAGATGAAAACAGACCATTTCTAGCAACAAAGTCATTTGTCAACACAAGGGAAAAAGTCTGACCGTAAATATTTCTGAGACTCGTATTTAGTTTAGCTATAAAAAAACCTGACCCCTTTCATGTGGATATTTAATACAAATTATGCATACATTAGATTCGATTGTTTTCAATAAATGCCTATATAGTCTCAATTGGTAAAACTGGTTAACTAAATTAAATGTCACCAACATTAAAGAGAACTGTACATGGCTACTCATCCAGGAGAAGTCTGAACTATTGAGCATTGGTGGCTATAATTTACAAAGAGTACTGATGTATTCTAATGATAATGAAACCGGTCTATTTGTCTAACACTGCATCACTGCTGCCTGTCACTCAATCACATTTGCTCAAATTTATTTCAATGGTGACATAACACACGAGGACCACAATGCACCTCATCATAAAATGGTGTTATTCTTTGGGTTTTTTTCCGGTAAAGTCACGTAGGTAAGAAATCAAATCAAATAAATGAAAACAACTACATTTTTATTTATTTGATTAGATTTTTTACCTACGTGACTTTCCTGAAGAAAAAAAATCAAAGAGTATGAATCCTTGCAGTCACGAAAGCTTCAAATCTATAATGAATGGTATTATTTTTGCATGAAGCTCAGAAGCGCAGTGCTTTTTGTTACATGTTTTTGTGTGTTCGAAACCATTATTGATAAATTCGTTGGCTCTCCATCCATCGTGCTTTCAGGATAGATAAAATTAGGGACCAGTTTTGTAAGATGTCTTTTGAGCCAGAATATTTAACCTGAACCACCCTGGAGCTAAGAAGTTATCGCAGTCCCCGCGTGGTGCTTGGGATTCGGGAAGTTTTTTTTGGACGAGTGCTGACTTGGAATATTCGCTGCGTGTCGTTCTCAGCTGATGGATGTCTCGGAGAGTGAAGAGGCGCAGTCTTACGTGAAGCCGTCTCGCCACGTCGAGGCCCCCAAGCCTCCTGCCAAGGGCTTCGTGGTGCGGGATGCCCCATGGGACCAGTCGGCCTCACAGGTCAGTGTTTTGCACATATGGCCCCATTCTGCTTCTTCTTGTTTTAAAAAGAAAAAACACTTACCGATAAAACCTAATGACATTGATCCTTCGTGGAGAAAGTGACCGCTGAAAACTGTTTTCGTCATTCGCTGACTTGTGGTGGGCATGTTGTGGTGTGTGGCTTTAGGCTCCTGACATGACCAGTTCCGAAGAGTTCCCAAGCTTTGGTGCCGCCATCGCTCCCCCCAAGTCTACCGTGTGGGGACCAAAAAAATTCTAAACATTGAGATTGCTTGTGGCAACCCTCACAGTCAGCCATTGTCGTGTTTCACCCCCCCCTCCATCCCCCAGATCCCTGCCGACCCCCCCCCTTCCCCATCCTCTACCATTTGCTTGGGGACTAGCTTATTCCTTTCAAGACCCCTCTTACGATTGCTTAAATCTTGAACAATTGATTGGTTGGCAGACACATGAAATAACTCTCTTTACCCCCGTTTGACCAGTTTCTTGATCGCCTTGCCCCAGTTGGCATATCTATTCAATTGGCCGAAAAGTTGGTTCTGTTTTATTTTCAAGAACGAGAAGCAAGGCCATTCACTGCCACAGTGTGTGGGTGTACCTTGTGAGCGTAGCATGTTTTGAGCCTATGATCTTCCATCTTCCCCACCGAGTGTTTACTCCCAGTGCGTAATTTACCCTCACTACTGTGATTAAAGCAGAACGGCTACAGCAGACACGTCTTATGACGGAAGATGAAATGAAAAAGATAAATCATGCGGAGTGAGTGGGCACAACACTAAAAGCAAAAGTTGCAATCATGTCAATGTCCTTTCATTGAAATGTATTTTGGGATTATGTGAATGTTTTGTCCTTTTACTTATAAAAAAAAAACATGTAATGTAAGGAGAAGAACATAAATTCCAGTAGCCTTAAACCTGAAGTGAGACGTTGTTGGAAATATGCACAATAATAAAAAAAAAGCTAAAAAAATTAAAAAGTATTTCTGTATGAAAAAATACTTCAAAATACTATTAAAAGTACAATTAGAGAAGCGCTTGTGTCTTGTCATCAGTGCCCCGCCACTATACATGAACACACACACGTTAAGATGTTTAAAATATATTTGATATTCCTACAGCTTGGTGATTAGTGGCAATTGCCACTAATTTGTGCATGGGGTGTGTGGTGAGCTCGATACCAGGACTTATTCGAGTATTGCTGTATTTTAAATTTTTATGGAATTGGATGTTTCTGACCATCAAAATAGAAAACGGCTGTTTCCACCATAATACGTGTGCCTCATCTGATTGGATGAGAACTCGTGCTGTCCATGATGCCAGCCAGTTCAGATTGTAACTTGAGCAGGTTACCAGTGGACAACTTAACCCTACTTGTGTTGGCAGTCCAGAGTTGGTGGCGCAATTCCAAGTGGCATCAAAGCCTCACCATTTGGCTGCCTTTTGGTGAAACGTGTCAACTTCCATAAAGCACACTCAACTCCTCTTAGCCCGCACAGACATGGGGTACATCTTCACATTTTCTTTCTCATTCGTGCGAAGGAGGGAAGAAAAATATTATTTGCTATGCTGAATTTGCAACCACTTCTAGGTCCATTTCATCGCATAACAATAGTTTTTACCCTTTCTGGCAATCAAATCCATTTTTCAAGGAATTTTGTCTGCATTAACCACACGTGATTGTGAACATGCAAACAAAAAACACACTCTGATATGCATTGACTGATAATATACATAATAGCATATGTTATTCATATATATATATATGATATATTTGCATATAATATGCATTTATTATCAGAGCATGTGTTTTGTATCCATGTTCAAAAACATGCTTTTACAATATATGCATTGTCTGATAATGATATGCATAATATATAAATATATTATCAGAGCATGTTTTTTTTTGCATGTTCACAAGTACGTGTGGGTAATGTAGACGGATTCCGTTCAAGTAGATTCTGTTTGGTGTTTTAACGTCTTCACACCTGTTTTATTGCCAGAAAGGGTAAAACCTATTGTTATATTTTGTGGGCAAGCATGGCCGATAAAAATTGGCGTGTGGTGTGTGATAATTGTGGAAGCCACTGGAGCTATATGCACTTTCACATTTTTATTGAAAACCTCATTTCTTCAGAACTAAATTTTTGTGTTTAGCTTGTCCCCCCACCCCTCGCCTCCAATTAGCATGGTTGGCTACGTACGGTGCGAAAGAAGTTCAATGTACACAAGGTTAAGCCCTAAAGACTGCAATGCTGGTGTCTAGATAAACTTAACAATGGAACATGGTTCATAACATGGCCACGTGCACACTCCACATGCTTGGAAATTACAATTCGTCATTAGATCAGAAGTTGCCCAGCAAATACTAAAGCTGGAGCCTATACAAGATTATTCAAATATATGCTTCAACAAGCGATGTATGTAGTAGGGCGAATCATGCAATGGATGTGGAGAAGCCTAAATTATGAAATTAACTGAAATTTAATTTGATACTAACAGATACACCCCAGGGTGGTCTTACAGGTATCGTTGAACAACAAAAAAACAACACTGATATGCGCGGACACTTTAGACATCGTAACATTGCATTTATTTCATGCACACACAAGGCAATTCTCAAAGCGTAAAATTGTGGTTTTACATGTCAAACATGCGTATGTTAGTTACAATGCCGCCGTATGCAAACCACCCTTATCATTTGCATCGCGTTAGAAACTAAAAAGTGCTTTTTGTTGCCGACCATCGCGGATTTATGTCTAAAGCTTCAAGATAAAAAAAAAACCACCAGTGATCTACTATAATAATTTGGCCAATTTACATTGCATCAATGTTTTGCATGCTTATAGGAAACGGCCGTTCTTTAAAATGTACATATCGCGGATATTACGTAGCAATTTACAGTCGCGTTTTATTCAACAGAGTAAACGTTTCGCTGTGCACATTCCGTATGACGGCGCTAATGCGAACGTGCCCAAAAATGAGAAATGTGTGTCCAACGTTTAGTCCGTCTCGTGCGAAAGGTCCTGATTGTTGCCCATCTCCATACCTAATATTACAAAGCATAAAAAACACGATTTCATCATTTAAGTTCTCCGACGACGTCCGTTATTTACGTCGTAACCCCGGTTAGTGCATGTCTTTTGTTATTGCAGCATTCGTTTTGCGCACGTGCAATTTAGAATGATGACCAGCATGCCGCTTGCATAGATATCCCAGCATACTTCCATGTTCGAATTTGTATATATACAAGTATACTGCGCGATGACGCGCCTTCTGCGTCTGTTCTCACGAGGCTAACACTCGTTGCTGTGCACATTGCCCCGTTATTTCGCTGCGTAGATTATGGATTAGCGGGTTGTTCTACCTCCTTGAGAGGTGATGCATGCATGGAAAGGCATGGGGGCGGGCTAGGTTTGGTTACCGAACCTTTAGTGTGCTTGTCACTGAATCAAGTTGCCCACAAGCGTGATTCCGTTTCAACTTGGCAAGATCGGGAGGCCGTTAAAGAAGAGTTGTTGGCTTTTCCGACGTGAAATGGACGTTGACGTTCCCTTGCAACTTGGTCTGAACGCGAAGACCGTCGTTTGCCCAGAATAATAACCACAAACTCAACATGGTAAATTACCTGCAGTTAAGTTGCGTAAAAAGCTAATATTTTAGAATACATATGGATGTTAACGTCTCCTTTACAAAATATAGTGAATCTCAATGACCGTGCAACCTGGTTAACATTTCGTAAAAGATACCCCAGGGAAACCTGATGTTGCATAGTCCTGCATTTTGCCAACCCTTGTAAGCCACCACAAAAATAAATTGTCATACTTGGTAAGTTAGGAGGAAGAGCGAAATGTCTTAAAAGATCCTTAAATGAATTTCATTGTTTTCATTATTAGTTTTGTTACAGCAGGAATTAGTTTACAAGTGTGGGCTTTCTTACTGACATCTTATGCATCATTATAATTGCTATAAACTATACGCTAAATAAAACATACCGGGTAAGGCCCACTGAACTATATAGATTTTTTTCAAAAGCGACCTAGCCACATGATAGTCGAAGTGCCTTATGTGGAAATGTATAACAGCCACAAACTCTAAACGCATGTTGATTCTAAATGGTGGGGGGGGGGGGGGGGGAACTGGAGGACCCGGAGAAAAAAATCCACATGACCACGGGGAAAACCAACATGCAAACTCCAAATATACAGCAGGCATCGGGATCGAACCCACAACCTCATTTATACCAGGCGAGGCAGTTAACATCTCGCCACCGCGGCCGACCGCTTTTAATTTGATTGGTGTCTACAGGCTAGATCGTAAAGAATATTTTCAATGCATGTATCGTAAGCTGAAGAATCAATCAACTGACAAATCGATAAATAGTTCCACTCCTAATTAATCATGACCCCCTCTTCTCAAATACCCTATATGGGTCCAGATTGTTTGGATAAGGCGTTTCGACTTGTGATTCTGCAGCGTGGTCCGTGTGTTTCCTTTTTAAGTGTCATTCCCTCCGTGGCTGTTGGTCAAACATCACAAAGCGTCATGGGGAAAAAAATAGCGTTGATGTTCAGTGAAGCCCTTTGTGAACCATAATTATATTATTCAACACAATTAACTATTGATGGAAAGTGCAGCCAAACCTTAATTACTTCTATTACATACAATTGTTTTCTCACGTTACCCGTTGTTCATAGTACATTTCTACAGGTTTTATTATCTTAACATTTAAAATGCACACAATTTCATATTAATGTATTGCACCATCCTAAACTGCGTTAATGCGATTCAGAGTACAGGGTATTAACACTGCTTGCCTCGCAACAGACAAAAACACTTTCAGAATATACCACGCAGGCTCTGTCGCTCTTATACACCTGGTGTCCTCCCTGCACAGGGTTTCTTCGTTGAATGCGGTAGATGCGTTTTAAAAAAGATGGGGCGCACAAAGCAGAAATCGCATAGCATAGACCACAAGTCACTCAAGCCATAATGCACCGCACGAGACAGCTGCCTGCCGAGTACACACACAATGTTGTCCCACCACATCCGACCACATAGCTGCATAACGAGTGAATTCAAACCGCACGAAGTGAGTTCTGAGTCTACGTTGGTTGGCCGCATTTACGCGAAATCGCACAAACCGAACCCGGATAAAGCAAAGGAAAACTCTTTCGGTAAAGTCACGTAGGTATATATATATATATCTACGTGACTTTACCGAAAGAACCCGAGTATGGATTCTTTGCAGTCACGAAAGCTTCGAATCAAAAAGTAAAACCTGTATGTGACCTCATCTTAACCTCGGATGCTTTTTCGTCCGTTCTTTTTTTTGTCCGTTCTTTTTTTGTAATTTTCCCCCGAATGTTTTTTTTTATCCCGATTGTGCTATGAGCCTCATGTCCCGAGACGAAGTCTATTTTCATATCCCTCGCAGAGCAGTGCAACTCTTCGTGTGGGATTACGGCCCGTGGAAGTGGGTCCCACAGAGTTACGTCTGAGATCCATTCAAGTGACCTCCGGGTCCACACAGTAGGGGCAAACGAGGAACGATGTTCGTAGCGTGACGGTAAAAAAAACTATATTTTAATTCCCAGAGCTGGAATTTGGCCAAATTGAAGTGCAAAGCCAAATTGAATGTCGTGATGGTGTTTTGTGTGTGCAGTCATTTGGTGGCCGGGTTGAGAACATCAACTCGCTACACTTTAGGACCCAGTTTAATCGCAGGTAGCTGCCTGGAATCGAACCCAGACTAAGGTGGCAGTTTTGCACTCTGACCTCTGGGTGACCTCTTTTTTTTGTAATAGTAATCGCCTCCACCACACACAGACTTCCACTCTTTTATTTTCACAATGGCTTTCCATGCACTCGCTATATATTTGTAAAATATAGAATTAAAAATATCCATAGGAATTTATACTGAAATGACCATGTGGATAATCCACAGAGTGAGTCGCTCCTGTACACATCTCTCATATAATTATGCTAATTGAAGTATATTCCTGCTACAAGTCTTGATTTATTGTGACCCCCCCCCCCCCCCATCAGTTTGTTTTTAGTGACATTGTAATGTTTAGCGTGTAAGAGGAGGCCAGGTACTCTCTTTCAGGGCTCTCTCTCAAGATCCTTTAAGTAGGGGAGGCCCCCTTGCGTCAGAAGCGGTGCGAGCAAGCCATTTCAGGGCTGCGCCTTAATCTTCACCGAATGTACAACAGTGCAATTGACTTGCACACGTGGGAAAATGCCAAGCATTACATTCCATCACTTCTTCCTCGTTTGTCGTAGCAGTAAGGTACAACGAAGGAATTCTCATCCCATTTGTTTTCGGGTTGTACCGCGTGTTGCTTGGCATGACGCCTAAACTTGCTCGCTCCACGTGCTGGGAGCTTCTTCAGGCACTGAACAGTTCCGATTGGCTGCTGAAGAAGCGCCCGGAACGTGCAGCGAAACGTCGGACATGCCGAATGACGCGCAGGTACGACCTGAAAACACGTAGAAGAGATGCGGAGCACAACCGTGACAAACTACGCAGCAGTAAGAGACAAATGTGATCGTGTTTAAAATCGACCCGTAGAGCTTAACATTCACGAACCCACCTGTGTAAATGTAACGCGCACCCATTGCATCTTGACGACATTACGGACGGGTGCCTTAAACAATTGAGTGCAACGCGAGAAGACGACCACTCGAAGCAATGGCTGCGTCCGGCGAAATGTTAAATCGGCGGAGTGCGTATCGAGCGCGACCGACAAACATCGGCAAAAAACGTGGCGATCCTCACGCTACGTTTGCGTCCCTATCCACCATCGAAGGAACCTAACTCGAGATTGAAAACAATTTTTTTCAACGGTTTTACTTAACGTGATTCCTCTGTTTGTCGTGGTCAAATCTTGTAGTCAAAATTTCGTCCACTTCACGTTGTCCAATCAATTCCACATTTTGCACACGTACTCAGATCCGGAGACAATGCGTGCCTGTATTAAAATCGGCATCAATTCATCAATTAATTGCCTCCTTTCAAGCAATTTCAATTTTTGTATGGACGCCTTATTAATTATATATATTTGTGTAGGTCAAAAACGCCGCGGTCTCTAAACTGTGGAATCGGCTCGCACAAAACGCAGGCGCCACGTGTCTCAGGCGCAATTCACGCACTTTACAACCGCGAGTTAAATGAAGTTGTTAATAAAACCGTATTAAAAAAAACTTTTTAAAACGAGTTTATTTAGAACTGCTTTTTTTGCGTTGAGTTTGTCCTTCCCTCCGCACCTCCGATTAGCCATGGTTGCCTACGTAAGTCGCAAAGGAAGTTCAACATACATATATCCTCTACAGCGTGCACGTAGTGTCCGGGAGACGTTGCTGCTGCTGCTGCTCGTCGTCGTTTTCATAGCTGGCCTCGATCATTCGCAGTGCGGCAGCGTGGAGGAGTAGGAGAGGGGAGGGGGTGGACAACGTTCGCCAAGGTCAAGAACGCTGCGCTGTTCACGGGGATCTCCGTTTGGCTTGGGAGCCGTGCGGTGGAGCCGAGGACACTTCACGGCAGCGAGAGAGGGAGGGAGAGATGGACGTTCGCTCCACATGTGTATGCAATTTGCCAGAGAGCAGAGGGAGGGAGCTGTGCAGCCGCTTTGATTAGCTTCGTTCCACTCGCTCATGCAGCTGGGTGGAGAAGGCCATGCTGCAAGAGAGAGAAGAGCGAGGCAAGAAAAAATATAAAAACGTTAATTGCCTAACGACGACACAAACACAGCACAATGTTTTAGTGTTACTAGGCACCTGGACACTCGGGTGGGATTAACAATTCTCCCGTCCACCAATCTGACCGAAAGTTACCCCCCTTGTCCTGGTTTTCCCAGGATCATCCTCTTTCGTAGCTACCCTGGGATATCTCACAAGTTCTCCCGGCACATTGGCAGTCGCGCAATAATAGACCGGCTCGAGACGATGCATTGACATGAAGTTCACCCCCTCTTAAGAGATACTCTTCATCCCACGACATGTCCCGGTTTTTTGGAGCTCACGAGTGGCACGATTCAGGTTTGATTCAACTCAAGAATTCATTCCTCCTAACGTGTTAGCAAGTGGTCTCGCTTCCCCGTGAACCCGTCACGTATTCATCTACGAGTATTAAAAAAAACAGCGCCATGGGAAGCTTGTATCTGGAGCTGAGAGAATTCACATCATTCCATGCAGCTTGCGTTGCTTTCCACCTATACTAGATAGCGGTCATTATTAACCTGTACATTTGGAGTTTGCATGTTCAACCCTTGGTCGCGTGGATTGTTTTTGCTACTTAAAACTATTAAACTATTTTAAAATAGTTTCACATCTGCGGTGTCTCCTCGGCCCTGCCCCGGGGCCCCACTCCTTGGCTCTCAGCCCCCCCCCCCCTCTGCCCCCCAACTCAAAATACAAGACATCCGCTCCGTACAGGCAGCTGTAGGAAATTACAGACACGAAGACTATCATTGCATTGCCCGAAAGCACGGTGGAAATGCCACTGGCGTGTCGGGTTTCCAGCACTCCGCTGTAAGTTATTCAGTGCGATGGTTGTGGTGGGGGGGTGGCAGCTTGGAGGTCAGAGCACTGAGCCGGCATTGCTGAGACCCTGGGTTTGAATGCAGCAGGGGAGGGCAAGACACGAAGCACTGAGATCCATTCCGGTGGCCCTGTCAACAGGCTCCGGCGATGCACCAAAAAGCACGACCAACAATCAGCCGAATTTTAACCCTGTAATGCCCAAGCATTTTTTTTTAAATGTGGGAAACCAACTTTATTTATGCGACTTAATCTAATTAAAATTCACAATAATTCCTCGTAAAGGTTTTTGGGTTAGATCGCGTTATTTATAAATGTGTCGTAACCCTCCACACGGCCAAACAGAGCGCCTTCACTCGAGGCGCTTGGACGTAGCTTAGAAAACGATGACGCAAATGCTCCAAGCTCGTGTGCTGTTTCATTCAGACGCTGTCTCCCCGACAGACCTGGTTTTCACCTGAGGACGGCTGCTTGCATTGTGGCCGAAACGTCGTGAGAATTATTTTATTATGTTTTATTTTTATTATTTTATTACTTCCCTTCTACGTGACTTTACCGAAAGAACCAAGAAGATGAATCCCTGCAGTCACGAAAGCTTTAAATCGAAATGGAACGACGTAGTTGCCAGTGGCGGACAAGGATTGAAGAATGAGTGACACCGATAGAGGGGTAACGTGTATTTCGGGATCACGAGAAGCTAGGGGAGGGATGGGAAGGAGTGGAGGGGGTGAGGGGAGATTTTTTACGTTTTTTGTACAAAGCACTGCTTTTCTGCTGCCCTGCCGCAGTGTAGCACGTGTGGACCACTTTGAATTCGAAGGCTGCGTTTTTTAAATAACAATATGGAGAGGTGGCTCAACATTTTACTGTTATCATATTTGGTACAGGTTTATACGATACTTATCGCCATCTAGCGGTAGACACTGTTACATTTTGAATTCAAGAAATATCAGTTCGGGATTTTTATTGACCGTCAGCCGTGACGAGAGGTTGTTGGCTGCTCGTGTTAGGGTGTGCTCCGATTTGTCCTGAGATCAACCAACATTCTTTAGCGACACACGGGTGGATCGCGACCCACGTCTTGGCCACTGCTGGAACACAGATGGCCGTCTGTGCATAAACCGGGTTCTTCAGCACAGGCAGTCCTTGATTTACGAACAACTCGACTTACGAACGGGTCAGGAATGGAACTCGTTTGTAAGTCGAGGACCGCCTGTACAGGAATGGATGGTCTCAGCCCAGTCACCAGTGTGGATCAGAAGTCGCAAACGGGTTTTGATTCCTTACCCGTACCCGTACCCGGCCGCACCAGGGTCGCAAACGGGTACCCGTACCCGGCCGTACCCGTACCCTACCCGTTCCCGGCCGGGTATAGGGTAGTGTACGGGTATCGGGTACCTGATTGCGACCTCTGGGATGAAGCCACATTGCAGGCGCGGGTGGGTTGATTCTAGGAACTTGAATTGTGAGAAGAGACAAGACGTTGGGAAATGAGTGACAAACAGTTACTCACCAGTGACTCACGGTCTACCCGTACCCATACCCGGCCGCACCAGGGTCGCAAACGGGTACCCGTACCCGGCCGTACCCGTACCCTACCCGTTCCCGGCCGGGTACGGGTAGGGTACGGGTATCGGGTACCCGGTTGCGACCTCTGGTGTGAATGGGGGAAGTACTGCCCCCTGTGGACCAGAGGTGACTTGGAAGCATCTCAGAAGTAGTTCTTTAACATCCACCTCCACTGGCCGTTCTCTAAAACCCGGGGGTGTGTTTTATCGATTTTCTACGAGAGATCCGAATGGTTATTTTGTATAATGACAGGATGCCGATACCACAATCTGGGTAGCAAAAAAGTCTATGATAAAAGTTATTCACTACACGGCACTTTTTTTGAGTCCTCGTACGGATCAGGGGAATGATTCATGAACGCAGAGGATTTCCCAGAAGGCTAATGATTGCTGCCCTGCTTCTTGGTGCATTAGGCATTCAGGCACGCGGAGAATGATCTATAACACCCTCGCGATGTCCATTTGTAAAACTAAAAGTTTAGATTCCTTTTGTGCCGGATGCCATAACATTTTTTGTTTTCATCTTCTTGGTTCTTTCGGTAAAGTCACGTAGAAGGGAAGTAATAAAATAATAAAAATAAAACATAATAAAATTATTCTCCCTGCAGTCACGAAAGCTTTAAATCAAATTGTTTTGTTTTATCTCACCGCCTTCCTCTCACGTGACCTTGACACAAACGAATTTAAACATCACGCACCGTCCGGCCGTTTCATTGGTCGTCATCTGGGTCCTGATCCATTAAGTAATTAGAGATGTCTGGGCTAGTGTGGTTTGAATCATCAACTCCCCTGAAAAAAAAAATCACAAGGATGTTGTTATTCAGTGATCAATGGATTTATCTGTTAAGTCTCACGCTCTCAATGCCACTTCATCTTTTGTACGACCGCATTCGCGTACAGAAATTAATCCTCTTTGTTGCTCCATTGCCACAGGGAAATAAGTGTAATGAGATGTGTGTGTGGGAGATTCATTAACGAGGCCTACCACCAGAAGTTTTTCCTGATTGTCGGCCAGGGCTTGCTTGGCAAGATAACGCTCCCTCTTCATCTTGATCTCCAGAGACTCGGGAACATCGGGCACCAGCCAGTCGATCATGCGGGAGATGAAGAACACTACATGCTTGACAAAGACAAAGATCCCCCCGGAGAGCCTTAACAGACATTTTGGGGCAAGTGCTGTTAGCGAGCACCTATGAAGGCCCACACGGCACACGATTGGGTGGGTGGCAAGCACCACACCCGACCGCCTTTATTTCCCCAGTGAAGATGTTCATACATCATAGCAGGTACTCGTTTAAGACAGAGTCATGATGATTGTTACTCATTTCATTTTTTTTGTTACAAATATTTTACTTCCGGGCAAAATATTTATGAAATCCCAAATTGAATCGTTGAGCGTAGATAGCTATTGTCTATTAAATTTGCACTTTGCAAAAAGTTATTAATGGCGTGGCTATTATATGTCATACTCGTTGACTGCAATGCATTTGTTTTTTCATTGTTTTATTTATTGACCAGTTGAGTAGCTACGTCAGTTGTTGGTACCACTCATCCTCGTATAACGTTTGGTATTTTGACGATAGTTCACAGTGAAATTCTGCACCCATTTTGATGTGGGAGGAGCAGTGCCGGATTATCCTAGAAGCAAAAGTAGCATATGCTACGGGCTCCGCGCTAAACGCTTTCAAGCTATCAATTCCGGTTCAGTGATTCTGCACTTGCTCTATTACTATAGTACTATACTGCCTTCAACTTTTATGAACGACTGGGTGTTTAAGGTGAACGATTTGTCGTATTATCTGGCTGTATAGCAAATGAAAAAAAATGACTTTTACTATGCAAGTAAAAAATTATTCATTTAATATTTATGTGTTTTTTTTTTTATTTAGCACCCCTTTATAACATATACTGCAGGCCTCGCATTAGCTTAATCCGGCACTGGGGGGGGGGGGGGGAGCACTCGCAACAAAGCCTATTACTCGTGTTTATCTGCATCAGTGACCCCTTTCATCTGCATAGCAAAGCAGGTTGATGAATCAAGCTGTCACCATTGACGAGTCACTGCAATTATCCCGTAAATGGTAATTGTGAGCATATGAGGAACACTGGCTGTTGCGGATGGATTCGGGTACGGGGATAACAGGCGGAACGGACGATAGGTAGAAGCACAGGAGGAGTTTCGCCATGTCGACAAAAAAATCCACGTCGGATTTGCGTCACGATCAGTGGTGTGAAGGAGATGCTATACCTCAAACGCGATGATGAACCCCAGGCGTATGGCGAGCAGCTTCCAGTAAAAGAGGGTGTGCTTTCCATCCTGGTCTCGATAGTCCTTGTACCTTAAACAGCACACAGCACACGGACAGCACCATCACTTCACCTTTTTATATATAGAACCATACAAAACGTTAAGTCGCGGTTAGTGCAGTGCTGTACGACACCACTGACTTGAGATGTTAACTACCTTGCCTGGTGTACAGGAGGTCGTGGGTTTGATCCCGACACTGATGCCCGTATATTTGGAGTTTGCATGTTTTCCAGGTGGTCGTGTGTATTTTTCTCTGGGTCCTCCGGTTTTTCCTTTCACATTTAAAATCAACATTCGTTTAGAGGATTTGACTGCTATACATTTCCACGTGATAAGCCACTTCGTTGTGCTATTATGCGTGGCCAGGTCGTTTCTGAAAAGGAGATGTATAGCTCAGTGGGCCTTGCCTGGTAAAATGAAAATAGTTTAAGTTAGTTTTAATTCCCGATCGTGGCGAACATCAGTGGTGAGTGACATCTTTATTTTTATTAGATGTTTGTTGCACACAGGAACATAGGCCCGTAACAGAACGCTGGGTGACAAAAAAAACAACCGTACGTGGATATCTTCCAGGCCTACATACCCGACGCGTTCTGCTTGATCAAGGGGGGGGGGGGGGGGGGGGGGCAAGTCTCTTTTTTTTAAGTCTACAGACTCAGAGATCCCAACATCTCATGGGCGAGCATTCCAGCTCGGCTTCCAGTTCGCTCCCAGCGGTGACGTTGGCCACGCAGCTGCTGGAAGCTGCAAGGGCCCGGGCATCACCTGCAGTGTGTGTAGTTGTTGACAACGTAGTCATCGGGAGCGTACGACAGCGTGAAGTTGATGTACCCTCGCAGGTTCCTGTCGTACGTGTACTGGTAGAGCAGCTTTGGCAAGAAGTTGGACGTGAACGCGATGAGGAAAGCCTGCGCGACACACGGCAGGTTATCAGTTGTGGCCACGCGAGAGTCCGTAATGTGTCACGTGCATTGGGCCTGCATGGCGACGGCAGGTGCTTTCGCCTTCTCAAATGGAAAATAAAAATAATCGCCCAAATGCCACTATGGCGCACGGCAATCGTGGGATGAATCGTGAGTTCGTCTCGTGTCCACTGTGAGACTATGGGTCTCTGTGTTAGTTTACGGGCCTCAGTCTGAGCCTATTGGTATTTGTATGAGTTTAGTTTTCATTTCATTTATTTAAGTTTCATTTATTTGGTATAGCCCTGTGAGCCATTCGGCTCCTGAATCGGTTGCAACCGCAACAAACAAAAAACAAAACATGAACAAGAAAACAATTTAAAGTGACTACGCGCAAACAAAAACATCCAGGAAAAAACAGCAAAATTTTCCATAAAAAGCACCATACACCAACGCTGTGTGCAAAAATCCCAGTGGGATGCAAGTCAAACAACAACAACCACAAGACAACTTAGATTAAAGCTATCAGTCTTGCTCCGTACTACAACAAACAAACATGGCCAAACCAAAAAACTTTTTGAAATCACCAAAATAAAGCCATAAAAGCAATGTAACAATGATCATAGGAACTGTCGGCCTCATATGGGCCTCTGTGTGAGCCGATGGATCTCTGTGTGATCCTATGGGTCCTTTTTGAGCATTCCCTGAGGGCAGGAGCGGAATTCACCCATTGTGCCTGGAAACCAGCAGCTGGATTTCCAATTACACGGATTTATGGCCGCTACTTGAATTGTAACCGTGGCATCCCCAGTGCCAATGGACATCCCCAATGCCAATGGACAATAAAGGTGTGAAAATAACAGTTCCAAAGTTTCGGTAAAATTATCTCGTGACAATCTTCATACCGTGAACTTTGACATCATACCGTATTGCATCACGAGCTAAGATGTCACACCTACGATTGGCGCTCTTGGCTACGTACGGTGCGAAAAAAGTTCGACATACACACACATGAGCCTAGGGATCCGGGAACACCGACTCACGTTGATGATGACGGAGATGTTCACGAGGGCGTCGAGGATGTTGAACCAGACCCCGATGTCCTGAGCCCTCTCGGCCACCGGACGCCGGTACTCGCACACAAACTTCTGGGCGTCCAGACGCAGCTCGACCCAGTTGTTGAGCAGCGCGAAGAGCGGCGCGAGGGGGAACGCCGCCACGAAGATCGTGATGAAGCCAAACTGCAGCACTGGGCCGGGAGGGACACGAGACGGAGATGGCTCTATATATATGTAGGGGTGTCAGGGGAAGGATCCCCACCAATAGGAGGGTTAGTGGGAGGGGTAATCGAGGAGATATAAGGGAAGAACGGCCGGGAAGAAGGGGCCTTTGGCGGGAATGAGATTTGGACGGCTGGGGACAGGTGTGGATGGGAAAAAAGGATTAAAAGACGAAAACCCTGCAACCTTGTGTCGGCTCTCCTTTAAATATATAAAAAAAAACTATAACTATAATTTTTATTTTACTAGGTAAGACCTACTTCGCTCTATATCTCTATTTGAGAAGTGACCTGGCCACAAATGATAGCTCAACGAAGTTGCTTATCGCGTGGAAATGTATCGCGGCCAAATACTCTAAAACGAATGCTTCTACATGTGGAGGGAAAAACCGGAGGACACGGAGAAAAATCCACGCGATCACGGGGAGAACACGCAAACTCCAGATCGGTCGAGACGGTGGTGGTGGTGAGTGGCCAGATATCTGAGTCAGGCAACCCGTGGCACCTGGGTCTGACCCGTGACCTCCTGCCAGCTAGTTTTCGACACTTCACGTGCTTTTAAAGTGCACCTCTGAGCCTGGCACAAGCGCAATGGAGAAGTCACCGCCACTTAGTGGCAAATGGCGGTTGTTATTGTTGTTAATGAGTGGCAACCCAAAATGGTCAGTGCTACGCAGACTTTAAACAAATTGTTTGGTAATGCTGCTGTTGCTTTGGCAGTGGTGCACAAGGACAATTAACAACAACAAATTCAGCACACTTGTCAAAATCACTGCAATTTTTTAAGAAATAAAAAATATATTGTTGATATTTTGGACAAACCTTCAAATAATTGTAAAGTATCACAAGATAAACAATGTAAATAATATAAAAAATATGGAAAAATGTTGATGGCACATTGTGTTACGGGAGGATGAGGCACAATCCACCTAATAGTGTGCTCCTGGGCCCAATCACGATTTAAATGAAATGATTTTAACTGCCCTAACTTCCGAATACACTTGAGGCCTTTTAGTAATATTATGTTTCGTGGTTGTTTTTCACATGTTTCTCAGACTTTTCTGCCTCAGAAATACAGGACAGTTACATTCCTTTTGCAATGGCGATTGGGACCAGGAATGCTCTGCGAGGTGGATTGTACCTCGTCCTCCCACAATGCAATGTTCCAGCAACATTGAATAAATTTGCTCTTAATATAAATTTCGTTTATTTCATAGTAATATTTTTTTTTTATTATTGAAGGGTTTGTCTGCTACTCAAAGCTACGATTAGGTCAATATTGATATGCCTATTTTAAAAAAACCTGGTTATTAAAAACGTTTAAAATGTAATTTTCATCAGGCTCCATGGTGTTAAGTGCAGTCTGCAAACATTATTAACTCTGCCTATGGCACCGGCAGTGGTGTGCCATGAAGAAGGCCATTACCAAAAACGGCACCAATCTCTTTTTACAAAATAAAAATTTTCGTTATTTTTAGGGGCACAGTGTTATTGGTGGATGTTGTTGAGTTTTTGTTTTAGCTGACTTAACGTTGTAAATGGTCTGTAGGCTGCACGCTGCCTGCCCTCCTTTGAATATTACCAACCAATCTTGATTTGAAACTTTCGTGACTGCAGGAATCCATACTCTTTGGTTCTTTCGGTAAATTCACGTAGGTAGAAAAATAAAACAAAAATAATTTATCACGACGTTTCGATGGCAACACAAGCGGTCGTCCTCAGGCGTAAAAAAATATATAATCCAGCAGTGGAACTGCTGAACCAGCGAGGGAGCTGTTACAACAAGAGGTTATTTATGTGGCGATGGGCAAGCAAGTTAGCCAGTTCGCCTCGACAATGCCACACAAGTGGATCGACAGGGTTCAGGAGTTGCATGAGGTGGGGCTCGACACTGACACGACAAGTCTTTCATCTACAAAAGGTCAGTAATGCAACAATGGTGGCTATATTGCTCGATATGTTGTAAACTGTCGCTCCTGTAACACTATGCTGTCATGTACTTACCATGAATACACGACAGAGCCCGATGGTCAGTGTTTGTCCTCACAATAGGCCCTGGCAGTGGCCAGTCAATGCGCCAAATATATTAATGTAAAAAAATGGTACCAACTACACTGGCAGTAAAACTGGTCTTTGGTATGTGATGTAAAACGCTGTATGAAACTATTTAATGGCTAGGCGTGCGATAGGAGTGTGTGCAAGGGCATCACAAGTCGTTCACTGTCAACAGACTTCCCCACGAGTTGTTTGAAATGACTTTCCAGCAAGCTCTACACCGTAAAGAAGAGGTCCAATTCTGCACGCGCGTGCGCGCGTGTGTGTGTAGCAGCTCGCGCGCTGCACTACGAACCCAGCCGCCCGAGTTCGATTCCCGATCACGGTCATGGGCCTCCTCTAGGTCGACTCAGCCTCAAATGAGTACCTAGTGAGGTGTAAGCATCACCAATGGGGAGACGAAGGCGGACGGGCGTGGTGCTGGCCACGCACGCCCTCGTGTGCCATTCTAGGTGTTCGCTAACAGAACATGCCCCTATTAGTCTTTTAAGCCTGTACGGGGGATCTTTGTATTTGTATTCGCTGATAATGCTCTCTGGGCCTGTGTAGGATCAAAATATATGAAAGCACATTTTTCCCAATTTCGTGTCATTGGTTAACCGGCCTGGCAGCGCTTCTAACTCACGCCAGAACAAAGCCTGTTTAATCTCGGACGTGACCTCGGGCTTAAAACCACCATCTCGGGCAGTGCTGCCCTTGCCGCTTCCCATGTGCTTCGGGCCCTCTGGCACGTCAAGGCACATCACAAATCAACGCTCAAAGAAACAACTCTGAAATGTTATAGTCGAGTGTCCACTCTCGTGATTACAGGGGGTCCCCAACTGTCACAGTGGGTGCCAATAAAAATGCACAACTTGTTTCATCTGCCAAGCTTTAGTGTTCCACAATACACTGCATCCCCATGAATTATTAAAGACATTATTACGGTGATGCTGCGTTGCCAGCGATGCGCAAGCACAAATATATATATAAAGTTATAAACATGTTAACACTTTGATAAAAAAACACTGCCTTAAAAGGAAAAATTCTAAACATCAATAAAATATGAATTTTCGTGGTCTCAAGGGCCGAGTGAGGAGTGATCGCCAAAATTGCCACCCATTTCCCCCGCTGGATCTACCACAGCTATCCCGACTCAACTCCGCGTTGAGCTCCCACGGTCTGACACAGTGGCGTGGTCACTACATTATCGGCTCAGCGGTGTGCGGCAATCAGTCAATGTTTCATCGGTCTCGCACGATTGCACCTCGGCTTTTGTATATCGCGGCTCATCTTGCCTACTAATCACATTGTCACGTTCACGGCCTCGAACATTTCATGCTGTGGGGCCGCTCCGTCTTCGCTAAAATGCAGCCACTACAGCTCCGTCGTAGCTTTTTTGCAATATCCTCTTACCGCTCCGATGAAATAGAATAAAAACGTGGGAACGTAAAGGAAATACATTTTCACGAAGATAAATTTGAACCGCTTTTTAAATAAATGTTTGTTGTTTCACAATGTTGAAAGCGTTGTTGTCTTGGAGGGGCCCCAACTCGTAGTGTTAGCCACCAATTGGGGGCGGGGGGGGGGGGGCAAGGCACCCCCTCTCCCCACACGCTAAGTTACGCTACTGGTCTATGCATTTTTATTATCACCTGATGACGATTGCTTGCGTTGTGATATGAATTCCTGCAGTCACGAAAGCTTAAAATCAAGATGATCTGACAATATCGGAAAAGCGGTCTGGGGCGTGGGATAGTTCGGACTGGAGGAGGTGGCGGGTAGCGGTGAGAGTGGAGCCTCGGTCGCCGGTGGCTCACCCATCTCGAGGTACTCCTCAAAGAGGCCCTCGCACGGGATGAGTTCGTAGTCCTCCTCCCAACGGCTTGACTCCGGCGCCACGTGCGAGCCACGCAGCGCGGCCAGCTTGCGCTTCTGCAGCCACGCCTTGATCTTCCTGCGGCAAGAACGCGGGGGGCGCACGAGCCAAACAACTCATTTCTTTTAGAACTGCTTTGTTTTCAATTTAACACGTAGGCTTTCGCGACCAATATTATTCATAATATAGGTTTGTTGTGTTTAAATTTGTTGTCCTTCCGCCCCCCTCACCCCGCACCTCAAACGATTAGCGCGTTCGACTACGTACGGTGCCAAAGAAGTTCGACACACATGCATCGTACCACACGTGCGAAAATCGAAAATGACATGAAAAGGATAAGGTTGAGAAGCAGCCATGCAATTAGTTGCTTACACCACTGCTGACGGAAGGGACTCCACTGCAGTATACTCGAGGCAGCCCCACTAGAAGACGTCACTAGAGGGTATGTTGGGACAATCTTCCACGCTGGACAAACGTTTGGCAGACGTGGGAGTACCCACACTTTACCCCGCCACGCGCAATCTGCCAATCGACTAACTGCGGTGCCCCCACTTGCACTGCTGTTGGTCGTCGCGTATGATCGACGGTGACTGACTCAGCGACGGCTGGTCATGATTATTATTATATCCATGCGTCTACGCGTGGCTCAGTGGAGCGACCGCGGACCTCGCACGCGGAACACTGAAGAGGTGGCTCACTGACCCATTTACGCTGCCGGGTGGACAGCGGTGGTTTGGGTGCTTCCAGGGGCGGTTTCTTCATTAGGGCGATTGGGCGACGCACCACCAATGTCATTCAACCACAGAGTCACGCTAGCCGTCACTGTGCCTCTGGATATAGTGCAATCAGCGTCATGTCACGTTCTGTGGAGTACCGCCTCTTTTTGGGCGATTTCACTCCGGCTGAGAATCGCCCAGAGTGGTCCCATAGACTTACATTCAAAGATATTTTTTTTTCTAACGGGGGGCGCTGCAATGCATTCTCTATGGCTTCCAGGAGGGCTCGCCCTAACGTGCTTACGTCATCATACGTAAGCACGTTGCATCCAACAATATTATTTGTCGCCACCTAGTGGAATCTTTAATAAAAGAAACTTGAGTGGATTGTATTAATAGTGAGTATAGAAACAAACAAGATGTATTGTAAGAGTCACTTTATTTTTCATTAATATTAAAGAAGTGAAGTTGCCTTTACATGCTTAAGCTGTTAATTTATCCTTTGCATGGGTGGACTTTATCCTTATAAATCATCCAGACATTTGCCCCCCCTGAGAGATTTTGCAGGAGCCGCCACTGGGTGCTTCCTTAAGAAACTTGCACCATTGTTTAATGGTGCCGCGCCAGGACAAAATGATCTGTTTTAGCGTTAGGCTAATGGAGCGGGGACAAAACCGTTTGGACAACGAGGGGGGACATGTGAGAAAACGATACAAACGGAGGGCGAGGGTAACGGATGCACTTAGCCAACGACGGGGATCGCAATCTCGAGCCGGGGCAGCCGTTAACGGGGCGGGAACGCGCCACTCACGGGAATACGAACTCCTGGATATTGTTGATCACCTGCTTCCCCACCATAATGATGATGAGCTGCTGCGCCAGCTCAATGAGGCATCCTCCGGGCCCGCACTGCGGCGGCACAGACGACGGGCACACGCTTGTCCGCACGCCACGCGGCAACGGGAGAACATGAAACGCACCACTCTGTGCTTACACTGGGCTCTCCTCGGGAACTCTGGCTTCTGTGTGAACTCATGTCCCCCCTTTGAGCATTCTCTGAGGGCACAAGCGGGATTCGCCCATTGTGCCTGGAAGCCAGCGGCTGGATTTACAATTACGCAAATTGCGTACTCGGATTTTCCTTCGTATTCACGACTCCCCAGGTACTCAGTACTCCGGTCAGTGGCCAACATCGGCTGGCCGTTGTTAATAATAATAACAATTTGAAGTTGTAACATGCACAGTATTTTCTCACTTTGGAAAAGAGTGAACGACTCGGAGGCACGAGGAATCACAGACGTGCGGGAGAGGCCCCCCAAGCTCTGTGGTCCTCCATATATGAAGGTGTTATCAGTCAATTAAGAAAACCAGAGAACCCAGAGGAAAGCCACGTGTATGAGGTGGAAACACTATCCCATGCAGATGAAACAGATTAGTAAATGTTGTGGCATGGCTCTCCAACACACCGGTTTGCTGTACTAGTGACGAATTGGCCACGTTCTGTTTACATGACAATCCTTACTAATTGGCTGTGTCGGGTGGTGGCCGGTTTTAACGACACATTTATATATTTACGGGATCTAGCCCAAAAAAACTCCATCTATTATGGAAACAGGTAGAGTCCACATCATTGGTGTACCGCCTTCTGGCGAGCCAGGGTATGGCACCTCAACATCCAGGCGCAGGGAATTTCGCAACATTTGTCCGATTCACCAACCTCGCCTCCACCAGTGCTGGACAATCCATGAAAATGAGTTTCATAGCTCATCGGATTCCTCCAGTCTAAATAAAGACTCTTGATTCTGCTTCGGTGCCGATCACAGGCGTGCGTAGCCGCCACCACCCGGCAGTGTTTGTTGACGAGCGTGATGAGTTGTTGTTTTCGTGAGCAGGCCGAACAGAGAGGATGCAAGGAACGTACGTCCTCATTCCTGGTGCCCAGCAGCTTCTTGTAGTGGCCAGGGTAACCCACAAACCTGTGCAAGGGCCACATGTCACCATCATCGGAACAATGAAGAAAAGTTGAACAAGTATTCATTTAACACGAGGCCCAGCAACCGGTTGCACTTATTCTTCTTTTGTATGTCACGTGGGTGGGGGAGGGCGAATCAACAGTTTGTATTGACGATGTCATAGTTGAATGTTAAGGTCCTTCAACCAATCCAAGGCAGCAGTAGAAGCTGCACGGATTGCAGCTATAACGTCAGGGTGTGCGTGGATGGCGCACTTGTCGGTGATGCGTTTGATGGTTTGTGCTCGTGCCCTGACCAGTGACAACACAATACTTAAGCCCGTCATCTCAATACTTTACATTTGGTCAACCGGCGCGGAAAAATATATCTAAAAAGCAGAGCTGTCTACGCATGTGATCATTTTAAATGTATTAATTTTAACCTTTCCACAATTATGATGACAACTACTGGTCGGATGTCAAGTGACAAAGTGTCCATCCGGAACTCCCGTACAGCAGTCGTCCTCTGCAGGGATGAGCCTTTGCCAAGGCAATGTGGAATGTCCACACTTGGCTCAGTGCGACAAGATGAGTACTGGCCTATTGCACATTGTGTGGGGAGTCACTCTGACTTGGCCTTGGCTGGCAAGAAAATGCATTTAATTATTGTTCCTTTTCACAACAAATGTCTAAAGGCAAAGGTGCAGCCCTGCACTTGCTCACTCACTCCACTGCTGGCAGAAGGACCTCTACTAGAAGGAGCTCTAGACAGACCATCTAGAGCAGTGTTCTTCACTCATTTTCAGTGGAGGCCACTTTTTCGATAAGACATCAGCGTATGAGGGCTGCCACATGTTTGAAACCAATGGGTTTGACAGCACGATGATGATGGGGTGTTTTCACATTTGTGTATTGTCGGGGGCCGCACGTCAGGGGCCGCACTGAAGGTCACCAGTGAAGAACACTGAGATAGAAGTAATTTGGCCTACACTACCACGCTGGCCAGACGTCTTGGAATAGGTGGGGGTACCCACACTTTACCCCACCACGTGCAAAATACCGATCAACTAACTATAGTGGCACTTATTTTCTGTACACTGCTGGTTCAACATTGGTGGGTTAACTGAAGAAACTTGCGCCAATTGTTTCAACCGCCATGCCAAGAGGTCGAATCGAACCGGCGAACCTCTGGATTGGAAGTCCAATGTGCCACACCTTTGCACCACGGCCGTTATCCCAACGAGCGAGCGCTCGTGTTGAAACGGTTTCAGAGAAGTGGGTATGGCGGATTTACATCGCTGGACACAAGGATGCTACACAGTAAGTATGATGAACTTCCTTCGCACCGATACGTATCCCCACCCACGCTAATCAGGAGACGCTAGCCATGATGAGCGGTGGGATGCTGTTGCACGGTTCCACGTACCGGCCCTTGAAGAAGGCCACGTAGAACGGAGAGGAGTAAAAGTTGACGAATTGGAAGACGAAAACCTTGAAGGTGAAGGCATCCTCATACTGCGTCTGTGTTCGATGCATTTCTGGTGGGCAGGCAGAGGGACACTCGGATAAGAGAACGTATGATGGTTAATGACAACGTTCAATTTGCTTTTTAGTTGTTCTTGTGAAGAAACAGGAGCCCAGTACAAAGCACCGGTCACAATAAACTTAAAAAATACACTTAACTTTACCAGGTAAGGCCCACTGAGCTCTTTTGCAGAAGCGACCTGGCCACAAATGATAGCTCAACGAAGTGGCTTTTGATGTGGAAACTTATAGTAGCAAAAATACTCTAAACGCGTGTTGATTCTAAATGTGGAGGAAAAAAACGGAGGACCCGGAGAAAAATCCACGCGACCACGTGGAGAGAGACACGCAAACTACATATATACAGCAGGCGTCAGGGTCGGAATCGAACCCACGACCTCCTGCATACCAGGCGAGGTAGTTAACATTTCAACACCGCGGCCCGGTGGCAACATGTTAACTCGCTGCCAATACAAGGTGGGGGGGGGGGGGGGGGGGGGGGACAGAAACTCTGTGAGAAAGTGTGGACCACAAGTGTGAAAACAATGAAAGTTTACATGGGGAGGGAAGGATGAGGGGAAAAATAACTAACACAGTGAGTGTAGAGAAGGGCGCAGGAGGAGTGTGATGCTCGTCTCTCAAACGGCGTACTGATGTAATATGAGGATATATCCGGCTCACTGACGTATCACAACTCGTCATGATGATTGGCTCTGCCGGTCCTGGTTTATAGCCAACGTGGGGAAGTCTAGGGGCGTGGCCCTGACGTGATGGAAAGGTGACAGCTGCAAGTAGAGGATTGGTTCTGCTGGCTTTGGCCACAGTCAATGGGGAGATGAGTCAGGGGCGTGGTCCCGGGAGCCTACGAGGGAGTCTGGAATATTCTATGGATGCTAACCAGGATTGGTGGAAACGTACCAAGTGACCCGGGTATTAAATAGGTGTGGAAACGAACGACACGTGGTCAGAAGGGGAACGAACGGAGTAGGGGGCCACGCGGGAGCGGGGCTCCGGGTTGCCACGTGGCGGCGCGTCTCTCTCTCTCTATCCCTCTCACGCTGCCTGTCAGCAGCGTGAAGGGAAAGTTGTAATGCAAAGTGAATAAAAGACCGGATTCCAGAAGTCGCCGCAACGACCTTTATTACACTAGATTGCCACTCGTTATTTTGATAACGTGTGGCTGCCCGCCAACGGCAATTCAGCGTTCCATTCAGCCCCCCGGTTAAAGGAGAGGGTGTCCCCACCGCTGGCGCTAACGTACCCCACTTGGTGAGCTGCTCGGCGAGAGACGAGTAAACTTGGCCCATCACCAGGATGAGGATCAGGTTCACCATCGAGCTGCTGATGTTGGCGATGTTCGCTGCCTGCAAAAAATAACACATCAGTAATGTGCACTTTCCATTACTTATGAAATATAAACGGATCCTTAAGCCAAAGTAAAACTTCATTCGTCAGTGGGTCAGTCAGTCATGGCACTTCAGCAATATTTGTTGTAGACATAGACACGAGACAGGTGGCATCGTCACAGCAAAATTACTGCCCCCACTTGATACAGTAATTTTGCTGTGACGGTGCCACCTGAAGACGGAAGCTTGTGTTGCCTCCGAAACGTCGTGATTTAATTTATTTTTATTTTACTTTTTACCTACGTGACTTTACCGAAAAAACCAAAGAGTATGGACCTTTGCAGTCACGAATACTTCAAATCTTGAACGAGACATTTGATTTAAAATTTATTTGGGTCTTTCGGTAAAGTCACGTAAATAGATTCAAAGAAAATAACAAAAAACAACAAAAAAATACGACGTTTCAATCACAACACAAGCGATCCTGATGACCATCGCTTGTGTTGTGATCGAAACCTCGTAGTTTTTTTGTAATTTTTTGTTATTTCCTTTTAACCTATCTACGTGACTTTACCGAAAGACCCAAAGAATATGAATTCCTGCGATCACGAAAGCTTTAAGTCAAGATTTGACATTTGATTTAAGCTGCAAGAACCCGATGAGCATCTTCTATGTGGGCACCGGTTTAATCACGAGCTACTCCTCACTCTTAGGGAAACAATAAAATAAAAAATATATGTTTTATATTTTTATTATTTTATTGTTTCCCTTCTACGTGACTTTACCGAAAGAACCAAGAATATGAATTGCTGCAGTCACGAAAGCTTTACATCGAAATTTACACCTCACTCGTCGACGGGTCAGTGATACAGTTCCCGCAAGACTGCCCCCACGTCACCAAGTAAACCGGTGATAACAAAAATAACACGACGCATTCTACGTGTTTACCCCTATCATACGCTGGTGAGAAATAAATACACTCTATATCCTCATTAACATACGTTTTGCATAATCTCTCTTTTTGTTTCAGCCAAGCCTCACCTCACCTCCCTCCCACCATAACTCTGGATAATCGAGGGTTGACTGCCGCTGTTTGAGGTTGTGCTCCGCTGTGAACGTTCACAAGCTCAGCACTTGATGTACAATTATCGACCTAACACGAGAGATGTCACAGCCGCTTGTCGTACAAGTGCGGGTTTTGTTGAGTTGGGCGTTGACCGTCTCCTGTCTCAAAGCTTTCGCCACGCACTACTGCGGGCACCTTTGGGAGTTGAACCACGACCGCCCGGCGACCCACGACCGCGTTCAACTCCTGCAGTTGTCCGCAGTGGCGTGCGGCGAGATCTCGAGACGAGAAATGCTTCAACGCGCGGCCCAATTGGAAATGCCACACGCGGACGTCGTCATCGTTTTGCCGGTCGGTCAAATGGAGAAGGGAAATGCGACGCACCTGGGTCATGAGCACCGCATTGCCCGTCTTGTACATGACCACGCTGACGATTCCACGGTACATAATCACCGTGACCAAGAAAATCATCACCACCGAGAGCTGCAGGCAAACAAAACGGTGAAAGGTCAGTGACGGGTTTGTATGTCAGCACAACTATACTATGATTTAGATAAAAATGTTAAATATCCAACAGTTAGGCAGATGATTTATTATTTCATCTCTCATCATAATTCACAAACGGTGCATAATAATGGTCCATGACTCTTGTAGCTAAGTAAACGGCTGAACTTGAAATTACCACCGTAGTTAAGACATCAATACTAAGCTGCCTACATATTTGTAGAGGAGTAAAATGGGGACGTGACGTCAGGTGTGCCGTTGAGTGCGATGACGTCACGTCTCCTAGGGTACTTAAGGGATACCTCGTGACGTAAGCGGGGTCACTGTGAGAACAGGTAGAGTAAGCAGGGTGAAGAGGGAACCAGGGGTAGAGAGGGGATAGAATAGGGAGTCTGGGGAGAAGCCGGTGGTAGCCGTAGAGGTGCTTCTCTCTCCGCTCGGTGGAGTCGGCAGACTCCACGATCCGACACGAGAGAGAGAGAGACCGGAGCTAGCCGGCAGGGACCTGGACTCAGAGTAGGACCCCTAGCCCCTGGAAGTTGTGTACCCTGCTGTGTAATATTGCAACAGCTTTAATAAACCCTGGCGGAAGCCCTTAACTTACCTCCGTTCTCCGAGTGCGTCCGTCGGAGCTTCTCTACAACTGGTGTCAGAAGTTGTAGAGAAGCTCCCATGGACGCACTCAGAGACGGAGGTTATTACGACTATTTGGCCACAGCTATAAATTTACACATCAGCCACTTTATCGAGCTATCATTTGCAGCCAAGTTGCTTCTGAAAAATAAATGAATACCTCAGTGGGCTTTATTTGGTAAAACTATTTTTTTGTTTTATTTGTATATTTTTAAGTGATTTGTTTATCTTTTCCCTATACTTTGCACGCCTATCGTGTTTTTTGTATTGTTCGTTGTTGCAACGTTCTGACCCGTCCCTACTGAACATGCGTGAAAAAGAGCTTTATAGCTCATCGGATTCCCCCACTATAAATATTTTGACGCGGGTTGAACGCGAGGCGGACGCTGTGCTGCCCTGACCATGAGTATGATGACCATGGTGCCCGTGATGATGCGGGAGAGGCGGTCTCGCTCGGGGAAGTATGGCTCCTTGACCCCCGTGATGGGATTCCGCTCCATGCTCGGCGCCATCGCTGCAAACTCCGGCCGAGGCCTCTCCTAGGTCGGGGAACACGGCCACGCCAACGCCAGCAGTGTGGTGGTGGTGGTGGTGGGCGAGGGGGCCCACGGCAGAGGTCGCAAACGGGGTTTGATTCCTTACCCGTACCTGGCCGCACCAGGGTCGCAAATGGGTACCCGTTCCCGGCCGGCCGGGTACGGGTACCCGTTCCCTACCCGTACCCGTACCCTACCCGAAATGAGTGACAAACAGTTACTCACCAGTGACTCACGGCCTACCCGTACCCGTACCCGGCCGCACCAGGGTCGCAAACGGCTACCCGTACCCGTACCCGGCCGGGTATCGGGTAGGGTACGGGTATCGGGTACCCGGTTGCGACCTCTGGCCCACGGGGGCATGCAATTTGCCGTCATGGGTGCTGCACCAGGCCACCGCAAAGAAGCAGCTAGAAGGGGCAGCTCTCAGAGGCAGCTGGGGGAAGGGAGTGGGGTGGTGACGTGGCCCAGGAGTTGGGAGTTCAAAGCTTGTTGCAGAGGCGCATAGTTCTAATCCAGCAGTAATAACCACTATAATACGTACACACCTACGTGTGTTGAACTTCTTTCTCACCGTATGTAGCCAACCGTGCTAATCGGAGGTGCACGAGGGGGAAGGCCAACAAACTGAACACACAAAGCAGTTATAAAGAAATCAGTTTTCACTATGAGATCTCTTTTACCAGTGGCAAAATATAGTAGTAGGTTTTTACCCTTTTAAACTGGTAAAGGTGTCAGTTTTGTACCAGTTTAAAAGGGTAAAAACCTACTACTAAATCAGTTTTCGTTATACCACACGAGCCATCTGCTTCACAGTGGACGTTAAAGATCCCCCGTGACGTCCATCGTTTGTCGGCGTCATGATCAAAATTTTCCAACCTTGAAAATCGCCCACAAATAACTCGGTCGGGGGGATCACACGTGTCGACCACCACCCCCAACTGGCAGACTAAAGCATGTTTTTGCAGGCTTGTATCAAGCATCCAGGCACAACCCCACACATATGACGAGATAATACCCCAGGCTCCGCAGCTCTCCTCCTTAAAACCTCCTCTCTTCTGTTCCTCTCTTAAAGCCTCGCCCCTTCTCCACTGCCTATTCCCTTCCTCTTACCTCCCCCCTCAATTTCTCCCCCCCCCCTTTCCTAACCCCTCGGCAACACCGCTCTATCGTGGCCACCCATTCCTCACCCCTTACACGCCCCTGCCATCTAGATCACTTCTTGCTAACACCGTTTTTAAAAAGTTATGTTTTGTGCCGTGATGAAAGGCGCTCTAGAAATAAACAAAAAACCATTAAAGAATCCATTGCAGGTCCTGTCACCTGACGGAAAATGTGCTGACACCTGTCAGCAGTAAGTTGACTTCACCTTCTACTCCCTACACACGCAACCACTAAGCAGCCTGCTCAGCGTGATGTCCTTCCCAACTCCAATTAGCGTAGGGTGCAGAGGAAGTTCAAGATACACCTCAAGATCTGATAGGATCAGGCAGAGGCTTTGCACCGCATGGCAGGTGTACCTCCTCCTCTTCAAAGTCCATGCAGTCCCAGTGGTGAGCGAGGATGGCGTTTTTTCTCTTCCAGTACTCGAGGAAGGTGACGGCCCAGAAGGACATGAAGACGCTGAAGAAGACCGTGCCGGGGTGGTCGAAGAGGTAGCCCAGCTGTGGCAGAATATTCACGATCACAGGGCTCGTTTTTATTTTGTTTTATTTTGCTACCTACGTGACTTTACCGAAAGAACCAAAGAGTATGGATTAACGCATTTTATTTTTTTAAGATATAACTTTTTTTGACGGTTGCTGAGCACAGGCCCCCAAAGGCCCAAAACGCCAAGCGACCAGCAACAAACAGCACTATCGAATGCGTAATAGACGAGTATATAGGTTTCCTGAATTGAGCAACGTTGTGAGGACTTGGTCCAAGAGGGAATTCTTATGGGAGGAAATTCCAACGTTGGGGTAATCACATAGCAAGGTTTATCGTGGGCAGCAGAGGACAGAGAGCAGAGGGCAGTGCAGCAAATATATTATCGGAGTGCTCCATGCTCCCATATCTAATGCTCCCTGCATTCAGCAGCCTTGCAGGGACCAGTTTGGTCAAATCATTTCCCCTCGCCTGGAAGCGGGATTGACAATAGAGCTGGTCGCAGGCCTCCCCTGGCGTCACGAGCCTGTGATCGGAGGCGCGTCGCATCATAGGGCTCTGATGCAATGGGAGTCTCAGGTGGAGTCTGGACACGATTGCACGAGGACATGGGCTGGACGGGGGTTGGGAGAGAGTGAAGCAGAGGCGGGGAGACGCGGCGAGACGGTGGCTCTCGCAGCCACAGCCAGCGAAGCCTCCCGGGTGCGATTTGTACTCTCTACATTGAGCGGCGAATTCACCCTTTCCCATTCCGATGGCGTACGTGCACGTCAAGGTGGCAGCACTCACACTTTACGCCATTAGTTTATTGAGAAAAAATAATAATAACATTACGTATTTTTGATTCTTTCGGTAAAGTCACGTAGAAGGGAAACAATAAAATAATACAAATATAAGACAATCAAATTCTCTCGACGTTTCGACTGCAACACAAGCAATTATCATCGGGTGTGAAATCCACAGCAAGAAATTTTGAAAAAAGTTTAAATTTGATTGTCTTATATTTTTATTATTTTATTGTTTCCCTTCATTACCGAAAGATCCAAGAATATGAATCCCTGCAGTCACGAAAGCTTTAAATAAAAACAAAAACATTACAGTTTAAATTGGGAAGAAATAATTACGTACTAAGTGGCAAAAAAAGAAAAAACTCCAAAAGTTTGTATTGCCTACTTGACTCATTATACCCACACTGGAATCAATGCCTAAATGACCAAACCATTGCACGCAATGCGTCTGGTCTCATCAAGTCTCGTTATAGTGATTACGCTAACGCCGGTGCTCATGAGGTGCAATCGTTAGCGGCTTAAAGGTCATCGGTTCCACCTCCCGGCGCGGCAGTTGAAGCAACGGCGCGTGGATTTTTCCGCGGGTCCTCCGGGTTTTACCTCCACATTTAGAATCGACACGCGTTTAGAGTATTTGGCCAGTATAAATTTCCACTTGATAAGCCACTTCGTTGAGCTATCATTTGTGGGCAGCTTACTTCTGACAAAGAGCTGTATAGCTCAGTGGGCCTTACCTGGTAAAATAAAAATAGTTTAGTACATTAGCACGGTTGGCTACGTACGGTGCGAAGAAGTTCAACGTACACACGCACGTCACAGCGGTCGATCGGCAGGTCGCGTGTGGCAGGGTCAAGCGTGGGTACTCTCGCCTCTTTCAAAGACGTCTGGCCAGCGTGGAAGAGTAGGCCAATTACCCAGCCGCTATTGCTTCTCTCTCTTGAGAGAGAGAGCTCCCTGCAGTGGAGCGGAGGCCCTTCCGCCAGTGGTGGCGTGCGCAACTAATTGCGGGGTGTTGGCCCCTTGACCTGAACCTTCGCGGCCCCTACGCCTGCGATCGCTGCCATCGCCGTGGTCGCCGCTAGCGCCCTAGCGAGAGGGATTTTTTGCACCTCGCACCTTGGCCATGGGGCAAATGTCGGAGAGCTTCCACACGGTGCACGCGTCGCACAGCGGGCACATGAGGAACTTGTGTCCACTGCTGCAGATCTCCTCCCTATGGGTGGGGACGTAGGGGGGGGCAGGGGAGGTAGAGGGGAGAAGGATGACTGCGATGCACGTTTTGTCAGAGGCGGACGCAGCTGTGTCCCCGCGGGGCAGGGAAGAGTAATGTCTGTGCCCTGCGCACAGTATGGGCGATACAAAACAACGTGGATTTATGTTGTGCGGTGGCGATTTTAAAAAATTGAAAAGGTTTGGAGGCTGGACATTCGTTTCCATCATCTGTACGTTGATTGAGTGTTGCCCTCCCTCCCATGCGTGGGTTGTTTTTTTGGGTACTCTGGTTTCCTCCCACACTCATTAAGAGAGTTAGCCAAACATCTCAATATAGGGCGACAGAGCTTGGGCAATGATTGGTGCTGGTTCTGGCTGCCTTCCCGCTCGTCTGTGGTTGACTGAAATGCAATATGTTCTCGTCTACTAGACCAAAACTAAATGCGGACTAATTAACACTGAAATAGCATCCATATTCTACTGCATCCCAGGACGCTGCTGCGCAGAAACAATATGCATGCTTATTTTACAGACCGGCAATCTGTTACAGGCAGGGGGGGGGGGACACAACAGCTTGGACTTGGGCAGGGAGTCGACAGTGCAGATGGCTGGATGAAGGAAGTTCCAGGCTTTGCGAGTCGCTCGGGAGAATGAGGAGCCTCACACTGAATAAGACATTGGGTCAGATCGACCCCACTGTAGCTGGGTGGTCACGTTGCTTAGCGATGCCGCTTGGGGCAGAGCACCTTCGACATTTGTGATAGGAGCTTGACTGCCTCTACCACAGTTGAAGGCACCCACACTTTACCCCACCGTGAGTTTATGCACCGATCTATTTCCTGCAATGTAACCAAGTTACCGTTCAATCTTGATTTGAAGCTTTCGTGACTGCAGGAATCCATACTCTTTGGTTCTTTCGGTAAAGTCACGTGGGTAGAAATAAAATCAAATAAAACAAATCACAATTTACCGTTACTTACCATGACTTGCTGTTGTAACCACATTGCCTAGTCGAAGGGTGAGTAGTTAATAATAATATTTTCATTTTATATAGCGCCATTCATGCCAATAGCATCTCATAACGCTGTACATTAATCACACACAAGGATGAAATGTCATATACAGCCAATTTTTCTCGATCAATTCTCCAGCTCACGTTAGGTGCGCTGGATAGTGTGGGGGACTCGTGCGTAATTGGGTTAATGTGACCTCTTGCTACCGCCAGTGTCTGATATATTTTACCGCAAGGATTTAAAAAAATTAAAACAATGCTCTTGAATGGAATAGTGGCCCTGAAACCGTGAACAATTCGTCAACTCGCTGCAGACGTCGGTCGTTGGGGCTCCAACTGATAGCGAAGGTTGAAAGTGTTTAACTAGAATTGATTCAGAGCACGAAAAAAAATCTTCACAAGTTAGGTTATGGAGTAAATCGCATATATGGTAGGACATGGGGAAGGCACCAGCGACTAGTTTGTGCAATCAAAATCGGTGACCATATATGGGGATGGGGGAAAATGTAGTTTTTTATGCAACTGTTATAAAAGTTTAAACTTTAATCTTCCCATGATCATTATTAATCGATTCTAGGGTGAGAAAGATTATAATTGGCAAGATGCTTAACGGGCTTTTTTGTTTGTTTCAGTAAGAAGTTCAACGTGGAGTGCTCATTGTGACACACCAAGGGCGTCCAATCGATACGTTCCGAGGTTTTAACAAAACCGGACGGATTGTACGGACACTTGGCGATGACACCTTGGGCATTTGAGTGATTTTGCAAAAAGACGGCTCCCGCGGAGAGAAAGTAGTTCCGAAAAGCTCGCCGCGGTGCTTTTTAAATCCTTTATATTAAGTTCACTCGCTTGCTTGCTTGCGTGCTTGCGACCGTGCAAATCTTTCGGTCGTTTTTTAACCCACTTCCCGTGATCCAATCGAGCTGACATTTTCCACACAGACTCGTTGTGCGTGATAATTAATGTTCGTGAAAAATTTTTCCCAAAATTTTCCACTTTTTAGGAAATTTTTTTTTTCATATTTAATTAAAATACCAATGTGATAAAAATGAAACTCTTACTCAAGAAAAACAGAAATGAATAATAAAATAAAACCGATGCCACGCATATAAAGGATTTATAGTGAAAAACTTTGTTTTTACGGGTTAATTTTTCTCTCTCGGAAGAACACAAATCCAAGCTTAAAATGAATAAAAAACACTCCTGAAAAATTGAATTACCCCCCCCCCCCTCCACCCGCGAGAAACAATATAAAAGCATAAGCTGAAAATATCTGAACTTCCACAAACCTGCAAAACTCTGATCTAACGTCCGTTACCTGCGACCAACGGTTTCCTAAAATAGCACAGAAGAGCCCCTGGCTGCACAAGACGCGCATGACGCGCACACTCGGGGCGCTCGCTCGTGAACGGCACATCCCAGCCCCAGCCTCTGCAAGTCGCTGCCGATCAATTTGAGCGGAGCCTCGTGAACTTCAGCCGCGAGACCCTTGAATTGGCACGATGGTATAAAGCAAACGGCTCTTCAACGATACTTCCTGACAGGCCACATGGTGACAGCAGCCTGCGCCGGCGGGGTGTCGTACAATACGTGGACAAACACTGACTCGCATGGCGACGTGAGGTCATAATGCTTGTACATGTGACCACTCATCTATAACCTCAAATCTAAAGGTCTTTCATCTATCTCTTGTTTATCTCTTTCATCATGTTAATTGTTGTTTAATGTCCACAACTGTCTCGTATATATGTATGTTGAACTTCTTTCGCACTGTACGTAGCCGACCATGCTAATCGGAGGTGCAGAGGACAACAAACTGAACACAAAATAGCAATTCTCAAGAAATTAGTTTTCAATCTAGATTGAAAAGTGCATAGCTCCAGTGGCTTCTTAATATCGGAAGGAAGAGCGTTCCAGACGGCCGCAGAAGCGCATCTCTCAATCTCCACCTCTTGTTCATCTCTCCTTTCATTCACTAATCTTTATCTATTTGACTTTGGCGAGCCGTATTTCCGCCACTTCTGGCCTGCAGACTGTCAGTTGAAGATCACAACGATCTCGGTGAAACAGAAAATGCACATGAAGCGTTAAATTTGGGCCGCGGATGAGAATAATTAATTTGGTGGCTAACGCAAGCTGCCACAAGCAGATCCCAGACACCAGCAAATAAATTCTGCATCACCGCCCACTCTTTTTGAATGTTGACGTCGCAGGTCCAAGAGAGTTCCACTGTGCCATTACGATTTAGCAACAGTCAAACGCCATATCCTGCAGGGCGCAATTCGCTAAAGATTGTGGGATTACACGGTGAGGCGCAGGACGACGGGTTCAGGGAAGATGGGAGGCTTTGCTGAGTCCGCTGTAATCCCACAAATTGAAGGCATTTGTTCTGCCGCTGCTCCTTCTGACTTCAAAAAGTGAAATTCGCCATAAATCTGATCAAATCTGGCTGTCACCTCATCAAGCTAGTTGTAATTACTTGCGAAACGTCATATTCAGATTGTGTGCTGTACTAGTCATGAATTGGCGTGTTCTGTTTACGGGACAAACCTTACTAATTAGCTGTGTCGGGTGGTGGCGGGTTTAATGAAACATTTATTTACACGATCTAACCCACAAAAACCTGTATTATGTGTTCGTTCAGCATTAAATATACAACCTCCGACTAGCACGGTCGGCTACGTACGGTGCGAAAGAAGTTCAAAATACATACATAAGCATACAACGCACGTAACGATACGCGCGGGCAGCATCCGTCCCACGGACTCACGCGGGAGTGTTGGTGCTCATGGACATGAGGCCGGTGAGGAAGACGAGCGTGCCCACTACGGCCGCGGGCAGCAGCCAGCCGGTGTAGAAGCCTGGTGAAGACAAGCAGCAACACAGACAAAAATCCCCCTCCACCCCACACCCCCCCCGTGTAGCCTTTAACAGACTGTTGGGGCAAGTGCTGTTCGCGAGTGGCACCTATAAAGGCCGGCTTGGCACACGGAGTGGGTGGTGGGTGGTTAGCAAGCACCACGCCCGGCCGCCTTTGTCTCCGTACTGGCGAAGATTACACATTTGAGGCTGGGTCGACCTAGAGGAGGCCCAGGACCGGTTCAGATAATCGTCACTGGCGGTGTTGGCCGTGAGCGAAAATGGAACTCGGGTCGCCGGGTTCGTAGCGCACTGTGCTCACCGCGACACTACCATACCGAACCACACACACAGAGGTTAGGGCAACACAGTACGGTATGTATGTGTGTTGAACTTCGTTTGCACCGTACATCGCCAACCGTGCTAATCCGAGGTGCGGGGGAACGACAACAAACTAAACACACGGAAAAGTACTGTCACACAGGCATGTAAGGATTGTGAGAAATTTACATGAAAACATAACCAAGGTGGCCAAAAAGCCAGGATATATATTTATTATAACACTTGCATTACATTTTTTTTAGTTTTTTAAGTCAGAATTTACATTTTTATTGTTTATTATTTAAGTAAATATTTTTTTTCTATTATCACTTCACATCTATTTTTCGTATTCGTTTTCAGATGACATTTAAAATAATGGAATTAACCATATTGTGTCCTGACCTTTGTGCCACCCTGTTATAAGCAGAATTTAATTGTCTCTCAACACGCTACAAAAATAAAACTGCTTGTATTCCATCAGGCCTATTGGCTTTGAGAGACCCAATATTTCCCGGCAGCATTAGTTTCAAACAAGCGGATGGACCTGAGCGTGCATTGACGTTCATCTGGAAGTCGCGATTCAATTTGAGAACCCCTTTTGTTATCGTTTGGTGTTCGCCGCGTGTTATTTGTGCCGCCAAACAGCATTGCAGGTGTGCTACTGGGCATCTGTGAGAAAAAGCTTCATAGCTCGTCGGATTCTCGTTCTTACACCGTCGCGACTAACTTCTGTCGTGTTTGTACCGCATCATTCGCGATACTTTTACCTAAATTTAATGTCACTAATACGGATTTAATGATTCGCGTTTGATAAATATCAGAATGGCAATTAGATGCTCATTGCATGTTGACCTGAATGTAAATAGGAGGGTAAATATTTCAAGATTTTGCATCGATTGAGCGTTTAAATGCGACTGTGTCACGATAATAATTTGCGTCACAATTCAGAAACAATTTGCATGAGCAGTGAATATTTCTACATGCACCATTTCATTCGTGCATCGTCAGCGTATAAATCTACATTAGTCTACGAATCTGCGTTGTGCACCGTAATATTAAGCCTCCGAAATAAGGCAATGCACAACGCACTAACCAGATACACGCAGCATACGAATTAATTAATTCAAGACACACCACGATTTAAAAGACTATCAGCCATTAAAACCGCTTTAATTTATCATCAATTGCGTGCAGTCTTGCGCTCTATCACATTTTAATATGTTCATTTATATGTTGGGTACGTTTTTTCGCTCACCAATAATTTATGCCTTTCCCATTGGCTACAAGAGTGTGTTTACTGACCTTAATGAGAATATATATACAGTACGTACATGTAGAAACCATTTACTCTGTTTGCGTGCGAGCATTGCAGTTGAATGCTTCCTAGTAGGCTTCGATCAAACAAGACAACCGAGAACTGGCTTCAACTTTGCAGAGCTTGTTAAGCAACAAACCAAAAGACTCATTTGCTTTCACAATTGCATTTGCATCATCCATGATCAATCCACCGCTGGATGAAGGCCTCCCAAACTCTTCGCCATCTCTCATGCTTCTGCGATATATAATAAATGCACCCGGCACCTGCACACGAGTTGATTTCATTGCTCCATCTCCTCGGTGGACTGGCTCTCAATATGCCTTCTATCCCATGCCATTTGCCGGCACACACAATGTTTCCAATTTTTTTTTCTCTTCTCAAGTAATTTTATAACCTCATGTACGAATGAGTGTAACATTGATGCTGTAAACTAAGCCAGCAACATGGCCATGAAAAGAACAACGGTCGGCTTTGGCATTTCCCAACATTTTCAATGTCACTTGAAAGCATTTGTCATTGTGCTACATTTGTATGTCGTATTTTAATATAATAGAACTGCAGTGTTAACCGGCAATATTAATGACGCTACGTGAAAATAACATATTCGCTGCTGGTCTTGCGGCATGCGCCAGGGAGCAAATGATCTATCGGTGTGACTGAGTGACGAGCGAGCGGGACATCAACTGACACTCGTAATGGTACAGGTGGTGGCCCGGTTTGGGGTTAATGCTAATGGATGTGTCAGGGCAGTGAGCCAGCACTCACGACATCGAAAGCCAAACATCAGGTGACAGGCCGAGGATAGATTCGTTTTTATTACGCCCTCCGATGTGTTTTCCTGGCTGGATGATGTCCAACGTTTCACTCCACGTGGTGCGAGCTTCTGGTGGAACTGAAGTAACCAGTTGAACAAAAATTTAGTGAAAATCTTTGTCACAAATGACCGCGCAAAAATCCCTCCCGTGCGTCGCTGAATGTTTCGTCATTGCTCATGTGCATCGTCGAGTGAGCTGTAAGGGATGAAACCTGGCAGGCTGTCACAATATCCTTCAGGGTCTCCTGAAGGTTATAGGATGAAGGCCAATAACTATTCCACTGTATGTGTGGCCATGTCTATAATTGATTCAGGAATGGTGTCAAACAGCACTTAGTTTTTTTCCTTGATACTCAGCACGTGACGGCTTGTCAATTAAAAAAATATGTTTTACGCTCACGATACGCACACCAAATTGCGTGTCACTATCGATTATTATTCTACAATGTATTCCAATTAAATGCTGATGTTACATGGAGGCTATTGGAGCAGACGTCAGCTGTATGAGAGACAGAAATAAATTATAATCAATACAAACGAGACGGGGTGGGGGAAGAGGTAAAAATGTATCGATTTCTGAATCAAATTGTGACCCTAAATCGTGACGATTCATCGCATCACTGGAAGAGGTGATTTTACACGCATACGTGGCACTGATCACAGACAACCAGTGGACAATTACAATAAAAAAAACACGTATACAACTCTAAAATGTGCTGTATTGTATTTAAGCACATACGATATGACACTATTACACAGAATCGCGAGTAACGGCACTAATTGTGAGAATTATGAATTTGCTGTGGGTAACTGCCCTCAATATGAGAGATAAGGTCACGTGAGGTGCCCTGGGGGGAGCGTTCGTGGCTGAGAGGGCACAGGATTTGGATCCCGACCCTGACGCCTGCTGCTGTATATTTGGAGTTTGCGTTTCTCTCTCATCATCATCATCATCACGGTGGCTAGGAGATGTTAACTCCCTCGCCTGGTGTGCAGGAGGTCGTGGGTTCGATCCCGACCCTGACGCCTGCAGCTGTATATTTGGAGTTTGCGTTTCTCTCTCATCATCATCATCACGGTGGCTATGAGATGTTAACTCCCTCGCCTGGTGTGCAGGAGGTCGTGGGTTCGATCCCGACCCTGACGCCTGCTGCTGTACATTTGGAGTTTGCGTCGCTCTCTCTCATCATCATCACGGTGGCTAGGAGATGTTAACTACCTCGCCTGGTATACAGGAGGTCGTGGGTTCGATCCCGACCCTGACGCCTGCTGCTGTATATTTGGAGTTTGTGGTGTCCCTCTCCCTGTGGTTGTGTGGCATGATCTCAGGGACCTCCAGTTTTTCCCTCGACATTTAGAATCAACATCACGCATTTAGAACATTTCGCTGCTATAAATGTCCACGTGATAAGCCACTTCGTTGAGCTGTCGTTTGTGATGGCTCGGCCGCTTCTGAAGAAGAGCTACATAGCTCAGTGGGCCTTACCTGGTAAAATAAAAATGAGTTGCCACATCCAGAGTAAGTAATACCAGGACACAATAATAATAACAATATCTCATGATACCGGAGCAGAGGATAACTATGCCTAAAAGCTAGGACCCATATTGTAAAGAGAGTCTAACCCCAGCCCGGAGCATTCGAAAGTTTACCATCATTGTTTCAGGCGAGCCTGAGACACTGCGACTCAAAACCGGCCTGGAGTTTGCTTGTGTTGTGAGTCGATGCTGCTAAAATTGCGTACCCTGGTTTGTGTAAAAAATACTTTCATTTTTGTTGACATCGAAAGACGAATATATATTGGAGACACACTTCCAGTTAATGCATTTTGTTCCACGTAAAGGCATAATGATGACGTCACCCTGCTGCTGCTCTATATAAGAACGGGAGACACAGCAGAGCCTCACCATTCTGGCGAATTGCCCGATGATGCTGGATGCAATTACCAGCGAAACGTCGTGCTCAAATTGTAAATGTTGTGGCTTCAACACACCGGTGGGCTAAAGCAGTGAACTATTTGTCTTTTGTCAACGTGACACTTTTTTACTGATTGGCCGTGTCGGGTGGTGGAGGGTTACGACACATTTATAAATAACGTGATCTAAACCCAAAAAGTTGATTATGAATAACATTGGTCGCGAAAGCCTACGTGTTAAAGGCATAGTCTTTGGAGTTCGAATTATTAAGCAACCGACAACAACAACAACAAAAAACCGGGACGCTGAATGTCACGGGGAAGACTCACACGTCCCATGGGAAGATGCCTCAACAAGAGGGAGATCTGGAGAGAGCCAGGCCAGGTGGCAACCCCCCACTCACATTTGCATGCGTGCGGGTTGATCCCGTTTTCAGGTGACAGCTGGGAAATTCTTACCACGTTTGTTGATTGTTTGCGTTTTAAAAAGTGCACACGTACCCAGCCAGGAAAAGTAGATGGCGATCTTTTCGCCGAAATAGGATCGGATGTGGTCCAGCGGCTGGTACTTGTACCAGCAGCCCCAGCGCGCCCAGTACAAGAACAGAATCTGTCGCGGGTTGAGCTGCTCGGGCGACGTGGCATGGTTTGGCTTCTCGAAGACGCCCTGAGCAACCGGGGGACAAGTCAGGGATGCCGTGCCTGCCATGGCTGTGTAAACAATGCGGGTAAATGTGAAGGGTTGTTGGTTCGTCTTTCTGCGTTTACCAAGTTTACTAACCATTCAAATACAAATTAGCTCGTTCCACGCCGCACGTGCCGACGATTGTTCAGCACGTGGCACGTGACGCGCTAAGACATTAACGCTGTCTGCGTTGATAGAGAGTGACGAGTGTGATCTCAGTGTGTGTGTGTGTGTGAGTGTACACGAATCCTGGTTGTTGGTTGACTCAGTCCATCATCCCTCTGGGGTCGATAAAAATTGTTCAGCACATCGCACGTGACGCGCTAAGACATTAACGCTGTCTGCGTTGATAGAGAGTGACGAGTGTGATCTCAGTGTGTGTGTGTGTGTGTGAGTGTACATGAATCCTGGTTGTTGGTTGACTCAGTCCATCATCCCTCTGGGGTCGATTAAAAATTAATACCACTTTGTGGGGAAGCCAACAGTGGTTATCCTACAGGTAGACTCACCCCCCCACCCCCCCCCCCCCCATCAAAGCAATGTGGTATTAATTCTAGATTTGAAGCTTTCGTGACTGCAAGGATTCATATTCTTAGGTTTTTTCGGTAAAGTCACGTAGGTAAAACATCAAAATTAATGAAAATAAAATAAAATAAAAATCACGACGGAGACTTGTGTTGCCTCCGAAACGTCGTGATTTTTATTTTATTTTCATCAATTTTGATGTTTTACCTACGTGACTTTACCGAAAAAACCTAAGAACAATGTGGTATTTCCACCACTGGCTCAGGGCTGCTGACAGGAGATGAGAACCTCCTGAACTCTCACTTGAGCAGGAAATCACTTCGGCTTATTCGGCACCCGGTTCGGAAGAGGTCACCCATCGCTGACCTCGTGCAGGGGGAAGGCTGCGCTGTACACGTCCTCGCTAAGCAGTCGGTCGATGCCAATTTCCGCCCTCTTGCGCTTGCCATAGGCCGTCCGCGCCAGGATCTCGTACATCTGCCGAACGGGCCGCAGGGCAAGGACGATAATATCACCACCTTACTTGCTGCGATAGTTGATAATAAAAAAAGCAACTAGGTGACCCGTTGATATATTTGCACGGTTGGCTACGTGTTGTGCGAAAGAAGTTCAACATGCATACAGATGTACATACAAAGACCCCCCTCCAGTATAACCTTTAACAGGCTGTTGGGGCAAGTGCTGATAGCGAGCACCTATGAAGGCCGGCACGGCACACGAGGGGGGTGGGTGGCCAGCACGATTTTCGACCGCCTTTGTCTCCCCAGTGGCGATGTTTACTACACACCGCACCAGGTACTCATTTGAGGCTAAGTGGATCCAGGGGAGGCCCCAGGTCCGGTTCAGATAATCGTCACTGGTGTTGGCCTTTGAGCGGAAATCGAACCCTGAGTTGCCGGGTTCGTAGCGCAGCGTAGCGGCGCTGACCGCAACACTTTGCTCATCTCGTCAAGGAGCATAAACCACCACGCAGACTGCGGTCATCCTCGCAGTAGCCGTTGTCTAGCCATTGCATCGGGCGATTCTGCGGCCGTCTGGAACGCCCTTCCTTTACGATATTACGAAGCCGCTGGAGGCATGCACTTTTAAATCTAGATTTGCAACTCATTTCTTGAGAACTGCTTTTGGTGTTTCGTTTGTTGTACTTCCCCACACCTCCGATTTAGCACGGTTAGCGACGTACAGTGTGAAAGAAGTTCAACATACGTACATTGAAATAACCTTGAGACTGACTGAGGCTTTTCCGGATGAATGCAATGCATTCATATTGTTGCAGCAGCAGCTAAAGCCAAATTCACTTCGATTCCCTTAAACCTAAAAGGTACGATACGATTTAGGTCCACTTTCGCGAATAGAAGTCTGGGAGAGCTGTCCTAATTTCTGAACAGCTGTTGACTCATGTTTATAAATGAATGCAGCGTCAACTCATTTGTAATCCCATTATGCCCACCGACAAGTCCAATTAAGCCACTCTCCATGGGGGGGGGGGGGGGCATGCATAGCAGCGGCACACCGAGAGCTGTCTCCACTCACAAACACGCGCTCCGACAGCAGCGGCAGCACCACAGAATCATCTCTCGCGTGCCTTGAGCACTGCACGCGTTGACATTTCAGCTCTTTAACCACCACCACCGTGGGTCATGATTTATCCGCTGCTGGAGGAAAAGACTCCCCAAGGCATCGCCATCTCGCGCGGTGTTGAGACTCAACGCTGTCACCTTCCCAACCCCCCCAACAGCTGATTCTGTTTCTCTCTCCCTGCAGGAGGAAATCCTCTTCATCCAGTGTGTGTGTGCAATATTCCCGTTTTACGTGTGCGTGCGTGCGTGCTGTGAGGAACGGAGTCTGCTCATTACGTCCGTGCTGTCCAATGTCGTGCTTGCACTGGAAGTTGACGTGAAGGATTTGTTTGTTCGTCACGAGATCGTCCCGGGAGTGAGTGCACTTTACGAATCAGAGGGGGTGGGGTGGGGGGACGTGCAGTGGCGAAGGGACGTAGGGCAACGCACGTTCGCTCCTCTCGCTGTGCAGATTTTTTGTCATCGGTCTCAGTGACGGATTAAGCTGGTGCGGGGCCTGTAGCATATGTTATTAAGGGGCCCTACATAAACATAAATATGAAAAGCATTTTTTTGACTTGCGTAGTAAAGTCATTGTATTTTTTCATTTGCTATACAGCCAGATAATACGACAAATCGCTAACCTTAAACACCGCATCGTTCATAAAAGTTGAAGGCGGTATAGTACTATAGTAATAAAGCAAGTGCAGAATCACTGAACCGGAATTGATAGCTTGAAAGCAATTAGCAAGGGTCCCTTGAAAGTGCGGGGACCGTAGCTACTACCCGTGTAGCTACTACACGTGTAGTAGCTACTACATGTGTAGCTACTACATGTGTAGCTACTACATGTGTAGCTACTACATATGAAGTGGTAGCTACTACATATGTCACTACTTGTGCTACTAGGATAATCCGGCACTGTTCGGTCCTCTATCCATCCGCAATCACCGCTTCAAGCGACGCTGCCCTTTGCCCCGATCCCGAATGTAGTTTTCCTAACAGGGCAAGTCGCTGGAGAGGAATGGTGGCCGGGCCTACCGATGGAACGGCGGCCGAACGACAGAAGACGTCCACCGCCAAAATAAACACAAAAACAAGGTGAAGCGATGGAATGAATCCCCCCCCCCCCCCCCCCCCCCGTGCAGGCGCTGGGCGTATTTGAATCACGGTGGCTTATTCTTCTGGCGGAATATTTTTCGTGTCGCTTTGCGGACTGGAGTCCGTGTGTTGAACTTCTTCGGCACCGTACGTACGTAGCCAACCGTGCTAATCGCAGGTGCCGGGGAAGGACAGCAAAAATAAACACGCAAAAAAACAAGGTGCTGGCACGTGACTAGAAGCAGCCGCAGCCAGAGCGAGGGGGTATACTGGGTGTGGTGTGCCGGGTGAGGAAATATTGTCTGGCTCGCTGACCCAGCTCTGGTTAGCATTGCAAAATAAAATAATGAGAGATGGATGGATGGTGAGGGCATGGGGAGGTCTTCACCCAGCAGTGGATATACAAGGCACGGCACATAAACGTGTGTACATATATACAGCAGAGAAATGGGATTCGAAAAAAAAGGGGGAGGGTTAGGGGAATCAACCCTTGCTATGTGAAACTTTAAGTAAAAAAAAACGGTTCAACTTGCAGAATACATTTTACAATGGAGCGTAACACGTCGATAAAATCAGGTGAGGTAAGAGGTAACACTCAAAAGCACTTATATCCATATTGTACAAAGCTACTCATTCAATGTCGTATTCTCGAAACATGTATCCATTAATACAGGAGCATTTACAGACGCCATGGTTATCTTGAATGTAAAAAAAACGTTAATGCCATATAATATAAAAGATCACCTTTTAAAATTTCCACTTACAATGCGTTGACGCTGAGTGTTGGTGAAATACGTGTCGTGATTCTCGCTCCCTAGAAACCTGAGTGAGACACAGAGCGGTGGCACAGCCCATGATCAGTCACGTAGAGAGCGGAATTGCCAACGCAAGGCGTGAGATCCGTGGCTTCTATACTTCGAATCGAGTGCACAAGGGGCTGGGAGGTAGCCAGGGGATGGCAGAAGAGCCTTTTCATTTTGAACTGACATTAAAAAAATAAAGTTCATACAAATCCCTGCACACAACCGATTAATTACATCCCGAGTTCCATTACTGCCCCATCAGGACAGAAAATGTTGCTTCTAACCACCATTAAACCGAGAACGCTGCAGTTGTTTGGGCACATGAATAGATAAAAAAACGGTCCCCATTAGTTAGAACTGCTCAACCCGAGCTGCACAGACCATGGCAGTAGATGCGGACACCTGATGCACAAATGGAAACTCAAAACATCTCCAGTAGTGAGCGACTGTGGTCATCCGGCACAGAGATCCTGTCAAGGTAATAACGACACAATGTCCGATCCACAAATACAAAGGAGACATCGCAGCGATCGCACTCCGCTAGTCTTGCCGTGGTTATCCGGGCATGACCACCTGAATGTGAGATTGTAAATGGTTGCTCTGCATCTACATCAGCAGCCGTACGAAAGAAGAATAAGGAGAAGACTGATGAGCGCCTACCTGCTGAGTTTTGACTTGCGGAACTGGCAGGTGTAGTAACCCAGGGGTCGGTTGGGGACGTCCTCTTGCATAATGTTTGGGATTTTCAGACGCCCAAGCAACCGCTCAGACCAATTCTCAATCGTGTTTGGGCTTCCCTTGAATCGACAGGAGACGACACGGCACAGACACGAGACACGACGAGCCGCCGACGATTCGCACGGTTGGCTATGTGCCATGGGAAAGAAGTTTAACATACGTACATGCAGCATTTGTCGTTCGTTTCCTTCCGAGAAGACCTCACACGCGGCATTCGGTAATATTTTGACTCCGACCGGCGGTCAAACCGTTGCATTGCTTTAAAAAACACAACGGACGGGTGGATGCAGCATTGAAAACAAACGAGGAAGACAAACCACGCGTGCTGTAGATGCAAGGCTTCCGCAATGCTTTACGACGTGCGGTTCTTCTCGGAGGTGTTTCACGAGCGATAACGACGTTTCGGTTCCGTGGCGCACGACGAGATCGTGTTGTACGACGTTCCAGGGGAATGCCATCGGCACACGATTTTCATCGCTAAGTTTTTTGGGCAACCCTTTGATCAAAGTGTCCGGTTTTCAATGGTGTAAGCCTCTGATAGCAAGACAACTTTATGCTGAAGTTTCATTAAAATTGGATCGTCTTTACGGGGGCCCCTTTTATAGGCACAGACAGGCAGACCGACGGATGGTCATGAACCACTACGACTAATTTTTGTATTTGACCAGGTAAGGCCCACTGAGCTATGTAGCTCTTTTTCAAAAGCGCTGGACACCAATTGATACCCCAACGAAGTGGCTTATCACGTGTAAATGTATAGTAGCCAAATACTTAAACGTGTGATGTTGATTCTGAACGTGGAGAGAAAACCCGGAGGACCTGGAGTAAAATCCACGCCACCACGGGGAGAGAGATACGCACACTCAGAATATACAGCAGGCGTCAGGGTTGGCATTGAACCCACGTCCTCCTGTATACCAGGCGATGTAATTCACATCTCATACCACCGTCATCCACTCCACCCCCTTAGATGCGGCACGGCACTGAAACAACACCACCAACATTTCAACAAAAGCACCAGTCACCATGTATACACATCTCGTGTTGAAGCAAGTGGCATCATTCGTACTGTGGATCTATTCACCAAGAAGGCCCAAGTCGTCTGCGTCAATTGGACGGCAAAGATCCCATGACGTCATTGGGAAAAAGAGCAGGCCATTGTGTGCCGGAATTACGGTCGAAATTTGATCAGTTACTCGAATTTTGATAAATGTGTCGTTAAACCCGCCACCACCCGACGCAGCCAATTAACAAGGTTTCTCATGTAAACAGAACTGGACAATTCGTTACTAGTACAGCATACCAGTGTGTTGGAGAGCAAAGCCACAACATTTACAATCTGAAGTACGGCGTTTCACCAGTAACTACAACTAGCTTCATCTGGCGACAGACAGATTTGTGGAGAAATCCTCCTGGAACAAACACCGCCCCCCCCCCCGCCCCCTGTATTATAGATGATATTGGTCACGAAAGCCTACGTGTCATACTCGGAAGATTCCTTACGTATGTATGTTGAACTTCTTTCGCACCGTACGTAGCCAACCGCGCGACGAAACCAGCACCGCCGCTTATTGGCAGAATAACGGACCGGCGGCTGGAACAGCCTTCACTGGGCGGGGGGGGGGGGGGGGGGGTCCCCCACTAGTACAGGGTGCGGTATAAGCAACGAAGGGGTGCGGGACGATGGACGATGCCAACCTGCAGAGGCGCCCGCATGCACAGCTCCTCAGCGTAGTAGACGAGGACGTCCCAAGGGGCGCTCAACTTCATGTAGTGAATGTTCTTCCTTTCGCTCACCGTCACCTCCTGCAGACACGCGCAGGAAAGGGCAATCGCTCACGCCGCCGTAGCTGCCTGCCTGCCTCCTCGCGATGGCCCGGGCGGCGAGCGGAGTGGCCCTCTGCACGACGGCGCTTGAGCGTAACGTGTCTCTGTGTGTGTGTGTGTGAGATTGTTTTTGCTTTTGGAGAAAGTGTTCACTTGGGTTCGTGTTTTAACCCTCCGTCAACGAGCGAACCTACCTGTATTCTTGGTTCTTTCGGTAAAGTCACGTAGAAGGGAAATAATAAAATAATAAAAATATAAAACAATAAAAATTCTCACGACGTTTCGACTGCAACACAAGCAATCATCATCAGGTGTGAAATCCACAGCAAGAAAATTTGAAAAAAGTGGCGGTTTTTCCTAACGTCAGCACCAAGGACAGTGAAAGAACCAAGAATATGAATCCCTGCAGTCACGAAAGCTTTAAATCAAAATTGAACCTACCTGTGCTAAATCTTGACACAGTGTCCTAATGCAAAGAAGACTAAGTGTTTACGACGACATAAGGAAGACGTTTACGACTAAGACTTCGAAGGGGAGATTTGTTTTTTAGTCAATCCGTTTTATAATTGTTTGAAACGTTTGGGTTTTCCAGCCGGTATCAATATTCTGTTCGCATTGGGTTTTCATAATCATTTACAGATTTTATATTTCAGTTCCATCGCTGTGGAAAACAAATTGTGCAGACCATGCAGCGGTCATGATTGCAGTCAACTCCCGGAGTTGAAGGCCAACAACAAAAAATACGTGACTGTCATTTTCAGTGGCTTCAAGAAAAAAAAACTCACGCACTGCGTCACACTCGCCGAAGACGACAGGGAAAAGGACGCTGAATCATGATTTTACTGGGTGCAGGAGCTCTCCTTCATGGCCGTGAGAGAAAGGGAAAATGCCGTTTGACTCCTCGTAATATTTGCGCGTGTACTGTCAGGCGCTATCAAGATAAATATTGGGCCTTGGTAGATAATGCTTGGTTGAGGGTACCCGTCATGTATAATTTAGAAATAAATGTGTTGTAAAACTGGGGGTTTTGGGCTAAGTTACAGTTGAACAGTTATATTCCCTGTCTCCCCCCCCCCCTCATGCCTTCGATTAGCACGGATGGCTACGTACGGTGCAAGAGAAGTTCAACATACATCCACACTCTCATCAGGCCCGTGTACAGTAGGTAGGAATTTTGTTATTATTTGTGGCAAATGACCTTTCTTTTTTTTATAATCCTGTAGAAGGGTCCCCACTGAGTTCGACTGATTTAGTGCTTAGCGGGTGGTTTGGGGCCGTGCCCTGTGGGAACGTTTGAGAAAGAAAACGGGGTCAGGCAGCAGGCAATGAAATTGCCAAAAACAACAAAAAAACACCACCACTTGAAAGGCCTCTCTGTAGTGTTGTTGAGGCTGTTTGAACTCTGGATAACAAAAAATTAAAATAAACAATATCTGTGAATTCATAGTACGAGATCAGTAGCATTTACTGAGCATGTTCATGAAATATGCAACACCAGTTGTTTGTTTCCAGGCCAGTAGAAACTGTGAAATGGGATTTTAACGAGAAAATAATGATTAATGAATCTATCTGTATTTCATCAAAGCAATGTTGTGCGGAGAGGATAACGGCAATGATTTTTGATGTGACCATCTGGGCTTGAGCTTTAAAATAACGCAATTAAAATTTCAGTAATAAAAAAAAAATGAACATGGAACAATTTACAGCCCTTTGTCAATCCACTGCTAGATGAAAGCCTCACCACATCATGTTGATCACGATGGTTGTTTGACCATTCTTCACCGTGCTGTTCAGTGCGGGTTGAAGAAACGGATGAGGGAGACCCAGGACCGATTCATATATTACTCGCCACAGATATTAGCCTTGACCCAAAATCTAATTCTGGTTGCCGGGTTCATAGGGCAATTGCACGAACCAGCGTGCCTCTTTTCTGCCCAAAAACAATAAAACATATGCGTAGCTGGCCTACATTTACATTTCGATTGTAAACGTAATTGGGACATACATACACAAAGCCACATTCGGTTGGCTACATACGATGCAAATGGAGTTCAACAGCCATTCATACATCCATCCACCCCCTGTCATTTGCAATGAAAACTATATTGTCATGTATATGCACTTTGGGACACGTAAAAGGGAATGGCCATCACCTGAATATAGTGCAGTGTTAAATAAAATGAAGTCCTCTTTTAAGACGATGCATATTTGCTTTCAACTGGGCTGTATACAGGGCACAGGATAGGCAAGTTATTTTAGACACACGCACAACGTTCCCATCTTTGCAGTTGCTCCTGGCATCTTTGCCATTCATGATGATGATTTTAACAAATATTTTATTGACGTGATCTGACCCAGAAACATACATTACACTGATCAACACACTTTTTCTGGCATAAGGTATTCCAACGGTCTTAATGTAATTTTGGGGTGCTGATTCCAAATCTGGCATCAGTTTTTGTCTATCACATCAGGTTTTTGAGATATTAAAATATTGCATTTTCAATAAAAACTGCAGAATATTTAAAAAAAAGTAGATATCTACATAAATGATATTATAAACACACTATCCTAAAAATACAGCACCATATTTTAACACTAAAGCAGTCACTGACTCGCATCAACTTGCAATCATAAGTGACAGTTAATTTCGGGTAAAATCAAAGAAAATGGGGTATGCCGATAGCATAACAATGAGATGTGATAGAGAAAATCTGAGATCAGATTTGGAATTAGCACCCTGAAATTAGTCTAAAACAGCTGCAAAAGTCCAGGCCAGAATTTGTTTTCTTTGTTGACCTGTGTTATTAATCGTAATAATGGTGAAGGAAAGGCTCTTAACTGTTCATTGTAATAGCCCACCTCTTTCTGTCGTACGAATTGGCGATGGGTGGTGAGTGGCCTCACCTCCTCCATGAGTAAGCCCGACTTCTCCAGGTTGGTCAGGAACTTGGTGCGCCACCGTCCCTGTTTGTCCTGGCCACTGCCGCGCTCCATCTGCCTCTCGATGTCCTGCCGCTCCATCTCGTGGTACCGCCGGCTCCCCCTTCGCTTCCTCGCCTCACCCACCTTCTCCTCCCACACCAATATAAAATCTGCGGCGGGGAGGGAGAGCGTCGCCGCAGTGGTTCGGCAAAGGGTTGCCTTTGGTGTTTCCATAATCAACGTTTTTGGGTTTGGATCGCGTTATTTATAAATGTGTCATAACCCTCCACCACCCGACACGGCCAATTAGTAAAAAAACGCGATCTAAACCCAAAAACGTTGATTATGAATAATATTGGTCGCGAAAGCCTACGTGCTAAACTTTGGTGTTTCCGCAACGGCTCATCATTCCAGGCTATCGTGAAGACGACGTTTCACAGACGGCTACAACCTGACCCTAGGCGGTGATGCTGCTGTGTGGGGTTTACCTTATTCAATGATTTGCGAGTCCTTTTAATGAACTTACAAAATGTGGACCGTGATGGCGGCACACATGGCCTCCTCTGAGAGGACTGATGGAGCCGATGATGAGGCTGAAGGGACTGATGAGGCTGAGCGAGTTCGTGTGTGATTGAGACGATTCATCCATGAGCCAGGGGGGCACCACCGTGGCAAGATGTTAACTCCCTCGCCTGGTATGCAGGAGATCGTGGGATCAATACAAATCCTGACGTCAGTATATTTGGAGTTTGCGTGTCTCTCTCCCCGTGGTTGCGTGGGATTTTTTTTCGGGTGCGACGGTTTGTCCTTCGAACATTTAGAAACACGTGTTTAGATTATTTTGATGCTATACATTTCCACACGATAAGCCATTTCGTTGAGCTATCATTTGTGGGCAGATCGTTTCTGTAAAAGAGATATATAGCTTAGTAGGCCTTACCTGGTATTCATCTTTTTGGTTCTTTCGGTAAAGTCACGTAGAAGGGAAATAATAAATTAATAAAAATAAAACATAATAAAATAATTCTCACAAAATATGGAACGCTTCACGAATTTGCGTGGGGATGACACGCAAATTCGTGAAGCGTTCCATATTTTTGTGACAATTATTTTATTATGTTTTATTTTTATTATTTTATTATTTCCCTTCTACGTGACTTTACCGAAAGAACCAAGAAGATGAATCCCTGCAGTCACGAAAGCTTTAAATCGAAACTTACCTGGCATGTTTCACTTTTCGGTACCACGTGAAGTAGCATGACTTCACTGGTTCCAATTTATTTATGTGTCCAATGCATTATGCGATGACCATTTGAGATTAGTGGGTTTCCAAGTAATTTAATTTTGCTATTAACCATCTAACTAAACCAGTACGGAATTCTGATTCGGCCCATGGACTAGATGATGGGGTTGATGGGGCTGAGAGAACACGACACCAGTCACACGGGGTTAACCGAGGACGTGGCAAATTCATTGCCAAGGGAGGAGGCGACAGTGATGGGAACGGAGGTCGTACGAGGTTCGAGGGCCATTAGAGGGCAAGGCAATGGGACCGGTGGCTGTTGGTGGAGTATCGGGTAAAATGTAGTAATTATAATAATAAAAATGTAACTGTGAATTAAAAAATATATATAACGAATGCACACACACTTCCTGCAAGTAATGTTCTGTTAATTAATTACTGGAATAATCGAATGGAAGCCAGGAATGGGAGAATAATTAACAAGATTGATCATGGCTTTGGCCAGATGTAAAAAGGCCATGGAGAAATTGTCCATTTTATGGAGAGCACTTATAAACTCAGCACAATTTAACTGCAATACTGCATACGTGGGATGCTGTCGTGTGCTGTCATGGCTATCACGCTGGACTTGCAATCCAGATGTCACCTATTCGGTGAGAACGTATGTATGTTGAACTTAGATTTGAAGTTTTCGTGACTGCAAGGATCCATACTCTTGGTTTTTTCGGTAAAGTCACGAAATAAAATGAAAACAACTCAATTAAATCACGACGTTTCGGAAGCAACACAAGCCTCCGTCTTCAGGTGTGACTGCTCCAGCAACATTACTGAAAAAAATAAGAGTATGTTGAACATATTTTGCACTGTACATATAGCCAACCGTGTTCATCGGAGTGTGCGGGGAAAGGACAACAAACCAAACACAAAGATCAGTTCTAAATAAATTACTTTTCAATGTAAATTTAAAAGTGCATAGCTTCAGTGGCTTCCTAATATCAAAAGGAAGAGTATTCCAGACGGCCGCAGAAGCTCATCTGAAAGCGCGCGATATGCAGTGACCGTCTTTGTTCGATGCGAGCCAAAAGCCGCTGAGAGGATGCCTTGGGTCCGTAGTCTGGCGCGACCGTTTTGTGTGGCTGGCCACAATTCAAAGTGTGTAATGTCTCCACCGCGGTCAATCAGCAGGTCACGTGTCGTGGGGTATAAAGTGTGGGAACTCCGAACCTCTTCCAGCACGTCTGGCCAGTGTGAAAGAGTAGGCCAAAATACCCTATCTAGAGCTCCCTCTAGAGTGGAGGCCCTTCTGCCAGCAGAGGCATGAGCGAACAATTTGCAGGGCTGCACTTTTCCCCTTTATGCAGTCCGAACCTGCGACCTTTATACTGAAACTCCAGTGTGCCAATTTAGACGTCATCGCCAAGAAAATCAAGTAAGGGCAACGGTAATTTGTTTAGTTAATGGGTCGGCTCGTGTTTACAATGGGATACCATGCCATACACCTCAATTAATGAAACCATCACCGGTTCACTTACCAATTTTTGTCCTCCCATCGTGGAAGTAGTTTCCCTTGGGCGGCTGCTGTGGCGTGCCCGTGGAATCCATCGGATGCTCTTCCCCCCCATCCTGCAATGAAGGGAATGGTAAAATCCACCCAAGGCACGGACGTATGTTCCGCTCGTGACGAGCCCGAGGCACCCAGGACTGACCAACGCACCCCGAAACTCAACATTAATTTAATTGTAATGGTGCTGCTTTGAGACCAGAGGATTTTGGTGAGCTGAAATGTGCACGAATTTCCATGGAACATAGTAGCAGCACATTCTGCGGATTTTAAGACACTCCGGAAAGTAAAAAGCACCCCAATTTTCACAAATCTGGTCACACACATACGCACAGTCACCCATTGGGTTATGGGACGCATTCACAACTTGTGTTTTAAAATACGAAGGGAAACAGTGCGTCTTATAATGCGGAGAATAGGGTCATCATTTACAGACCTTCATCAATCCACTGCTGGATGAAGGCCTCCTCATTGCTGGTTATGTGGATTGTTTTCCAATACTTGACTCTGTTGGTCAGTGTGCATTGGGGAAGTTGGATGGGGTTGGTTACAGGACTGAGTCAGATGTCACTTGCCACTTATATTCGCTGTGACCGGGAATAAAATTCAGGTCGCGGTACCATCCCCGTACATCCAAGAGTGACCACCTCTACACTATGGGGCCCGCTAGATTGGCTAATGCCAACAAAAAAAAATCGAATCTGTAAATTACGAGACAACCCCATCATCATCATCACGACAGGACAAACAGCGCAGGCCGGGAAAGCCATGAGTTTCAAACAGCACACAGAAACGTGCACATAAAGCTCTGAGTGTATTGTTTGCAGAGGCTCGACTTTGCAGCAGTTATCATCGGTGACTATGCAGTGCTGATGAGTCCTAAGAGTGACGAAACCAGTCTGTGGTTGTCTCTTTCTTGCTGCCATCTGTTGGTCGGTCACATTTGCTCAAACTTCTTTGACGGTGACTGATGTAAGGCAAGAGGGATGCCATTGCAGTTCATCACGAACTGTTGATTGTTTTTCTAACAATGCACAAATGCCCGAGTGCTCTTCGTCCATGTCTCTGTGTGTTTTGTGGAAAAAATGTACCCTAGTATATTCATAATAAAGGGTTTTGGGTTAGATCGCGTAAGTAGAAATATTGTGTCGTAACCCTCCACCACCTAACACAGCCAATTAGTAAGGGATTTGTCACGTAAACACAACGCCAATTAGTTACTACTTGAGCCCACCGGTGTGGGAGAGTACACAACATTTACACAACACTTACACGATCTAACGCAAAAACCTTTATTATGAATAATATTGGTCACGAAAGCCTACGTGTTACACTTTTTTTCCGGTCGGTACTGTTCATGTTTTCCTTTTATGAATGGGGTGTCTCTTTGTTAACAGATTTGATGTGTGAACAGCATTTTGCTTTAGAATATATTTGATCCCAATTAATGAAATAGCATTTTACAGCGCCCACATGCACTGTTGGCAAGAATTAATTATACTAATTGGCAAGTATAAGAATGATCTTAATTGCGTTATCAAATTAACGTGCACTTTTCCCGTCTGATTTCTGGAAGTCTTGCAATTAAACACTCCTGGCAATTACCACCCTCTAACTTGCATATCGTTTGGAAATAATGCGACTAATAAGGCAACAAATTGGAAGAAAATGTAGATTTTTTTTGTTATATCCAGTTTAACACGTAGGCTTTCGCGACCAATATCCAAAATATAGTTTTTTTTGGGTTAGATCGCATATATGTCCAAATGCATCGTTAAACTTGCCACAAATCTCCACAAATCTGGCTGCCGGCCTGATGAAGCTAGTTGTAATTACTGACGAAACGTCGTACTCACATTGTAAATGTCGTGGCTTGGCTCTCCAACACACCGGTTCGCTGTACTAATGTCGAATTGGCACGTTCTGCTTACATAACAACCCTTACCGTTTGGCTGTAATGGGTGGTGGCGATCGAACGCAAAACAACATCTATACAGTTGCTCTGCACAGGTTATCAGGGGGCTGTAACCGCTATGGCCTCCTTCTTCTTCATCTTCATCTTCGCCCGTGTCTCCTGTCCAACCTCGACACGGTGGTCTTTTCCCAATATTCTGCACAGACCACCACTGCTGGTGTCGGCATTGCCAAATGTTGAGGAGTGGCATTGCGGTGCTGCGGGGCTATCTCAGGAGATACTCTACTGTTTTCTTCTCCTGACAAGCACCATTGGTCGGTTGTGCAGAAGCCCCCCTGCCCCCCACGATTTCATGAGAGAGTTGCATCTTCCGAAACCCACTCTCAGTCCAACTCCGCCATGTGAGCCATTTGGAATTGTAGCCAGATGCGAGCTCCTCGCTGGGGAAGAAGTCCTGGCAGTTTCCAGTGATGTGGTCAAGTGGTACAGTGGAGCACAATCCCCTTTTTTTTGTCTCGATGAGAGACGACGGTTGTGCTGGCTGATGGGCCATGTCGTGTTAAAACGCAAATGACACCACTGACAGATATTCTTAGGTTTTTTCGGTAAAGTCACGTAGGTAAAAACATTAAAAAGTAAAATAAAATAAAAATCACGACGTTTCGGAGGCAACACAAGCTTCCGTCTTCAGGTGGTACCGTCACAGCCACGACAGCTGTATCAAGTTAATTTACTTGAATTTACTTGATACAGCTGTCGTGGCTGTGACGGTACCACGAAACGTCGTGATTTTTATTTTATTTTACTTTTTAATGTTTTTACCTACGTGACTTTACCGAAAAAAACCTAAGAATATGAATCCTTGCAGTCACGAAAGCTTCAAATCTAGAACCACTGACAGAACCCTCGTCAAAAGTGACCCATGCCATCACGGCATCTGTGGGACTGCACGTTGGCTAATGCCACCACCACTTACCGTTGAAGAGTTCAAGCAGGCAAATAATGTGCCCTCTGCTGAGACATTGTAGTCGCACGCGAGTGCGTAGCTCGCTCTGTCAATCCGCCGCTGGATGAGGGCCTATCCGTGCATTTCGGCTTGGTGGAGGTATGTTTGACCATACTTCACCAAGTTGGTCAATGCGGTTTTGTGGAGGGGGCTTGGTGGCATAGAGGGGGGGGGGGGATATTGTTGCATTGCCATCTACTGCTCACGAATGTATACTACACTTCTGCCAATTACGCATGGTGGTTACCCCAGCAAGCTCTATCCAGCAGGCTTAAAAAAATCCCTGCTTAGCCGCCGATATTAAATGGGATCGGGCGAACACCCGCGGTTTGGTCACCGGCTGTTAACAACATCGCGCTTATTCTTAGGTTTTTTCGGTAAAGTCACGTAGGTAAAAAAAAGATTAAAATTAATAAAAGTAAAATAAAATAAAAATCACGACGTTTCGGAGGCAACACAAGCTTCCGTCTTTAGGTGGAACCGTCACAGCCCGACAGCTGTATCGTTTCGTCGTTCTGTGGAATTTACCGAGATGTGCTGAGAAGACGCGAGAGAACGAGAGACACACAAATACACATTTACACGCATTCTGTTCATATGTTGAACTTCTTTGGCGCCGTACGTAGCCAACCATGCTTCGTTCTCACACGTGTCCACACATTCTGACACACATACACACAAAGTAACGTCCACACAATCTCGCACACATCCACGCACACATTCTTGAACGTATCCACACACACACACACGTCCACACAATCTCACACACATCCACACGCATATACTCAAACGTATCCACACACACACGTCCACATTAACATACACATCGACAATTATATCCTCAAATATATCCACACACACATTCTTACACGAATCCAAAACAAATCCAAACATATTCACTTTCTCACGTATCCACACATTATCACACATATCCACACACACACATTATTATACACATCCAAACATACCCACGCATATCCAGACACACACACAGAGCCGTACATTTTCACACAAACATCTGCACACACTTCCTCTAACATATCCACGCAAAGACAAATCATATACACACACGCAGCCTCAAACAAAGACAAAGACCCGACACACACATCCACAAAGCTACCCCCGCATAATCCTGCTATGAACAGCACTTGCCCCAACTGTCTATGCAGGCTATCACAGTATCACGCATCCACAAAGACAAAGATTCCCCCGTATAGCCTTGACAGACTGCGGGGGCAAGTGCTGTTAGCGAGTAGCACCTATGAAGGTCGGCACGGTACACGAGGCGGTGGGTGGCCAGCACCACGCCCGGCCGCCTTTGTCTCCCGAGTAGAGACGTCTACACGCCATGCACCAGGTACCCAATTGAGGCCGAGTCGACCTAGGGGAGGCCAGGGACCGGTTCAGATAATCGTCACCCGGTGGTGGTGGCCGTGAGCGTGAATCGACCGGGTTCGCAGCGCAGCGCTCAACCACGCTACGCTAACCGCTGTCCCACCGCTCGCAATTCAAAGCCCGGCAGCGGTAAGCAGCAAGCATCGGGGGCCAGGAGAACTCGAGCCCTCCGCTAACGTTACAGCGAAATTAACAGAGGACGCACTTACTTTTCGGCAGGCATTCGCCGCCCGGTAGCGCATATCTGCGTGTTGTATCTCTCTCTCTCTCTCTCCCTGTGTGTGTGTGTCTCCGTGTCTGCCCAGCTAGTTAGCCAGCCCGGGCGTTCAGACTGCCGGCCAAAAGCGAACCAAAACGGCGCTCGCGGGATGAATGGACGGAGGAGGGAGGCTGCCTTCTCCGATCAGCAGTTAACGAGCGCGGCTCTGCGCAAAAAAAAAAACCACTCGAAGCATCATCGCGGAGAGGAGAGAGAGAGGGAGCGGGCTAAGAATCTGCCAGTCTCGATTTCGTGTAAACGCTCCCTTAGTTGAACCCCCCCCTCCTCCCAACACACACATAACACAATCGCAAGCCCTCCCCGTCCCGGCTTACCGACTACAGAGCGCAGGGTGGCCTTAATAGCAGCGGAGGAATGTTGTGGCAGCGCTGAGGCATCTCGGCCGCCGCCGTTACCGCCGTCGGTGATGCATATTCATTCAGACGCGCATGCACAACCCCCAGCGCGCACGCACGCTCTCACACACGCACGCACGCTCACACACGTGCGCAGATCCTTGCATGTGCGCGCGTGCGCGTGTCGCTGCTGCTGCTCGCTGCTCGCTTGCGTAACTACGGCCGGAATCTCCAAGTGAGCCCACCTACTCGCACACACATAACCCACCCCAATCCCCATCTCTTTCCTCCTCCTCCTGCACCCGATCAACCCCCATCCCTTTAACCAACCCACCCACCCACCCACTCCATCCACCCCGATGCGCAAAAAGCCCACCGAGAGCGTGCGTTACTCACGGCTGCTTGCTGCTGCTGCTGTTGCAGGTTATCATTTGGCAGGACGCACTGCGGAACGCGGGCAAGCCGTCTTACGAGGTTGGGAGAAACGAGCAGCTCGTGTCCCGGGCACATACGTGGGCGATTGTGGAATTCACGGGTTACTTCTGGCAATGCGGGATTAATTTCAGCCGGAAGCAGTCTGGAACGCTCTCGCGGGGGAATTATGTTGGCTTGTTTTGTATTTGTGTTCTTCTTTATTGTACGTTATATTCGGATAACATGCTCATAGGATCACAGGAATATATGATGCAGTAATATAGGATTATTATGAATAGCGTATACTGGTACTCTCGTGCTCGTGCCTTAAGCCAATAATCAATACTCCAAGCAAGCCTCTCAGTGTCGGAAAATATCGTGTGAGACATTAATCTTTAATAATAATTAATGATACGTAGTATATGCATACAGGCGTTTGTCTGTAGACTACTGGATGGTCTCTTCACGTCGTGTTGGTCATTGGGGTTGTTAGACCATACTTCACCACGCTGGTCCCAGGACAAGTTCGAGGTTTCGAATATCACTCGCCACTGATGTTAGCCGTGCCCAGTAATTGAAGCCGGGTTCTTAGCGCGGTGTGCTAACCACTACACGGACCATTACAGGATGATACATAATTTTAATGATGACTAATAATGGCATAGATTTACCCAGGAAAGCCTCAACGACTCCCAAGTCATTTTCAGGAGGACCCCGCTATATACACACACACACACAAATACACTGGAATGTTTGCTCAATTTCATTTCATCGGTGTTTGGCTTCATGTGGGGAAAAAAACCCATAACGATAGGAGAGCAAATGATCTCTCACACAATTAAGCTGACTCTATCCGTCCTAATTACAACCCTGATGACAATTTGTTAATAGGGTTTCGATTGTTGCCTTTGTGTGCGTGTTACCGACTTGTATTATACACCTAATTGACAGTTACACAACGCCCACTTGGTAAAATGATCGCTTTGCAGGCCGTCGCAATGCACTGACGGAGATGTTTTACAACATCTTTGGGAGGTGGTGGCTGCGTGGTTGTTAGAGCCATCACATGACAACCCCCGGTCTACCTTAGCTCGATGCCGGGCCTTGGCTAACATCAGTGGCGAGTGATATATGGAGTGGTCAAACCCGCACTCCGCCAGCGTGGTGAAGTATGTTCAAACAAATCCCATGACACCCGTGACCAACACGGCCATGAACTCGTGGTGAATTTACAGAGGGCTGGTTTTATAGAAATATATTTTAAATGTCAGTAATATACGACCGCCTCTCCTCCCTTCACCAACCCTCACTAAGCGAACCTCATGACCGACAATGATGTGGGGAGGCCCATTCTCCAAGGGTGGATTGATACGAGGGTCCCCTGAATTATGGTCAAATATCATACGGAGGTATGGGCTTCCACGAAGTTGTTTCTCGTTGCAAATGCGTGCGCATGGCACGTTCGAGTTTGGAGGCGAGCAGACTTGCTATGAAAGAAGTTAATAGCTCAGTGGTATTCACCTGTTTGAATAAATACAGTTTAGTTTTGTTAGATTTTTTGTGTGATTTTCTTACTTTTCTTATGGTTTGCTTTCATACATATGTACAGTATGTATCTTCTTGGTTCTTTCGGTAAAGCCACGTAGAATGGAAATAATAAAATAATAAAAATAAAACATAATAAAATAATTCTCACGACGTTTCGGCCACAACGCAAGCAGCCGTCCTCAGGTGACACGCCCCAGGCTTGGAGCGACTATTTAAGCTGGGATGGAGGGGCGAAGAGCGCCTTGACAAAATAATTTGTATGTATGTTGAACTTCTTTCGCACCGTACGTAGCCAACCGTGCTGTGTTTTTTGCATTGTAACGTTCTGATCCGCCCTTACTGGACGCTTGTGGAAGAGAGCTTTGTAGCTCATCTGATTCCTTCAGTATAAATACATATTCTGATTCTGCTGTTAATGGAGTTGTGAGATAGCTTGCAGGAGACGGGATCATTGACCCAATCTGAGGATCTTTCTTGATTTGAAGCTTTCGTGACTGCAGGAATCCATACTCTTTGGCTCTTTCGGTAAAGTCACGTAGTTAGAAAAAAAATTAAAAAAATCACGACGTTTCGATTGCAACACAAGCAACCTTCATCAGGTGCGACAACCACAGCAAGAAAAAAATTGCTGGTGGAGTTTCTGCGGGTAAGTACCCTGGTTTCGGCTCACACACCAAACACGGATTAGATAATGGGATTGGTCACGCATCACAATGCAAAAACCTCATGAAGAGAGGCTTAAGAGTCGGTGAGGATTTCCTGAATTAAGGTTCATTATTATTTGTTCATGTTAATCGCCACATATTCAATTGCCTCGTGATACTGAAACAAGATATTGATCAATTGTACTGCAGAAGGATGACGATTGTCCTCTAGGATGTCATCAATATTCTCTCCGAATTCTTCCCAGATTTCAAACAATAAAATGGAATTGGCTAATTATCCCAATAAATGGGGATGCTTATTACGTGTTATTATTATTTAAAAACATTGCAAAATACTCCGTAATGGAACTGGCTAAATATCTCAATGCAGCACCATCCTGCAAACGTCATACGACTCACTGAATGCATTCCTAGGAATGAATTTTTAAACACAAATCTTACTTGGGTATGCATAGATATTTGGCATGTCAATGCGCCATGCCTGCATTGTTTTCTTTACACACTTCACAGATCAATGTTATTACAGCTGTGATGTACGTGGATCATACATAATTAAAAGCATTACCGTACAGTAACACGAAACATTGTATACAGATTAAGCCAATATTGTAGAATACCATCTAAACCATCACGATCACTTAAACACAAGTCGGCGAAATATTGCCTAAATATAGAATAATGCCACGAAACGTGTAGATGCCAGATACGTATATCTGTGTAGGAACGTCAGTGAAACAAATGAAAGGTAATGCAATTTTTTTCTGATTCTATACATATATGTAAAAAAACCAACACATCAGCAGATTGCGTTTTTGTTTTTTCTCTTGGTGCCGCTATTTTATTCGCTGAAGCAGCAGTCGTGAGCTTAAAGAGAGGCCCACGGTTTCAAAGGTGGGTGGGATCTTGCCTCTGCCGTCCAGAAATAGTCTGCGGTAACTCTGACAAACTGTCACTGGCTGGCTTCAAGACTGCTGAGAGGACGCAATTGTTTCAACGTCTGAGATTAAAACACATGGCACGAGCGGTCATGTTCCCCGTGATTAAACATCTCATTACAGCCCCTTTACGGTGCTAGATTTTTACATCGACACAGCTGTCATACACTCTTGAATATTGTTTTACTGATTCATATGGCTCCAACGTAGCTCTTAGCCATGTGACAACACGAGCCTGTCCAGTGATCATGTTTTGCCCAAGAGACTCAACTTGAAACAGTTTTTTGTGGCGTTGAATAAATTGCTAGTGGGAAAGAGTGATCTCAAAGGCCCGAAAGTCGAGAGATTCAAACATACTATTTGGGGAAACAAAAACATACTTTGAAGTTGATGGTGTATACGTATAAAATATTTGCAATTGCAGAAATGTACAAAAACATGTAAACTATTTTACTCTATTAGCACTCGTAACTAATCATCACACATGTAGGTTGTGCGTTCTATCGCACGATTTAAAAAAAAATATTAAACGTGTAATCTATGAGTATGATATCGATCTCGGTTTCCTTATGACATTTCTTGAATAATTTTGCACATTTAGATATTTCTTAAGATCTCCCTTCAACGTGATACATTGGGTATTGATAGGTTCTGACCTGATCATAACTGTTATCATATCAGTATTTTCAATTTTTAATTCGCATTCCTTTTCACATTTAATTGTGACGTACATTTCCTAATGTTAAATGAGCTATTTTGGCATTTTACTTTTCAATATTAAACACTCCATAGATTCCCTGGCTCGTGGACATTTTGCCATGTTACTTTTTACACGTGATTTTGTTTTGTATTATTACCTGCATTCATGCAAAGGATACTGTCCTAATACGCTCTCACATATTAAAGGTACACATTCATTCAAATGAAATAATATTCTACCTGAAAATTATTTTCTATACGCAGCCAAATCAGATACGTCAATTATGCATAATTGTTCACAAGTCAGTATATAACACTGCCAATTCCCACTTTGATATGATAAAATACAAAATTCTATCAAACACAGAGTAGATTTGTTGAAATGGTAGTGTCTGAAATTACATATGTTCGTTCAGCTGTTGCTCTCCACACGGTAGCAGGGCCACTTACTTTCCTCGACTGTTTTACCACTACCCATGCAAGATGCCGAACCACTCTGTTATTCACCGTGGTCACATTAGTCCTAGCTTGTAAATGTGTTACAAAGTGTCAATTCTAATCACATTTAAAACCAATACAACTAATTTAATTACAGATATGTAACTGCCAGAAATACACACGAGTGATGTTATGGATTTATGAAGTTATATTATTTTCAACCATTAAGTTATATCTATTCTTTGACGGTTCCTCAAAATCCGAGTCTCTGAGCTGCATCCCCTGAAGCCCCCCTAGTTAACTTGGCCTTGCATAACACTGAAGTGAATTCTATGCAGAATGAGATAACGTGCAAACTGTGCAGACTCACGTATCGGTGGCGTAATGCAGCCCCGTACGATTCGCCGGAGCAAGGAGACCGCGCACTGCCACCAAATGGGATGAGCAATTGCGTGTCAATGAAATCCACATCGCCGGTATCTTCATGTCGCATATCCCTCACTCGATTCAAGAACCACACGGAGACCTTTGAGAGTGCAATTGGAAATAAAATGCGAACCCAAGGAGACTCGGATGTACCCACGCCGATTTAGAAGATTCCATGCAGCTGAATGAATATACTAGTACGGGGACATCCGGACCGTCAACAGAATAGCGGCCAGTCCAGTGCACCAGAGAAATGCGTTTACGGGGAAATACATATTGTCGATTGCTGTTGTGGTCAATGTGCACTAAACAAGGCGAGCTTGTGAATAATAGAAGAGGGTGAGCACTCAGCCTTTCTGGGCAGCGGCTGATGATGCCTCTACAAAAAGGAGCCACGAAGTCTGAACGTGCTTCATTGCACAAGTTCTGTGATCCAGATGTGTTTTGTTGGATGACAGGACGGTGAGAACGACTACAGCCTTGCCATACCGAAGTGGGACTTTTAATGCCGAGTCGTGTAGAGCATTTTAGGACTACACAAACCTCCAAACCAACTTGAAACCTTAGCTTGTACTGTCCATTCTCCTGAAGACCTTGTAAAAAGTATGCTTTATATTGGGTCAGTAAAAAAATGTTCAATCAAAGGATGGTCAGAACAGCTGTGGTGCAGCCTTGCAGTCTGTAATGGGATTTAAAACTACAAGTGTGCAAACATGCACAGTATAGCATTGTATACATATACATACCTCCCACCCAACTACCCATACCTTGAACTTCACCATTTTCCTTACCATCTTGGGTGAATACATGACTTACGGACATAGACCAGTATAAAATACATTGACATATTTATTTTAACTTTTAATATACAGAAATGCCAATCAATAACATTAGTTTACATCCATTCCAGAGAAACATAATTTCTGCATTTAACGGCACATCTTGTGCTGTGTTTAGTCAATCATTAAACACCAATAATAAATAGCGTATGGTTGCAATGAGACAGATGTCTACATGTCAATGTGTTAACAGCAACATAGCGAAGGATAAAAAAACCCCAATAATTTATGGGAGTTGTTATAATAGCACAAGGGTTCTGTTACCCATGTTGTCCTGTTATTCATGCACAATTTATGTTATTTAATTGCGATTGTTTTTAGTTTGTATTGAAAAACGCAACAGAAAATTGTATAGGTTTTTTTATTTACATTTCAGCAACTACAAATGAAGATTTATATTTTTTATTTGCACAGTAAGTGGATGATTTAATTGTGTGTCAGGTCCAAGATTACCTGTTACAGGATTGTCAATACATTGCATATCAGAGTACAATACCTTCCAACTAATGTTTAAACATACACATGTACAGTATCTAAGTTTGTACACGTGAATTTTTAAACATTATGTAATTTTGTTCTGTATATCCATTGTACAAATCATACAAAAATAATTTTAAAATTACACATTTTCTTACGTAAGATAATTTCACAAAAACAAAGAGGCTGCAACTTTGATTAATACGTTTATGGTGTAAATAATTAAAATGACGTAGATAGTAATTTATTCAGTGATTAGTTTTCATACACACAACCCCATATTTTGCTGACAATACTGTACTATCGTACATATGTTTCTGGGGGAGCAAAGGGAAGTCTATCTACATATATAAGTGTAATAATAGAAATGTGGTAGCCAGCCATTAAACTTCACCGCGTTCAACTTTCATCTTCCACATCCTCGTCCACGGCATCTGCCTCGCCCTCGTCGGGCTTGGGAGCGCCGGCCAAGTGTCTGATGGGACGGCCGAGGGCACGGTGTACTCGTTCGATCGTCTGCGCATTCACAAAGTACTGCAGGCTCACGCCCGTGCATTTCTTCGACAGCGCTTCCATCAGACGGTACGCCTGCGTTGTTAACAAGAAAACACACACACAAGATTACATACGGGCACACCGAGGTCGAAAAAAATGGTTGAAGCAAGGCTTTTTGTTTTTGTTAGTCTGTTACGCGTACGTAAATGCGTTTCATAATCGTAGGCGATGATAGGTACGCTTAATGCACGAATTGAACAACTGTAAAAATGCGTGACATTTTTATGAAGCTAAGCGATTGTTGTACGTTCACTGCACATTAAGTAAATTTTGTGACGCAATTAATTAGTTTCATATTCATGATATATGAACGTGGACACAAGGCAAATCGATTTTGTTGTCGTACCATTTATTTAACCAGGAGATGAAATAAACCCATTGTTATGCATTAAATAGTATTGCCTCTTTTTGCATAGAAATGCATCTGTTATATACTTAATGATTTTTGTAACTCCAATACAACATTAAAATGAGCACAAAACGAATCCTAACTATCTAATAATTTAGGTAATAGAAAAAAATCTAATTGCACCAGACAGGATGAAATAGGCAATCTAATGACAAAATTTACATACGTGCCTACAATAGCTTCAACATAGAATGACTCAGAGGTGAGTGCTCTTATATATATAAAAATCGCATTATTCACTTCCCATTGTGAAGCAGCATACAATAATCCAAGGATAACATTTGCACAATTTTAATGAGAATGTCCTGAACTTCTATCTAGCTTTTTTCCTTTTTTTTTTACTATGAAAGACTGACATGTCCCATTGTCATCTCAATATCACACGCTCTGTAACTGTGCGCGTGCGAGGCGTTCCGTTTACCGTTTGGTAATTCTCTTGGCGTGCGTAGTGCTCTATCATCATGCCGTACACATCACCCAAGCGCACGGCCTGATCCAAGTCGGGCTCCTCAACCAGCACCTCGCACAATTTCATGGCTTCCGGTGCGTCTTCCTGATACACACTGCAAAAAAGTAACACATTCACTTAAGCATATGGCCACGATGCCTCCACGTGACCTCAACACAATGTGGTGCAATACTACACTTAAAATGTATACGTGCAACGACGCATCTCGAATTGGAGGTTACGATGGTTTGTAAAAATGGAAGTGGAGGTATTTGGGGCAGTAGGTTGGAACACTTGTGCCTCACAGCGATAAGGGCCTGCGATCTATTGCTGACTCAGGTGCCTTTCTGCGTGGAGTTTGCATGTTCTCTTCTGCATGGATTTCCTCACAATGTAACTGGTGTTGAAGCATCTCAAAGCTGAAATGTTACCTACACAATTACTCAACTGGTATTACACAGAGCAGCGAAAACTTGGCAGGATCCTGCTGAAAAAGAGTCTTCAGACTCAGTGAGGCTTTCAGGATAAAGAAGCCAAAGTAATCATTTGAAATTAAAAAAAACTATTGACTTGCTTTCCTTAGTAGTTGATGACACACATTTTGTCAATATTCTGAAAAAAAACCACTTTCCATATATTATAGTCTCAACAATTAGTCCATCCACTGGAAGTATTGTGGGAGTACATTTAAGAAAAATAAATCATTTTGATCCCTACATATCCCGCTTAAACCTCTTGCCTCAAATGCTCTCCAGATCATCCTTCATTGTATCTTCCCATTAAAGTTACTCATCAAAAAAGCTCCTTTAAAATAAATTGTTATACTCTTTGGTTCTTTCGGTAAAGTCACGTAGGTAGAAAAAATAATCGATCACGACGTTTCGATCGCAACAACAAGCGACCGTCTTCAGGTGAGAGAATCAGACTGGGGGTGGGGAGAAAGGGAGGGGGGGTTGCCGCATGGGACAAGAGGGTGGGGCCAGCGATTGTGAGAGATGGCATGTAGGGCATGTGAGCATGAGAGTGCAATCTAAAGGATATGTGAGCATGAGAGTGCAATCCAAAGGATATGTGAGCATGAGAAGGGCAATCTAAAGGACATGTGAGCAGTAAGAGATGGACTGTAGGGGCATGTGAGCATAAGAGTGCAATCCAAAGGATATGTGAGCACTGCTCACATGCCGTTTGGATTGCAAATTAATCTCTGATGAATCTCTGGAACACGAATTGATAAACTGAAGTGTGACATAGTGTGACATTCTGTCAAACATCGAGTGTGCCATACCAGAAAGTATGGGTCTCCCCACAATCTGATACCACATATCAAAAGGAGATATTCAGGTTCATTTCAATTCTCTCACACAGTCAGACACACACACACACACGGGAAATTCGGTGAGATAGCCTCCCGTGCCCTGGCGACATCAGTTGCAGATAAATGGGGTGCCTTAAATCACGAACGTGTTTTTTTTAGCAGGAATCACTGCGATAAAGATGTGATGTCCATATTGTGTCACGTCTCACGTATGATGTGTTACACGACAGGAACAGCACCACCGGAAGCACCCAGGATTCATTGTGTATCTTTACAAATATACTAGCTGTACTACCCGGCTTCGCCCGGGACTTGTATCCACCACGGCCGGCCGCCTTTGTCTCCCCAGTGGCGATGTTAATACGCCACACCAGTTACTCGTTTGAGGCTGAGTCGACCTATGGGAGGTTCAAATAATCTTGACCGGTGGTGGCCATGAGCGGGAATCGAACTTGGTTCGCCGGGTTGGTAGCGCAGCGTAGCGTTAACCACTACACCCACCGCTCCTCACACACACAGACGCACAGACACACACACAGACACACGCAGACACACACAGACAGACACAGACAGACACACAGACAGCACGCTAACCACTACACTACCGCTCCCCACACACCACACACGCACACACACACAGACACACACACAGACACACACACACAGACACACAGACACACACACACAGACACACAGACAGCACGCTAACCACTACACTACCGCTCCCCACACACCACACACGCACACACACAGACACACACACAGACACACACACACAGACACAGGCAGCACGCTAAGCACTACACTACCGTTCCCCCTACACACCACACACGCACACACACAGACACACACACACAGACACACGCTAAGCACTACACTACCGTTCCCCCTACACAACACACGCGCACACACACAGACACACACACAGACACACACAGACACACAGACAGACACACACACACAGACACACAGACAGCACGCTAACCACTACACTACCGCTCCCCACACACCACACACGCACACACACAGACACACACACAGACACACACACACACACAGGCAGCACGCTAAGCACTACACTACCGTTCCCCCTACACAACACACGCGCACACACACAGACACACACACAGACACACACACACAGACACACAGACAGACACACACAGACACACACACACAGACACACAGACACAGGCAGCACGCTAAGCACTACACTACCGTTCCCCCTACACAACACACGCGCACACACACAGACACACACACAGACACACACACACAGACACACACACACAGACACACACACACAGACACAGGCAGCACGCTAAGCACTACACTACCGTTCCCCCTACACAACACACGCGCGCGCGTCCATAGGTAAACATACACGCGCTTGCTGCAGACATACACACACATACATACACGCACATACACACAAACACATACACACACGCATACACACAGACATACACATACATACAAACACACACATACATACACACAAACACATACACAATACACACACACATACATACAGACACACACATACATACACACAAACACATACAGACACATACATACATACAGACACACAGACATACACATAAACACATACACACATAGTCATGACCCGGCTTTGCCCGGGACTTGTATCCACCACGCCCGGCCGCCTTTGTCTCCCCAGTGGCGATGTCAATACGCCACACCAGTTACTCGTTTTGAGGCTGAGTCCCTCCCTCGCCACTCTGCCTCCCTCGCCACTCTGTAGAGGACGTGAAATTTGTATGAATTTACCTCAGAGTGGCGTGTTGGGTGTCGAGGCCTAGCACCGTGCAGAGCCTCCCGCCTTGCCTGATTTTCCCACCCGGCGAACGCTGGGTACGGGTGCCGGTCCCCCCCCCCCCCCCCGCGCTATAAAAAATGGCGTCCACCCCTCGGAGAAAAGTTGCTACTCGTTGCCAGGGGCAACCGCCGTCCAATGAAAGCGGCGAAGGCGTGGCTAGCCGTTGCCAGGGGCAACCGCCGTCCAATGAAAGTGCGTATGGGCCGAAATACACACACACAGACAGACAGACATGAAAGATTTTATATATATAGATAAGAGATTAGGCGAGTGGGTCCATGTGCCGGGGTTATGTTGGTAAGGAAATTAGTCTGTCCTTTTTTTAATGATAAATTATACGTATTGAAGGGACCTTTGATCATTTTCAACATGTTTGCGTATATATATTTGTTGTCAAAGGAAAACTGGAAAGGCAATGCATTACTCGACGTGAATAATTTTTTCAAAGTTTTAGAAACGTTTTAAATTAGTTTTTTTTTTACTGCAGAATGTCACCAACGCACATTCTGTACTCCCACTTCATTTCATCATCTTCACATTCGTACGATGGCAAAAAGCAGCTGTGCACAGCATGCCCGGTGCATGATCAGACCTTTCAAGATACACGCTTATTTATGCCTGGAGGACCCGAGTAGCTTGATAAGTACATTTTTGTAAGCATACACATTCATTGCCCTTTGTAATGTTCCAAAAAGCCATCGGCAACTTATTTGTTAAAATAGCAAACTGTAGGGCACACAAATCTATTCACTCTGGTTCATCCCTCTCACTCTCGCTCATCTCATTCACTCTGGTTCATCCCTTTCACTCTGGTTCCACCTACTCCCACTTTCCTTACTCTCCCCGCTCTTTTGTACTCTTCCACAAGCTCTCCCTCCTCCTCCACCCCATTCCACTTATCTATAACGGTTTTAAATCCAGTAACCTTGAGTAAATACAAAAGTGCTGATATGGTTATCTTAAACTCTTTCTATATACTCTTTGGGTCTTTGGGTAAAGTCACGTAGGTGACAATAAAAATAACGATGAAAAGAACTAAATTAAATCGCGACGTTTCGGGCGCAACACAAGCGTCCGTCATCAGGTGGGGACATTTTTGAAAGAGCGGTGTCAGAGCAAGCAGAATTGTACATACCGTCGAACGTGAACAAACTTTTTCACCAAGTTAATTTTGTTCTGAATGAGGGACAGCTTCTCTTGTTGCTCTTCACTGCTGCGCACCTTGGCTTTACTCATGCACTTGTATCCTTCAGTCAGAGCTCCTAGGGCCTTTTCATAATTCTGATACTCATCAATTTCCACCTGTACATACACAGATGTATAAACAAAAAGGGTTTGTTCGTGCCCAGTCAAGGATATTTTATGCATGCTGAAATACATTATGACCAAGTCATCTAGAATGCACCCAACCTTGTCAGACCTTTGAAGCTAACGATGGTTGAGGATAGTGTCTGGATGCGTGATCACCACGTACAACAGGGGCTATGTGGTGGGCAGCAATGGGTGGCGAGGCAACATATATTGTTATACTGCGCTCTTATGTTCCCACGTCTCTTGATTTACACCTCCATTGGCCCGCAATGACCGGTGTGAAAAAGCACGGTCAAATAAACCCCACGACCCACACAGCATGGGGAGACGTTCATCCAGCTGTTGATTGAAAAAGGGCTGTAATTGCGACACGCATACGAAATACATTTTAATAAGGGCTCGCTAAATATTAATTTAAATAAATAAGGGGTAATATCAAACCAAATGCCCATCACATGCATTGGGCTTAACATGGATGAGCACTGACACAAAGGTAATTTAAAACCAATTTGACAACAGACGTATAATTTCCACGCGGCTAAACCCCAAAAGCATTCTCTCCATGTCGTCAAGAAAATTCAATAACACCGGATTTGTTCCCAGTGAGTCAGATGTTCTAAACTTCAACTTTTTAATGTGCATATGTGGGTGTGCATACATAAGTGTACGAGTGCATGTCTACCCCTTGTCATGGTATAAATATATTTTTAAAAACCACATTGTACCTGTGCACAAGCATCATAAAATCCAGCCAGTAGGTCCAAGGCTCTTCCTTTTGTGTAAAAACTGATAATATTTTTCATAATCTCAGGATCCTTCTGCCAGTCTAGGGACTGTAAGTAGTTTGCTGCCATTATGTATATTTCCTTCTGCTTAGAAACACCGGCAAAGAAGATGATTTTTTCCGTGTCCCCAGATTTCAGCAAGGCCCTCATCGCCTGCAGAAACAGCAGAATGTAAAACAAATTTACACAACATCCGTACTAGCCACAATAATAGTATAAACATTCCATTATAGTCAGAGGTAAACGGTTAACACAACTGGACTTGCAATCCAGAGATTGCCAGTTCAATCGGCTCTTTCTATACAGTGTTTGAAACAATGGACACGTTTTTTACAAATTTTATTCCATCATCGATGTCCACCCAGCAGTATAAGTGGGCACACCAGTCGATCGGTATGCTGTGTATGGTGGGGTAAAGTGCGTGGTGGGGTAAAGTGTGCTGTACACCCATCTCTTCTAAGAGATCTGACCAGCGTGAGAAGAGTAGGCCAATAACCCTCTCAGAGGGAATCTCTAGAACTCCATTGAGTGCAAGTTCTTCTGCCAGTGTTGGCATGAGAATGAAATTGCAGAGTTGAACTTTCACCTCTTATATCTATGAAGTACCGGTGAAGACGCTTGACGCCGAGGTTGAGGCACACGTATATTTATTTCACAATACGACAGTGGGCATATAACACTCGAGGGGGTATCGGCCCCCTCACCCGTATAACTTGGAATACACCCCTAGCTAGCTCTGTCCTAGCCCCGAGTCCTCCACTACTGGGCTAGGGGAGGCTATCTGGCCCGACACTGGTAAGTCGGGCCCGGTACCCGGAGTTCCAGACCAGCTCTTACAAGAGCACCGGCTCTGGCTTTCGGGACCACGCCGCTGGCTCAGTCCTGTCCGGCCCTGAAAAGGACATCGAACTAGGGGAGTCCAGGGCTCTATCTAAGACGTCTTCAGTCTTCTTCCTTTAGCTTAAAACATAACTGACTCGAGCCCTTTGAACATCCCCTTTTATACCCAACCCCTCCCTGAGGGGTGGGGCCCCGGGGGATCATAACGTTCGAACCAGCCCCCCCCAGGGTGTCTGGCTCGGACGTCGTAGAGGGCACCTCCTCGTGCACTTACGTAGCCCCGCCCACTGTGTTTGTTTTCCATAGGCTGCCATGCATAACGGGCCCTCTCTTTAACACCCCTACATCTATATACTTTTAATAAGGTCACAATGCACTTGCAACGTAGACATGGTCAAACAACGTAGTTTGATATGAGCAAGGGATTTCTGTGATGACTACCGTTTCTTGACAGTGAAAGTGGTAAACATTTGGTAATATTTGAAGCTTGCTCTGAAAGCTTTTCAGTCAATAAAAACAAGTAAATTGCTTAATAGTGTGGAGAGCTCAGCACAACCACAATGTAAGCACTCTGTCTATCGTCGAGTGGCTCGTAGTCGGACTTGCCTTGATCTTGTTTCCGGCTTGTGTGTATTTCTTAGTTGCCAGATGGTAATTGCCCTGCCGCATGCAGCAGTCAGCAATGCTTTCCAGAATTTCACGCCGGATATCATCCTGGTATTGTTTGGAGTCTTTGGGAAGAGTCATCTTCTCTGCAAGTTCCTCAGTAATCATCAAGTCGTGTTGTAGACACAACTTCAGTGCCTCGTGGAACTGAGAATAAAAGACACCCTCAATATGAGGCTCATATTTAATATCTCACAGCTTAGAAATAAGGTCACATTTTTTTCAATATAACTAGCACTTCCTGTCCATTAATGCGGGGTACATGGCTGGGTTGGAGAGGTGGGTGGAGGGGGAGGTGTGATGTCAGCACAACGGACGAACATGGCTCAACGCTGCGGGATGTGGGTAACTTCATCTCACGGATGTGTGTGATGCCGTTACCACCACGCGCACTTGCCCGCCCGCCCGCCCACGTGCCAGCCAACCAGCCAGCAAAACTTTTTTTAGAAATGTATGTAATATAGTGTGATTGTGCTTGCACATGACCAGCCTATTTGTTAATCCACTTACATTCATTGCAGGTCAAAGGTGAGGGCAGTACTGAACAAATACATATTTTGCTGCACTGCCCTCTACTGCTTACAACACCCGTTTAAATTAATGTGGTCACCTATCAAAGTGCTATCGAGGCTTAATCCTGCGAATCTTCTGATGTCTGACAGGATCGGGGGCATATTTTGAGACAAACCTTCATATCGCTGCCTACATTTATAGTATTTTGCCAAAAATGACAAAGTACCGTATGCTTTATCGAAGCCTAAAATGTAAGGTGACAACAAAAGAACCCTACTTTAAAAATTGTAGTTAAAACATTTTCCAATGCTTTTAAATAATTCCGATGAATGTTGTCAAATGGCAAGTTTCACAGTAAATCAACATACATCACAATACAGGGTGTTTCAAAAGATGGACCCGATTTGAAATCGCTTTATCTCTGCAACCACGAACCGCCCATGAATGAAACTCTTACCACTTGAAAGGGCGGGGCATAGAGTTGCAAATGATTACCGCTAGATGCCTCTCCCAGCACACAAACAGCCCCTAGCCTCAGTCATTCGTAAGACACACTACCTCAACGTTGGATAGGTCGCATGGGACCCCAAGACTTGGCGCTACAATCTTGGCCCCAAAGATTCCCAGACATCACACCCTGCGACTTTTTATTGTGGGGATACGTCAAAGACCGTGTTTTTGTGCCACCATTAGCGACTAATCTGGATGACCTCAAAAACAGAATCACGGCAGCGGTGACTTCAGTGGGAGAAGACACTTTGAGAGGCATTTGGGACAAATTCAACTATCGTTTCGATGTTGTCCGTACAGCAGGTAGAGGGCACATAGAGCATTTATAAAATGGTTAGTAAAACTTGATAACTCATTAAACCGTTTGTAACTTTTTGTGTAATTGTAATATGTTGCCATTGTGAAATATACTGCTTTGAAATTGTGTCCATCTTTTTGAAACACCCTGTACTATGGGATTTTCTATACCTATTGGGGTTAAATGGTAGAAATGGGCAGCTAAAGAAGGGGAATTTGTATACTGGCAGAGAATGTGGTGTCACGGTGGCGTTTAAAAGATCGGTACACATCTAATTAGATGCCATGCTTCGTGCGGTACATATTTCACTGGGTAATCCATGATACCACCCTCTTCTTCCCCCATGTCCATATGAAGGGCACCCAAGGAATTGGTGGAGGTGAAGATAAAAAAAATCTCTAATTTGTTCTCCATTTTTTTAAATTATAAAACAAAGTCAATAACATTTGTTGGGCTCAGACAGCCACAGTTACTAAAATTATTATCTACAGTAAAACATTATGAAACATATGTAATAGCACACAGCATCAATAAACACATTGAAACATATGGAAAAATTCATAAATTTTCCAATAAAATCGCTCCAATCCTTCACAACAAACATTTTAAATACATTGTTTAATTACACACCTTTATTCTGTACCCCAGCACATACGCACACACACAAGCAGCGGGTGTCACACACAGATGTCACTCACAGCAGGTATCAAACCCACAGTAATCGTTCAGCTTCCTGTGTGTGTGTGTGCAGAGTTGGCAGTGATCCTGGTGGCTGTTCTGGAGGCGCAGCCGAGTTCAGTAATTGATCAGCACAGACACGTCCACCGACACACGCTGGTGGTGGACATTGTGAGATGTTCGGCCGTTGCCACTTTTGCGGGGGGAATGTCTGGGTGGTGTGCTCAATCACCCTCAAGTGTGCACACATTTGAATAAGTTCAGAATAAAGATTCTGATTTGTAAATGCGGAGTGCACCACCGTGGGATGTAATCCGGTTGGGCTTTATCGCCATCACCTCGCTGGGATATGGGGTAATAATCCAAAGCAACCTCCACTCTTCATCATAACAAGACTGTTTTCCAATACCTGGAAAGCTGATGTTTTTTTTTAAATCAAGTCAGGATGTTAAATATCTGGACAGGGACACATTTTCACCACTAGACAGTACCCTACCTTTCCAGATAATTAAAGGGTGTGTTTTTAACTTGCCTTTATAATACAATTGCTAATTATACCCGATTATGTAAGTTGTGTCAATTACATCATCGTTATTATTTTTTATAAAGATACAGAAACAAGGAGGTTTACAATAAGGGGAATGGAGAATGATCTTTTGTTCACATTTGAACAAAAATCCATAAAAAAACATAAATCATCTATGATACTCATATTGCCCAAATGACATTGAAGCCACTGTAACCCAATCATGAAAATTGCGAATGTAAAGGTATGAAATATATAATGTACAAATGATGAAACCTACATGGAGGCTTTTGCCTTGTGGCTCATAGTTTTAATAACCCTGGATTATTCATTATCTGCTCCATGGTCATGCTGAGGATAGCAGAATTAAAACAGCAAAGCAGCAAAATTCATAAACACTACGTTAAGTACACATCTCAGGTGGCATGTATTAAAATAAAATGCAGTACCTTCTTGGCTGCCACTAAAAGTTCAACAGCCTTGCTGTAATGCTGATGTTGGATAAAGAAGTCGGAGCATCGGGCCAGCAGAGCTGGATCAGACTTTTCATCCAACTCCTCTGCAATCAGCTGCAAAGCACCAAACTGTTGCGTGGCAAATGCCAGCTCCAGTGCCTTTGAGAAGTGACCAGCCTGCAGAAAAGTGGGATTTACTTTCACCATTCCATAAAATAAGCACAACATATAGCTTTGTCCCAGTCACCGGGGTAATACATTAAACTTACTATCTTAAAAATTGCTTCAGTGAAGTTCATAAACATTCAATAAAAAATTATAGGTTTGAAAATTATAATATACAGCCATTTGTCAATCAACTTTTGGATGAAGGCCTCTCCACACTGTGTTCATCATGGGAAGTTGGTTTGACCATACTTCACCACTCTGGTCAGTAGGAGTTGGTGAAAGGGGAGGGGAGAGGCCCAAGACCAGATCAGATATTGCTTGCCACTGTTGTTAGCCATGACCAGGATTTTGGCCAGGTAACCAGGTTCATAACACTGCTGCACCACTCCCTTAAAGGTTTTCCTTGAATCTTCTAAATGATTTAGCATGACAGGCCTAAAACAAAGGTATAATGGGCAAAATGCAGGCTGGGAGGCGCAGCGTGGAATAATATCCATTTCCCATGACAATGACTCCCTTCATGTCGGCCAAAAAATATGGCAGTATTTTTCTATCATATCTTCCATTATAAAATAACATTTTATGGTACATTTTCATGTTGTGTGAACAAAATTTAAGGAGCCAATTTGTTATACAACTAATGACTACAGATGATCAGTTATGGTAAGAATGTTAAGATACAGAATTATAACTCAGTTTAATTTAAAAGGTTATTAATCTGCTAGGGTGTTAAGTTATGTTCATACATTCTTAGCTTGCTGACATCACCACCTATGTTTCTGAGCATCAGCAATACCATGGGCTTTATAGGAACTTTAATGTCACCCTCAGGGTTTAACGTTTACGAGCCGCGCTCGGCATTGGGTCTGTTTGTTATTGCTCAATATACAGTACAGCCGACTCTCATATCACCTGCATCTGTCTAGAAAAAATCATTGCAAGGATAACCACATTTTGCAGACACAAAAAATAATCAGGACCAACATTAGAAAATAATGGCAAATGCATGATGGATGAAAGCGATGCAAACAAAAGTTAATGTTACATGACACACAAACGAACAAGCCTAGCAGAGATCAAGGGATTTCAAAGCCATTTGTGCACAGTTGTAATAAAACAGAATTAAAGGCCAAATACCATTTACAGCCAGAATCATTGCTATATGTATTTGTATGGTGGCGAGGTGATGCTCATAGTTGTGAAGCAGTTTAACCCTTGTTTGGGTTCATCTGCCCAGTAAAGTGTGCATAGTGAGTTTACCTTGATGCCACAATGTGAACATGCACGAAGCATCCGAAGAATCCCCCACCCCAGAAATGTAACGGTCAGTAATTAATTAGCCTAACAGTCACATTATTTGCATAAACAATAAACAACATATTCTCATATTCTTAGGTTTTTTCGGTAAAGTCACGTAGGTAAAACATTAAAATTAATAAAAGTAAAATAAAATAAAAATCACGACGTTTCGGAAGCAACACAAGCTTCCGTCTTCAGGTGGAACCGTCACAGCCACGACAGCTGTATCAAGTAAATGAGAGATTGCAGGAGCTACCAATCCGTTTATATAATGGTTGCAGAGGGGGGAAGGGCCAAGTACAGCACACTTTTTAACATATTCTCATGCACATGATTTGCCGCACACATCATGAGCATAAGAATACATTTTAATTACAACTTCATTACATGCCTGACATGCATGGCTTCTCTAAGCCAGCCCAACCTTAACTGTGTGGGCCCTGTTTTTGCCTAGCTACCCAACAGGAAGTAAAACTAGAACAACAAAATACATGTGAACTGAACAGTTAAAATTTACATTAATGAACCAGGAGAGGCTAGGGGAGGGGTGCCGAAATGAATTGTTGTGGTGCAGGCAAAGGAGATTATGCGAGTATTAGAGACTCGGGTAGGATTCTGTACACTTACGAACAATTACATACGCATGAATACAAACTGCATTAAAAGTGTTAAGTCTGATCAGAGCCAATGCAGAAAACATTAAATGATGGCCATGGCAGAGACGGAGCAATGAGATCTACTCATGTGCAGTAGCAAGATGATGTGTGGCATCCAGCACAGGATAGTGTGGGACGATGACTCATTAAGAAGGCCTTGATCTAGCAGTGGATGATCTTGGTTGATTAAGATGATCACATGTACGAATGACTAAACATGGTTGATAGTCTCCAAGTATGGCTTCGTACATGTAACTTTTGAATTGTTTCACAGAAAGCTAAAGCTTTATTTGGCATATTTTCCATTAAGTCTGGCTGCAAGGATTGGATTATTGAATTTCCACAGCCTCCTGGTAACTTTAGAAGCACATGGCCAAAATATCATTCATTTTAAATTAGGTTTTGGGTTGTGAGTGTAACACACAATGGCATATGCTTGAGAATGCTGTCACAGCAGAATGAATGTTCAGCCTGCAACATATATGGGGGAAACATAGCAAGAATAAAACTGTCAAAGATGTGCAAAATAGCATTGCATTATTGTCAAACATTGTAAAGGTATGATACAGATATGTCTCAGGTCACATCTGTACAATGGCAGCTACATTTGAAAGCATAAAACTGATTTTTATATTGCTGAAACAACAAAGATATAGCATGTTTGTTTTATAAATGAGCACATGTAAAGGTGAGCCGATTTTAATGACCACCTTATGGTAAAGCATCACAGCACGGTCCATTTGATTGCCGTTTTCCTCGTAATACTGCGCAGTATCCATCATGTCCTCAGGAGTGCTGAGCAATGCCAGATTCATCAACTGGTCATCCAGTTTGTGTTCCTGCAAAGACAAATAATGAAAATGGTCCTTGTCTTAACGAAATCTGCATAACACATCACACAATTATCAGCCTTACCATATCTGTATTTCTTCATAGAGGGTTTTGCATTGGAAAGGTACGATAGTGTAAATCTCTTATGTCAATGACACATATAGTACCTTACAAAGACGAATTGCGTTGTTGAAAGCTTGGGCTCTTGTATAAAAATTAATGGCTTGTTTAAAGTCATCCTGGGCCTCGTACTGCCGCGCCAAATGGTAAGACGCAGCTTTGTTTCCGGTCTCACTTGCAATTTCGCTTGCCTGAAAATACACACAATAGTTGCACTTTACATCAACACTTCACATTTAGAAATTGCCGAATAGGACAATTACAATCGTAAGGATAATTAAAAATTATTCATTTTATGTAGTGTCATTGATGCAAACTGCATCCCAAAACGCCGAACATCACAGACCACCAACCATCAAAAACTGCTGGGAGAACACCGCACAGAAACATAACGAACGCAATAAAAGGTACGAAGGGAGGTAAGCACGTTGACCAGGTGTAGTGACAGTAAACACTTCAGCTCCTCACATCAGCGAAGGTCCACAGAATAATACAAAGAATAGTTTTATCGTAATAATTATTAACCATTGTGCATAGAAACACAAACATATGCATGCAAAATATGACTAAAATTACATATATTACAGATATGAACACTATGGGTAAAAGCGAAGCCTTGCAATCTTGATTTGAAGCTTTCGTGACTGCAGGAATCTATACTCTTTGGTTCTTTCGGTAAAGTCACGTAGGGTATAAAATAAAATAGATCACGACGTTTCGGGCGCAATACAAGTGTCCGTCATCAGGTGAGAAAGCATGCCGTGCAATTACTTGCCCACACCACTGCTGGCGAAAGGGCCTCCACAATTTACCCAATTACATGCACCCTGCCGATCAAGTGACTGTGGTGAACACATTTTTACTGCTGGGTGGACGAAACTTGCCCCCATTGTTTCAACTGCCATGCCAGGAGATCGAACCAGTAACATCTGCATTATAATTCAAGTGTGCTGACCCCATTAAAACATGGACATTATATCCATTGTAATGGATAACATGGGAACAAAATTTTTAACAAAAATGTTATTTTAGTGTCAATATTCACATCAATATTAGGTAGTCAAAACGTACCATGCAATTGAAATGTCAAAACGGGTAAATGTGACTTATTGTTTGCTTCATACCTTCTGAGTGTTTCCTAGGAAGCAGTAGACCCGGACTAAAGACAGATAGTCATGGGCAGACTCGTAAGCCTTAAGCGCTGCGTCCATTGCTCCAGTACTTTCCAGATATTGAGCCCACCATTTCAGTAGGCTCCTGCACAGCACAATGAACCAGATTAAGCCATGATTTTTCACAAATTAAAATAGCAAATCAATTGGCAGTAAGTGTACCATGAATTATTTTTAGTAATTCAGCTAAACTGAACTTATGCCACGGATTGATAACATTCATAAACGTAACAGGCCTTATTTGACAAGGACAATAATTGAAAACTTTGAAAAGCCAAACAAACTAAAAAATTTTTGATTTAAAGCTTTCGTGACTGCAGGGATTCATATTCTTGGTCCTTTCGGTAAAGTCACGTAGAAGGGAAAAATAAAAATAATAAAAATTAAATTCTCACGACGTTTTGACTGCAATACAAGCAATCATCATCAGGTGTGAAAACCACAGCAAGAAGATTTGAAAGAGCCAAGAATATAAACTACCAATGTTTAACTTTTGCCAAAAAAACATGGTGTTTTTGGAATAACAGTTATTTTTCTAAATGGCATCTGATTATCAGTACAAACAAAAAACTGTGCTCATGACAGACACAAAATAACGGTAGTATAGCAACTAATACTAAATCCTCAAAATACTTTGGTACCTTCGTCTAGATCTAAAAGAAACTCAAGAATAAATCCAGAACAAAAAACCATGCAAGTGCATTTGTTTCTGAGCTCAAGTGATGAATCAAACATTGTAACACATGGTGATCCCATTATAAATACGTCACTCAAATAAAAGGGAGACATTAATATTTAATATGAAAGCTGCTACATGTCACCCATCAATCTCAATACCCTTATGACATCCTTCAACAATCTCCTCTGTATGACATATATTGCAATTTTCGCAACATTCAATCACTTGTAATATTAAAAAAAATCAGTGCAGTATCTACAAAAACGGATCACCATTATTTATTACCATTACGGCTGTTTACTCATGAAACCATCATCGAGTACTATTACTCTTTATCAGGAGGGTACTGCCCAAGTAATTCTGCACTAGGTCGCTACGTATACTTCTATTCAAGCAATGTGCTTCTTATCCAGTGATGGAAATGTTCATGCTTTCCAGCATAGCACATGCATTTTCTTGTTGTTCACATCGCCTACACAAATGTGAACGTGGGGAGGGGATGCCTCATTGCTCGTGTTGGTGGGATAATTTAATGCGGTGCGTTGTGAGGGAGGGGGATTTTAGAACACATCGTGCCTCAGTAGACTCACAGCACACACTGTCTTGTCTCCGTAAATCAAATTCTAGTTACCTGGATTCATAGCCACATATGCCTAGGCTTAATAATGCCATGCAGGGCATGGTTTAAAAATTGGGATGCAGGACCATTCACCCAAACAATTGGGAATGCACCATCAATTTAGAGCAGTTGGCAGCAATAACAAGTATCATTTGTATTATTGTCATTGCTTCTTTGTACAATAATCTAAAAGCAGCATATGTTTGTATATTGGAAATGAGGTTTCCCTTACACAAGGTCAATTACATATCACTAATTAATTATAGGATACGAAACCCCAAAAAGAATAGGTGTCATCAAGATGTTCGATGTGACCTCCAAGCCTTTGTCCATAAGAAACATATACTCTTTGGTTCTTTCGGTAAAGTCACGTAGGTATAAAATAAATTAAATTCTCACGACGTTTCGATTGCAACACAAGCAATCATCATCAGGTGGGAAAACCACGGCAAAATTTTTTTTTGCTGAAGTGGGAGAGACATTTTTTTTCTTGCTGTGGTTTTCCCACCTGATGATGATTGCTTGTGTTGTAATCGAAACGTCGTGATTTAATTTATTTTATACCTACGTGACTTTACCGGAAGAACCAAAGAGTATAGATCCCTGGAGTCCGAAAACTTCAAATCTGGATTGAAGAAAACATATCTTAAAGTGCCTTAGGGGAGCACACCAATGATGTCACTAGATCGTGGTTAAGTGAGGGAACTCCGTTTCAGAGAAGAAATGTATTAATTCTGTTATCCGTGGGGAAAACCCTCTGCTTATCCATCCTCTATTATAATCTGATAATCACGGATAAAATAATGAAAATACCATGTGACTCCTCTAGACAAATTGCCTTATCCACACATGCCAAAAATATAACTAAAGTTTCTGTTTCTACCAGTGGCTTCTTTGCAGATAATGGCAATAATCACAAACTGTACTGACCCAATAAAAAATGTGTTATGGATGGCCACAGTTAAGAGGAGTCTCATTATAAAATAACTAAAATGTGATGCAGGGAAAAACATCCTACTTTGATATGGTTGTTGGCTATATGTGAGACTGAACAATCTAAAAGAATAGAGAGCCAAAGGATTAAACACTTTTACAAACAGCCCAATATTTGATTTGTGATGATATATTGGTCCATCTTTCTCATTTAATGCAGTGAGTACTGCTTGATAGAGGTTGACATGAAGCAACTTACGCATCTTTATTTTTATTGATATAGTTTTCCAAGGCATGTTGGTCTTCAAATAACATCCTGGGAACTTCAAACTTATGTGTTTCAGACTTCTCATAGCTGAAGAATAAACATTAAAATAATAAAAAATATAGCATATAGAGCAACACATCACATCAACTTTAAACAAGACTTTGTATATGTTCTTATGCCTGATATTTGCTTGTAACAATTTGGGTCCTAAACCAGTACAAAATATACATTCAATCATATATAATACTATTTGTCAAAACAGATTGTTACCTTTTCCAATTATGTTGGTGTTAAAATATTTTTAAATGCAATACATTATTAATTAAGAAGTACCATGTCAAATTTAATTATTATTCAGACATAAATTTGTATCATGAAAGTATTCCACAAACATAAGGATCCACTTAAGGAATCCTGTTAAACACCAGTATGTATTTGCCATTTGTGAGATAATTAAAAGGGTATGCATAAGCAACATATGAGAAGCATATAAAATAAAATCTTAGAGTAGGACCATGATACGCATTACAATGTCATATAGTTGAACATATCAGTTGCGCGAATAAAACAAATAAACAATTACTCACTGAAAACTGAATAAATGAAACTGGGACATATAAAAAATCAAGCCCTACTTTATTTGACTATAAAATGCTGAGGGCAGTGATTTACGGTATTGAATGTACTTCAGAAACGTAAAAAGAAAACACATTCCTGCGGAGGGAGCTAGTAGGAACGTTGGGTTGCTTGGTCAATGGCCAGGGTCAACGGCGGCGTGGTGTATTCCGCAAATATGGCGGGCACAAGCCGGCCTGAGTAGGTTAAACGTTGAGTTTTATAAGGGCACCACGGGGTGACCAGCCCCTCCCCACTCCTCCCACCCCCCACTCAGCCCCACCCTCCCCTCCCCACCCAACCCCTCACCACCCAGCCCCTCCCCACCCTCCCCTCTCCACCCAGCCCCACCCCTCCCATTTTTGGATGCACGACAAACGGACACAATAATCCCCTGTGGGCTGGTGGAACCAGGTGGTTCCTACCAGTATAACACAACAGTGACTACTTACTATGTGATGGCCGCATCAAAGTCCCCTGTTTCCTCGAGATATTTTGCCTTGTTGAAGTATGTGGTACGAAGGTGGACTCGGTCATTTGTCTCTGCTGTCTCCACGGCTTTCTGCCATTGCCCTGTTGCCTGGTAGAACTGGTTGAGGAGGTCATATCGCTTGCAGCTTTTATACAGTTGTTCAGCTTCATCCTGCAATGGCAACATTTATATTTTAAAACAATGATCAGTTAGCGTTTTGCTACTTTCATGGCTTTTTGCGCCAAATATTGACTTTTAAAGTACTTTTTTGGCTTTCATTCTTGAGGCTCTGGAGAGGTGTATGCAAATAATTGCACTGAAATGTAGGAAGAGGAACACATGAATCAGAGTGCAAGTGCAAATTAGAGACATCAGATGGATTGTTCAGGACTGCAAGTGGCTTGGGTAGGACATTTTGCACAAAAGGAATGATGGTGGATAGAGGAGACTACTGATCGAATGTCAGCCGAAGGTGAAACATGCCCGAGAGGATGACAACTGTGGAGATATAGCGATGAGATCAGCTCATACGCAAGCGCCAGATGGACTGTGGTCTGATCATGAGGGATAGAAACAATGTGGAAGGCCTTCATCCAGCAGATAGCACGGCTGTTGTCATGATAATGTTCTTGGTTGTTTCGGTAAAGTCACGTAGAAGGGAAAAAAATATATAAAACAATAAAATTCTCTGCAGTCCTCGATTTCACATCTGATGATGATTGCTTGTGTTGCAGTCGAAACGTCGTGATAATTTTATTGTTGTATATTTGTATTATTTTATTATTTCCCTTCTACGTGACTTTACCGAAAGAACCAAGAATATGAATCCCTGCAGTCACGAAAACTTTAAATCAAAATGATAATGATGATTTACCTTTAGGCCAAGTTGGAGGGCCAGCATAGCTACTTGTGCCTCCAGTTCAGGCTCTTTTTGTGCTTCGCGCAAGGCTTTTGCACCCCTGGCATGCCCCATGTTGCCCAAACACACGCGGGCAACGTCAAGCCTTTGTGTCTTGACGCACATACGTGCCATGTTTTCCCAGACCACCTCACTGAGAAAATACAGAAATGTATCAGCGGAACCTTGTCACAGCATGGGCATTATAATCACACAGTGACATTTTTCAGTCATTTTTGCATTGCCATATATTTTGCCTTTTAATTCTATTTTTCTACGTGCCCTCATTTTCAGAAGACAGTGCCAAGAGGACAAGGGCATTAAAAAATGCATGAATGGAAAGTAGTTCACCACTAACCACGGTACAGTGCAGATAAAAACCAGCTGCTTAAAATACAGTATGTGAATTGGAATTATGTCCTAAAGGTGTGATCTAATAATTCATGCTGTCCTTGTTTCATATTCCAGATATTACTTAAAAATATATATTTGCAAAACAATGTCTGGAGCACATTCTGTCCTACTGACATTAAGCAAGAGGGGAAAAAAGAGGTGACCAGTGAATAAAAAAACAAACACATTGTGTTGGGCACGGAGAGCTAATCTGAGATCCTGAATTCAATCAATGAATGGAATAAGTGTAACATTTTAATTGTACTCTTCAGGCGAAAAATATCTAAATGTTCACCGTGTTATTTTGACTTATGGCAAATAAAAAATAGGTATATAAACAATTGTTCATTTGTACATGCAGCAAAAATGTAAACTTCTGACAAATACTATGAGACATCTCCTTTACCAGTGGCAAAATATAGTAATAGGTTTTTACCCTTTCAACTGGTACAAAAACTGATACCTTTATACAAGGGATCATGTTTGCAATAACCACAACACAAGCAGTCAAACATTTATTTTTTTTGCATTTTGACTGCTTGTGTTGTGGTTATTGCAAACATGATCCCTTGTATAAAGGTATCAGTTTTTGTACCAGTTGAAAGGGTAAAAACCTATTACTATATTCTGGCAAATAATAATGAGCAAAACAAGTGGCATAAGGTGAATTAACTGAGCCACCCGAAGTTATGTACTATGTTTGAACAACGCTATTCCTGGGAAATACTGTTCATAAGATTTCCAATAACTAAATGTGCTTCACTTGGTATTGTACGAGACACCAATAACATGTCATTAGTTAAATTAAGTTTAAACATGTAGAACTATAAAAACACCCTGACGAAACAAAATTATGAATCAAAGATACAACTCAAAAAGCAAAACTCTATTCCTGTGGATACGTGGCTATGGTGTGGAATCGTCTGCTGTCCGACAAAAATGTTATACTTTGTTCATGAGAAAGACCTAAAAGTGAGTAATTACGCCAATAAAGCACATACTAGTGATGCCAATGATTTGACAATGTGTTAAAATGTACGGGGGCAATGTCACACTGACACCATTAACGTTGCTTAACCTTAACTTTGAAGTCCTTTTCCTCATTAATTAAACTTCAAATTTGTATCAGAAAGCAAGGGACGCATGCATAGCCTTTGTACATGTCTATAGATTAGAGATGTTAGCTTTTTATGTGACAGCTTTTAATAAAATGAAAACGCTAATATTTTAACATTGAGAAATTAAAATGTTGACATATCACACTTCATCAAAAATATATACTTTCTATGAGAAATAAACGATTGGAAAAACAAGGTACAGTTATTTTCAAAAGGTTGTGTGATTAAAAAAGATATATTAAAAGAGTTAATGCACAATGTTGGTATTTACAAGCCTTTATTACTAGCTTACTAAAACTCTCCAAAAACTGCTATTTTTAAAATTTAATAAAAACAGTAAAACATTTATTTTTGAAACTATGTGGATATATTATCCACAAATATCATAAGATCCTACACTGGCAGCTGCTGTTATCTGAAAATTGGAAAACGACGAACTTAACCTTCAGACATCATATTCACAACTGGCACATTTATTGCGTCTATAATGTCATTGACAAGACAAAGCAGCCCAAGGATCTCAGACAAGATAAAGTGCCCCAGACATTTTCTCATCTACAGTGATCTGGTTCATCTTATCTGTGGCAATCCATTGGCAAGATGAAATATGAACTATATATAAAAAAGAAAACTTGCCAATAATTCATTAAAATAGCAATTTTTTTCGAATTTTTTTTATGATGGTGAATTGGTCATTAAATATATCCCATAGACGATAACTTTTCAAAGATTATTTAAGTTAGGGTTTTATATTCCAACATAAAATGTAAAACCTGCAGATGAACTGCATTAAGAGCTTTAAAGCAACCCTTGAAATTATTGTCAAAGCCAAGATTTCTAAAAAAAGTATTTTGCATAAGCACTTTCCCATAATATTGTGTGCAGTGCAATATTGTGTGCAGTGCATCACGAGTCACGTGCAGTGCACACAATATGCGATAATTTGCATCGAAGCCAATCACAGACCACATTCCTGCTGAGGGAGCTGGTAGGAACGTTGGGTTGCTCGGTCAATGGCCAGGGTCAACGGCAGCGTGGTGTATTCCGCAAAAATGCCCGACTGTGAGAGCGGGCACAAGCCGGCGTGAGTAGGTTAAACGTTGAGTTTTATAAGGGCACCACGGGGTGACCAGCCCCTCCTCACCCAGCCCCACCCCCCACCCTCCACACCCAGCCCCTCCCCACCCAGCCCCTCCCCACCCTCCCCTCCCCACCCAGCCCCTCCCTCCCCACCCAGCCCCTCCCAGCACGACGGACACAATAATCCCCTGTGGGCTGGTGTAACCAGGAGGTACTTACCAGTATAAGAGGTGTCTAGATCAAGGACTCATCTTGGCCAATGCTACCACATCATACCATTACTTATTTCCATCTGACAGATCCCACAACTGATTTACCATTAACACCCAACCCCCAAGGTGTGCTCATATAGACCACCATCTGGCTTAAGCACGATCGATTTACAGTGTAACAAAAATACAATTTGAATCTGTTATTCGTTTTTCTATAATGAATAGAGTAACCGTTTAACTAGTTGTATGTTGTCATACAATACCATATTGTAGATGAGGGATTTTTTAATTAACAAGATGATCAAATGTTCTCACTTTGCCTTCCCTCTTATCATAGCAGAAACGAGACTTCACTAAAATACTCTGCAACATTGTTATTCTATGTTTCATTGAAGCACATGAAACTGATGAGTTAAAGCACATCATGAGGAAATGGTGTATGAAATTACGTTGGATAAATGAGTTCTGCAAAATAAAATAAAAAGTGAATTGGAGAATGCCTTGAAAACTTACAAATGGTAGGAAGTCTCATGTTGCAATCTTATTGGAAAAAAACCATCCACTCTCCTAATGTACCCTTTTCAGAGCAGCAACATAATCTCTATTGCGTGAGGGTCATGAACATAGCCTTGCGTAAATGCCCGCAAGTGTAGAGTGCTGACATAGTTAATTCATTATATATTGCGTGGTACCTTTTGATAAGTTTGATGGATTTGAAGGCCTCGTCCATGTTCCCTGTGGTGAGGTAGTAGCTGAAGTTGAGCATGGCTTCACGCGTTTGTTTATCGCATTCTTCCAGCCCCACAAAGTCGCGCATCGGCCTGCAGGCAACCATTCTGGGCAGATTAGAAGGTGCTTGGCTGCCTTCTGCCTCCTCAACATCATCTTCAGATTTCCCAGCCTAGAAGTAAAGCAAACATTTTGTAACCATTCACAGCAATAACCAATGCAACAGGGATATTGCACCAATTTTCTCAATTTCTCATTTGCTATTTTTACGTTTGCAGGCATGGAACAATGCAACAACCCCGACTGATTCGATACATTGTAATGATTCGGGGCTCTGATTTTATTCAATGATTTTTTTTAAACATTGTTTTTATGATCTCACTTGTATGTTTGTTCATCTGTGTGGACGTTAATAAAAAAAAATAGCCACTCGTACCATGTGGGGTTTGGAGAATTACTCACTATTACTAAACATCATGTTCTAAATGTCCTGTACAAATTCCCTGCCGGATACTCATGCTATAATACAGACTATGTCGGCCATAGCTCCTCTAAGGCAACACTTTGAATGACAATGAGTCTGTGCGTGACACAGGTGTGCACAATATCATTAAAAAAACAAGTTTAAACAAATCAGAAACAAAACACTACCAGTACTTACAAGAGGCTTGAAGAGAAAACCTCTCCGAAAGAGTAACTGAACATACAAATGAAAAAGGACAGAAAAGGTTAAATAAAATAATGACACTCTAGAGGCATGGAAATGGTTAAAGGAAATAAGTAAGGGAAAATTATTATTGACTGAAAGGGATAGAGGAGAAAGTAAACAGTGGATAGCGATGTTGAACTTCTTTCGCACCGTACGTAACCACTCGTGCTAATTGGAGGTGCGGGGGAAACACAACAAACCCAACAAAAATATAGCAGTTCTAAAGAAATTAGTTTTCAATCTAGATTTTAAAGTGCATAGCTCCAGTGGCATCCTAATATCGGAAGGAAGAGCATTCTAGATGGCCACAGAAGCACATCTGAAAGCACGCGATACAGTGACCGTCTTTGATGGTTTGCCAAACATCGCTGCGAGGATGACCAGAGTTTGCGTGATGGTTTATGCTCCTTGATACGAATATACAGGCACAGTGTGAGTAAATGCCAGTGTGGTCTCAACAGTTAAAATGCAATCAAATCACCTATTGACGAAATATGTTATGAGAAAATATACTACAGCATGTTATTGCTCAGTGCTGATGGCGCTCAATTGTTTATTTCCCCAGAGAGCTCTTGTCATGTAAGCTAAGGTGGTCGTTTGATGTTATTAAGTCACGTTCATGGAAGGGGTAAGAAGAGGGAGGAGGGATTGCTATGTGACTAATGATGCATGTGGGCCATCAGTCAGTGACATTTGCACTTGTGTCACAAGGCCTGGCCGCAAGACCCTTGAACCACCACATCAAAACTTAATGTTACATTCATTTTACATGGCACTGTGTCAAAAAAAAATCAATAAATATAAATGTAGCGTTGGTACATTTTCATAACAAATTTAATCCTGCAGGGTCAAAGTGTTATAAAGATATTGTAAGAAAGAGCAAGAGCAAAATATTACATATATAAAAGGTAAAAGCATACAGCTAACGCTACAGATGTTGGCATGTCCCCTTCTTTTCTGAGTTATAAATCTGCATATGCAAACTTACCTTTGCAGAGGCAAAGAGAGAGTGAGGCAAAGAGTTAATGTTAGTTTATGAACGCCTCCATAATTAATCAAAACACTCGTATTGAATTCACCTCTTTCAATGTGTCCACAAAGCCAATCTATATTAAAGCTGATTGTAAGTATAACAATGTACAGCTCTTTGTCAATCCACTGCTGGATATAGGCCTCCCCATACTGTGTTGTAAGTCATGTGGAAAGATTAACCAAACTTCACCATACTGAATCTAGATTTGAAGTTTTCGTGACTGAAGGGATCCATACTCTTTGGTTCTTTCGGTAAAGTCACGTAGGTAGGAAATAAAATAAATTAAATCAAATTAAATCACGACGAGCAGTTGTCCTGCTGTATCGGTTCCGGCTGATGACGGTCGCTTGTGTTGCGATCGAAACGTTGTGATTTAATTTATTTGATTTTATACCTACGTGACTTTACCGAAAGAACCAAAGAGTATTCACCATACTGGTCAGAGCAGGATGATGAAGGACTGGCTCAGGTATCACTCACCACTCACGTTAGCCATGGCCATGTCCAACTGGACATCTGTGAAAAAGAGCTTCATAGCTCATCAGATTCCTCCAGTCTAAATAAAAATTCTGATTCTGGCCAGGAGTCAAACTTAGATTGCTGGGCCCACAGCATAGTGCAATTAACCACTGAGTAAGTAACTGACATTAATTATAACACTGTTCGCAATACACTATAGCCATGCAAGTATGTACTTGGATTTCTTTTAAGTTACCGAGTCTAAAAAAACCTTGTTACTTTTCCCCGTTTCTGTTTGAAATAAAACAAAAATTACAAAAAAACCTGGTTCACAAGACTACCGAAAAGGTTACACTGAAATTTAAAAGCAATTCTATTCAAAAAGTTTTGTGCGATCATGCTACCCACTAACATTTTTTTCAGAAATGACTGCTAGAATAATGAATTATTAATTACTTGATATTCATTAACCGTGAGAGGGTACATGAGCTCAAGATTGCTATTAACTTTTTTTATTTGATATTTTACAGTAATTGGTTTAACATTATATAATGGCGTTAACATTTCATCCTTGATCACAAAGAACTGGACAGAGTGGGGGGGGGGTCATTTTAGAGGTCAATGGGTGAAGTAGTGGACGCCTGCAATTTAGAACTTTGGAGGCAATGGTTTGTGATTACTGATATTTGCGCTACTCTCAAAAGCCACAGGGCTACAAGGTCGGCTAGATTTGGCTGTACAACATATGATTTCTTGAAATCAATTGTGTGGAGTGTTATCCTCTCGCATGTGAGAGGGCTTTTCCAGGTAACCGCCCACAAGCAGTACACTAAATCATGGAATTGGTCAAATAGCTTTATCTGCCTTCTCCCTCCAACCTCATGCAGTTCCTTTAATGTCCAACCAACCTCTCTCCATGTACAAATTCTCCTTCTCGCTAACCAGCCACATAACATATTTCATATCTCTGTTTCTGCACATTGTCTATTAAATCCTTGTTTCACAGGAACAAAAAAAAACCTTTCTTGAGCATTAGAATACCACCCTGTCTCACATGCTGAATCACCTTGCCTCTCCGAGGATTTATCATTATTCTCAAACCTCATCGGTTCCCTGGAATACAAATTGCTCACTGTAAACAAAAAAATGTATATCGCAGACTGAAGAGACAATGGAAGAGGATCGGATTGTAAATTCATCAGATATTGACTGAAAGCTCCTGCCGGGTCCGAATCAGACCTCTACTCTGCTATGCAACCAAACAGTTCATAAATCCAAATTGTATCGCATTATATAGAGTCCGAACACCCACGTGTCATCATGCCTATAGATATATTAACTGCGACACTTCAGACATAACCAGGCAGGACAAGATCTTGACTGACAGCATTACTGTGGCTGTGATTTCAGTCATAACAAACTTTACAATGCATCAGTGCTAATCTGTGAATCTCCACAGATCTCTTGACTCCTACAGTTTTCAGGATATATTAATGACAGATAGACATTGATTGTACTTTGGATCATAAAATGTAGGTTTTTGTAATGGAGTATCATATCGGTAATTTTGATTATTATTTGTGTGTGCCTTAACCTGTTTAACCTTATTGTTTTTGTAAAACAATTATAGAAACCAAATAGATAAGTGGACAATGTGTCCTCCATATAGCTGTTTATCCACATAAAAAGTAGTTTCCCCTTCAACCCCACAGCCTTCTGGTAGTTCATATTTTCAGCAGCATTAACTCAGTACATTCTGGACGTGTTCGACATTCAAGGTTTTGTATGCTGAATCAGGCTTGCTTAAAATATGCTTATTTTTACGTAGAAAAACAGATAATATTAAGGAGACATCATCCACAATGAAGCTAATGAATATTTTGAGCAATATAGAAACCTGCTCATGTTGACCTTTACAAAATGAAATAATATTGTAAACCTAACATTGAAACAATAAAAGGACTGCATTAGCAGAGGTTTGTGTACCTTTGCTCTTGCACAAATAAAATATCTCACCACATTCCCGATTAGCAATTCCTTTAAGCAAAATATTCACTTATATAAAGTATGATTTAGCGTTTTTACATTCCGAAAATGTTTGTGAATACGAATCTCACCTTTCGAGTGAAGTAGTAGTAAGGCACCTGCATACCTAGTAGAGCTTCGTGAGCTTCAGCACGTGCAAAGCTGTCTTGCAGGAGAATGCCGTGCTCCTGACTACAAAACAGAGTCACTACCACTACCTCTGGCTGCTCACAAACACAAATGAAAACACACACACACATGACCAGCGAGAAGGGCTGGTGAACTTGGTAATTTCAAAACCATTAATGATACAAACATCCAAAATAATTTTTATATAATACAACCAGTCATAATGAAGGTACTACTAAATCATACTACTATTGATTCATTCGCAAGGTATTTGTCATTCTGCTTATAATTCAAAGAAAAAGGTACAGGGATATATGCTATACACCATAAATCATTGAAAACTGTAAGCTTTATTTGAGGTGGTGTGACCTGACCTTGGGAGTGGACAACGTTTTCTAATGGTGGTTGGTTGTGAACTCTCGCTAGAAACTCCTCTTGACTGATGGTTTCATTACAAATATTCATCACACCACTACTGATTTACTTAAAGCTTTTGTTTTCATTACCGTACAACCTCTTGTGTATTGAAACACGTTTGCTTGTAATTCCACTTTCAAACTCGAAAACCAAAAATATGACATGAGCTCCCTATTTACACAAAAGCCTTCCTGTGTACATGACTGCAGTGGCTAAAACAGTGCCAAAGTCACCACGAATGCTAGTTGAATATAATGGTAAGCAATCAACATTATACTTTCTTTGGAGAATGGATATTACTTAAAATTATGGGTTCAAAAACCATCTCCAGATGTATCTGCAGAACTAGCCATACATCTACATTCTATAACACATCTGAAAGAGAAAATAGTAATAACTGTGACCATCGTTTCAATTCGTATACAGCACTAAAAAGCTTTACTACTCACCAATGGTTCCAGATTGGCATCTTTATTATTTGGGCCAGAAACTGCAGCAGGCAATGCAGCCTCACACACAAATAACCTTGGTTCCATCTGATCCCAGTACTGGCTGACAGGGTAGCGCCCAAGCATGTACTTATCTTCACAACGCTTTCTGCACCGGGACACACAGAAGTACTTACTCGGCAATGTGTGCAGAAATCTGACCAAACTAATTTGAAAAATGTAACACATTCCTGTTTTATTTTATTTAACTTTTTAATTTTTTTTTTACCTACGTGACTTTACCGAAAAAAAACCTAAGAATAGAAATGAATCACTTATGGGTGAACTAATTACTCTGTATATTAATAGCTAGTGTTTAACGGGGTAATCCTAACATTGTACATTCTGAGGTTACATACTGAGGTTTTAAAGCGAGTTTTTCAAAACAAATCTGAATTTGAGAATGGGCCTTCTATACCTTAATTGCAGGTATCAGCTTGAAATAATGTGGAGGGAGTACATTTAAGCAGTAATGTGAATAGTACAAGAGGTTAAGAGGTTATTGAACATATCCTTTTAACAGAGTGGTATGTGATGGAAAAATAAACAACTTTCATAGAGAAGAGAGCTCACCTTTATTGTTAAGACAGGTAACTCACTGATGCAGGGTCAGAAAGCTGTATTTTAACAAACTTAAAAAATAATCTCATGGCGTTTTGAGTATTGGGGCATTTTAATGCTAGGAATTGCACAAAGGGTTAGAGCAAGCAATTTCTTATCTTATAACAAAGCAATAAAGCATTGAAGATGTAATTAGGACAGGAGATTTAAAAGCGTGGCGCACATGTGCTTTGGAGTGGTCGAGAGGTCAGAAGCCATAGCTAGACGATAGTAAGGTTAAGACCTATAACTAGATGACCCTTAGAGGTAGGATGTTGAGAATACATGCTGCAGCATCGAAGAGAAAGAGGTTAATGGCATGGTGTGTTGACTTCATTGGCTGTGAAGACATCTTGACTTTGGGCGACTAGGCAACGACACGTGTCTTCTGCGACATTACCATGAAACATACTTTCATGAGAAGATGAAAGTTATGAAAGTTGAGTCTGGTAAATGTCTCGGCCGGTCTGCACTTGCTAGACGGAGCACCAAAGCAAAAAACCCCATAAAATATGAAGATAATTATGATGAAGAACCAATGCTCACCTAAAGAGTTGTCATGATATAATGGGCAGCATGTGAAAACTTATTTTCTAATTGTCAATCTTTTTTTTAACAAATAGTTTTTGTGACGTGGTAAAATTAAATCCTTGATGCCATATTGTTGTGCAGTACAAATGTAATAGTAAATAATAGAGCACTGTATTGTAACGTGTCTATATGATATTTAATCACATAGGTGCCATAGGTTACCTGTTAAGGCTCCCTTCTTCATCCTGCAGTATTTCATCATTCTCTGTGTCAGACCGACCATTACTCAAGTCATAGTGGTGCACAGTGTCCATCTCCACGTCGTAAAAGTAAATACGTGGATCCAACGCGCCATCAGCCTGGTGGAGGCATTTTAGATGTCAGCAATATAATCTATAAATGTATAGAAAAAATAACTAAATAAAAAATCACGACGTTTCGGAGGCAACACAAGCTTCCGTCATCAGGTGGGACAACCACAGCAACAAATACCAGAATTAATGTAGTGGGAAGCTTGTGTTGCCTCCGAAACGTCGTGATTTAATTTAGTTATTTTTATCTTCACCTACGTGACTTTACTGAAAGAATCCAAAGAGTACGGATCCTTGCAGTCACGAAAAATTCAAATCTAGAATTAGTATATTCCTATCAAGTTCAAAGGCAGTGGCACGAATAGAGCTTTCAAACTGCCATTTAAAAAGAAAAATGAATACACTGGAGTTTAAAATAAATACAATGTTAAGCCTGCATTGTTTTGTGATAAAATTCAGTAATTTCAAACGCTTATATAATACAGAATTGTATGTGTACAGCATGTATGACATGATTTAATACCATTATACTCCTCAGTCAGTGCTACCACGATTAAATGAATAGATGGCACACATCTCTGTTTACAATCCTGAGCTCGAGGTGGACGTTTCACATTCTTCTGGAATGAATCAGCGTACCCTATAAATAGCACTGAAAATGTCTCAATGCACACAAAAGTACTGGGCTGTACTCTTCCGCATTAGTCACTATGAGGCAGCATGGTGACAAAGTAAAGATGGGTTGTCTCAAATCCCACTTTGGATTAACTCAAGGAGCCATCAGCTTACCAATTGCGAGTTGTGTCCTCTGCCTGTCAACTGGCCGTATTAGAAATTGTACGACAATCATTATATTTTTTTTGCAGGACTACTGATATAAGTACGGAGTGGTTAAATGCTCTCATATGTAATTTTTCTGTGCAATGAACTGGGCTTACCTTGTTGACCATGATGCTGACATGACTCCCTGTGTAATTAACCTTCACTGATGTGACGGTTGTGAGGCCAGGAATCACATCTGCCAGGTTTTTAGCTCCACACTGCTGCTTAGCCTCCCTTTAAAAGAACCACACAGAAATGAAATAGTTTAATTGCAAAAGCATTAAACAGACTCAATGAAATTACAAAGGCGAGCATTGTAATTGTCGTCATCGCAACAGGAGTTCCTACTGTCATAACAATATTCGTGAATTGAAGCGATGCATGTACATTTTCAATAAAGTATCTTTGTTTAGTGATACTGCATTGCAAATGGTGTATAAGCCCAAACAACATAACAGAGTATTCGTTAATAACACTGCTCTGAAAAAAAAAATACATCATAACATTTTTCTGCTGTTTAAAAGGATCACTGCATGAAATATATCATATTTACAGATTTTCCTTTTAGGCCAGTGTTATTGCCAAATATGTTGAGCTTTTAAATAATATAAAACGTTATTCATGAAATCCAGATTTTATTTGGTTTAATTTCTGACAGTTTTTATGAATATTTAATTTCTCCCTTTGCATTATAAATATCAACCAGGTTTTTATTCGTGGCTGATAAAATTCAACTTTAATGACCTCCACAAGTAGGTGCTTTCATTATCAAGTGGTTATAAGGTTTTTGAGTGGTAAAGGTCACCATTCACCAAGGGACAATTAAGCAGTTACTGCTGAGCATGGGATTGAAGGTCGATCGTGCAACGTGGCCAGCAAATAATAGTATGAATGATTGGAGAGCTGCTATGAACTATCTTGTCTCTTAAATTGAGTATGGTTATAGGGACATCAGAAAAGAGACAATGGGAGTGAATTCCCAAGTCGAGCAGGCTATATTTGGCATTTAACCAACTCCTGGGTTAAAGTGATGAGAAGGCACTCCTTGATGTCTTTTTCATTATTTTCTGGCAGTCACCATAATTAGAGGCCATCGATATTTTTTGCATTTCTTCTTTCTTTGACTGTCAAGGTACGTGTCCTAGGGTAATAACCCTCACACGGATGAAAGCTGATGAGTGTGAGAATTAAGCCCATTTTACTTCAATGTTTTGGAAATAAATTATAAGAAACAAACCAAAGGGCCACAACAATTTTATATTAAATGTGTACTCTCACATTATTTGCCTCACAGATCACAATGTCATTCAATATTCTTGGCGGCTAAACATAAACCGCAGTCATGAAAAAGCCGCAGTGCGATTATGGCGACGGAACCAAAACTATGGACCAGAAAGTTGTCTTCATTTGGAGGAATAGTAAACCCACACAAATTCTCTCCCAAAGCCCTCTTAAGCTATCAGACCTCGACATTGGCGTTTAGCTCCTGAACTTATTGCCATGAAGCAGGAATAGAATAGTCATGTATAAATAATGTTTTCATACTCAAAGCTGCTGGACATCTGTAAGCCAGTTTGCTAGAGGGCATCTGCCTTGTCGTTTCTGCAGGGAATTATTGAGGTGCACCCTCAGCTGTAATGTGGAAGTTAAAGATTAAGAAAATGTCACCCACTAAATCGTCTAAATATGATCCAACCTCAAGATGCTGATGAATAACACACAGTAATTGTCGTGTAAAGGTAAATTACAAAAATACTCCATTTGGGCTTTTGTCTGCAAAATGAAAATGAAATTCAAGTGTATTGCTAAAATAATTGTGTGCTATGGAAATCATTACAGTTGCTATTTCATTGCACCAATAGCTAGTCGACAATCTCTGTAACGTAAAATAATTGTATTGGTAGCCTCTGCTTGTATCAATAACAAAATGCCTTATGGGTGCAACATATGTGAATAAAAGCTTCGGCTCAGCCATTGGTATAGTATGTAAAAATCTACTTAACAGAATTTTGAATTCATAATACACACACACAGGTATTTAAAGATAGGTTTATAGAAGGATGAGAGTCAGTTAAAAAGCAATGCTCACTTGAATTCTGGCTATTGATGTTATACAATCATGAAAGGAGGAGTTGAAAAGGTTATACATAATTAACGTAAGCTACACCACATGTCTTGTAAACACGGCTATTCTCTTTTATTAAGGAATGCATATTTTAGGTGCACCATGTCTGACGCACACTGCACATGCCAATGATCATTTGTCAAAATTGATCATTGGTGGAAAAAACTGCAAGTTGCATTCATCATTGTGAATGAAACACGTGGGAGAGGTGTTAGTGACAACTCCACAGGGGGTCATTAAGCACAAGCCCCATACACATAGCACAACATAATCATTAGCATCCTTGTGGAGAAAATACTGACAAAATAGATACTCCGACGATACGTCTTCCTTTATACATCTTTCTCTCCACGTCAAATAAAAGTATTTTTTTACGCAACCATCAGCCACACGGCCTTTCTGGGTGTGCATCATTTCAGCAGCATAGATTTAATACAAGCGAACTTGGGACCTGTCTGACACACAGTGTCTCATCAAGAGTCAGGTTTTCTTGAATCAACGTTAGTGAACCGCCAGATGTTATAGGCAAGGTCACTTTCTTTAAGATGTGACAGTCCGAGTTCGAAGCAAAATTATAGGTTGCTTATTTTTAATCAATGCTGCTGAAGCAATGTACTTCCAGAAATCCATGGAACTGATGTTTGTATAATAAGTATAACCCGTAAAAACAAAGTTTTTCACTATAAATCCTTTATATGCATGGCAGCGAACTTAATATAAAGGATTTAAAAATATATTCGCCTGTGGAGGATGCGGGGATCGATCCCGCGACCGTTGGCATGGGAAGCGAGGGCGCTACCAACTGCGCTACTCCGCCACGGCCTGTGGAGGGGTTACGCTCTGGGCTCTTATACTGTGACGTTCAGCCAAAGCCAAGAATGAGTTCTTTTGAATATATGTAAAATATTTTTTTTTGCCTAAAAAGTGTAAAATTTGGGAATTTTTTTTCACGAACATTAATTGTCTGTCACAACGAGTCTGTGTGGAAAATGTCAGCTCGAATGGATCACGGGAAGTGGGTTAAAAAACAACCGAAAGATTTGCACGGTCGTAAGCAAGCAAGCACGCAAGCAAGCAAGCAAGCGAACTTAATATAAAGGATTTAAAAATACAGTAAAACCTTGGATTGCGAGCAAAATTCGTTCCGGAAACGTGTTTGTAATCCAAAGCACTCGTATATCAGTTGTGATCACGTGACGCTCGGCAGACAAAGCGTATACACGTACTACTCGTATTGCAAGACCTTGCTCGTTTATCAAATTAATATTTATTTTAAAAAATTTGCTCGTCTGGCAAAACACTTGCAGACCAAGTCACTCGCAATCCAAGGTTTTACTGTACTTACATTTTCTTGGTGGAGAGACTGGTATAAGAAGGAAGCGTATTGTCTGCTCTTATCCATTTTGTTCCTCATTTACATGATGATTACCTTGTGTTGTGACTGATAAAATCATGTACTAAGTGTAAATGTTACTGAATGGGGACCTTTATAGTAAATGTCATATTACTAAAGAGGTGGTAATTAGTCATATGTTAGTCACGCATTCAGAAAATTTCCCAAAAAAAATGCACAGCTCAAGTGAAGACCAATAATGCAGGAGAATGCACTGCTTAAATCCTTCTGTGTGAAAAATTGTATTTTTTGACTTACGTAACTCATTAGTCAGAATAAAAATTACCATGAAGTGAATGATGAAATTAACTGTCATCGATATCTAAATTGGTTGTTCAGATTAGACCCAGTGCAAGGCTATGCTCATTGTTGCTGAGCTTTCCATGGGGGTGTTCATGAGTCATTGTGCTTCCGCAGCTCAACTGCATCAGTCAATATAGAGTGCTGCAAAACGATCTTTCAGAAAATGCTTTAACCAGCCAACTTACATTCGTAATGTGCCCATAATGTAACAAACGTATAGGAGCACATAATTACACTGGAGGAGCAGGAGGTAACGGGAGAGACAGAGCAAGGGAAGGAGATAAAGGAAACAATTATGGAGTATGAAGAACACGGTTGAATAGCAATGTTTTGGAGGGAGACTGGAAGTCAGAGACGGTACCAGATGGAGTTGTCTTTGGAGGGAGTTCCAGAGGATGGTGGCGTATTGGCTAAAAGAGTAGCGTATATCCGTGACTTTGTGTTATTTTGCAGTACAATCCAAGTTCTTGTGGGAATGTTGTACCTAGTCTCCTGTATGAATTTTGATCGTATTTTCTTGCTCAGAAATCCTGCATTGCAGATATGAGTCTGACAATTATCTAATGTTTTTGGTTCTGAAGAAACACTGGCACACTAGGGGTTGTGACCTAAAACTCACATCAGTCAAGGGCAATTGTGTGTGGCATTCATAAGTTACCACAGCACAGGCAATCAGCGATTGCTGTAAATGTAGACAACATCGTGGAGTTCTTAAATTGTAGGTTTGTTAGACAAACCCTTTGTAATACAGCAGCCTGCATTACTTTTTATACTGACCCTAATGTTCAAAATAAAATAGAGAGGTCAGTTAAGAAACCTTTAAAATGTGTGGTGAGCACAGTACCTTCGAGAAAGGTCGTACACTTTAATGTGTGCAGTGTCCGTTCCAACTGCCAGGAAGCTGCCACATATGTCTAAAAATACAGGGTTTCCCTCCACTTCGCTAAACTGCAGCAGTTGCTTGACCGTACCCTGGAAGAACAAAAATCATAAAGTCAACCTATGTGAACATATTACATTATGGCATCGGACACATTCATATTGATGGATATTTTGGAAAGCCTACTGTGGTAACAATATTTTCATCACAATGATAATCATTTATGTTAAGCGCATCTGACAACCTCACAACTTCTAGAATTTATATTTTTTTCATTAATTGGAGGTAAGAATATAATGAGGACAATGTGTAGAATAACTGGCAAAAATTAGGACTAGTTCATGCATCTACACTAGGGTGCCACTGAAAATGCACCCTCTCAATGTATTACTTTTGGTGTAAAAGTCAAATTCTGAAAATGTATTTTCATCTGTTAATATTTACAGGTTGCTCAAGATCCCCTCCTTTCTGCATTCATGCCTAGATTCATATGTATTGACTAGAATGCATGATACAAGTCCTTTGTGTAACCAGTCAATTTTGAGTCATTGTCTTTAAGCTAACGCATAAAACAGGGAGGCATAACCAAGAAAATAACAAGCTTTAATTCTGAGTGGCATCCTAAACCACACCCATGATACTAGTTGAGCTTTCATCTTCATATTCTTCAGGGACAATAGGAATTAGTGGGAAGGATATAGACAATTATTTCACAACAATATATACAGCCTTTCAATCAGCTGGGATATATTATACTTTATAGAGATCTGTATGAAATTTGTAAAAATTCTGCTATGTTTTATGGTTACATATTTATCCCCAATAGCGATTTGAGATCCTTGATGAATGTGCTTTACAAATATAAAACATAATATTTATGAGTTGTTGTATTCTGATTTATTTTCTCATTGTTTTATTAATAAAATTACAGTTATACTAATATAAGTTTGGTTTGACATTTTCATCGTGAATTTAGATATTCTTTCCCCTACTTTCAGAAAACTGTCTATTACTATCCTCGTGATTTCATTGTGCATATATCTTAAGAATAAAAACGATTCAGATGAAGAGTAGGAAATTCTAGATGTCACACTTAATGAAGTAAACACTGTACTTCAGAGTAGGAAAAGAGGGAAAGCCCCTGAACCAGATGGAATAATTGTGGCGATTCAGCCATAAAATCAGCTCATGTGCTGGAGCTACATGGATTTTTGCACCACAAAACTTTGAAAGAAGGAGATATTAGGGAGGCCTTCATCCAGCAGATCATGAATGATGATGATGACCATCACCCAGCAGCATTTAGCTTGCTTACCTGTAATGTTCGAACCTGTACCCTGTTTGGTTCCAGCGTATAAACGTTTTGTTCAACCACAGCAACAACTGACGACTCTGAGAAGAATGATCCTGTGGTGAGGCAACACATCTTTAAAAACCATTGAAATCAATTCAAATGTTCAAATTTAAAGAGCTTTAAAAGTATAACACGACATTAAGATGTAAATACGATGATAAATGTACAGGGCATTCATGAGGTATCATCCGTTATTAATATTAATTTAGACTTGTACGCGCAGTTTTTGCTGAAAAAAAGTCTAACTTAACACGTTATGGTTTATTGGAAAAGTTCTCTTTTATAGTTTCTAGGATTAAGAACATTGATGACATTACATCATTCATCATTACTTTTTTTAAACGTGAAGCTGTATGTAGTCCCCATCAGTAAATTATTTTACGTACTGAACACCAAGCGGTATGTGATGTATGCAGTTCTCTATGGTAACTTTACTCACCAGTATTCTGAAGGATTGCTCCAGAAAGTTGATAAATAGTTATCTGACTTCCATTCCAAACAGTTATCAGATCCTGGGAACATAAAGTAGACAAGTTAAAATCCTGGTCGGGACTTACTCAACCCTTTGGGGTCAACGAGTACGACATTGTGAGAACCCAACGGTGCTGGTCAAACATGAGAACTGCCTTTGACTATGAATGATTCTATTTTAATCTTTTTCAGGTTTTATAAAACACTAGAAGGCAGCCCGTCCTTTGGATGAGTTGACACTTTACATGATCTTCTTGGTTCTTTCGGTAACGTCACGTAGAAGGGAAATAATAAAAAGAAAACATAATAAAATAATTCTCACGACGTTTCGGCCACAACGCAAGCAGCCGTCCCCCAGCTTAAATATACGCTCCAAGCATGGTGGTGTTTCATTCAGACGCTGTCTTCCTGACAGACCTGTTCTTCACCTGAGGATGGCTGCTTGCATTGTGGCCGAAACGTCGTGAGAATTATTTTATTATGTTTATGTTTATTATTTTATTATTTCCCTTCTACGTGACTTTACCGAAAGAACCAAGAAGATGAATCCCTGCAGTCACGAAAGCTTTAAATCGAAACTTTACATATTCACCTGACCTCTTCAAGCATTCACCATTCACCTGACCCTCACCACTGTTTATACGATATAGTGGGTAGCTCATTGAAATGCAATGGCTCACCCCATCCCGGTATGCACCTCTCCCCAACAGCAGAAGCCGTATGATTTTCCGTTGTAGAATTTTTAAACGAGATTCTGGCACTCCCGTTACATATTGGGTCATTGGAAACTGTGGAGTGGCTTGAAAATCCTCATAGGTTAAGATATTTTCAGAAATTCGACCTTGCTCACGTAAACCACGTAAGCTTCAAACAGGGGTGTTAATTCTTGACTTAAAGCTTTCGTGACTGCAGTAATTCATACTGTTTGGGTCTTTCGGTAAAGTCACGTAGATAGAAAATAATAAATAATAAATCACGACGTTTCGATCGCAACACAAGCAATCGTCTTCAGGTGAAAAAATACAGCAGGCGGACTGCTGAGGCAAGAAGAAATATAGCGAGAGAGCGACTGCAGCCATAGGTTATGGGCTAGAGTTGGAATTTGCAAGTAAATGTAAGATCGCAGAGCTAGGTATACCTCGAATATTGTATTGCTAGAGATTAGCATGTCAATCTGTAATGTAACCCCACAGATTGATAATCTCTAGCAATACAATGGCCGAGGTATACCTAGCTATGCGATCTTACATTTACTTACAAATTCCATCTCTAGCCCCACCCACTTACCCTTGGGTTGTACCCATCTCAAACCTTCATCACCTTTGGCTGCAGTAGCTCTCTGGCTATATTTCTTCCTGCCTCAGCAGTCCGCCTGCTGTATTTTTTCACCTGAAGACGATTGCTCGTGTTGCGATCCAAACGTCGTGATTTTTATTTATTTTCCTATCTACGTGACTTTACCGAAAGACCCAAAAAGTAGGGGTGTTAATTGCTTAACATTATATTCTTGGGTCCAAGAATATGAAATCTTGCAGATTATGAATTCCTGCAGTCACGAAGATTTAAGTCATTGCTTAACATTGTGAAAGTCTAAAATATGAATGATTTTGCTAAACATTCTAGCGCCACCTAAAGCACGTGTCGAGCAGTGCATGCACGTGGACATGAGGAGGCCACATTTTGTAGCTGCGTGTTGCTTCGTGTAGCTCCTATCTCTCTATAGCCCCATCTCTCTTGCTTTTTTTCTCTCTGTCTTGTATCTCCTTCACTCAACGTTGTCTCCATTACTTTATTCAACTGTGTTACCCCCCGAATCAATCCTGACTTGCATTGGGGGGGTGGAGCTAAAAAGGAAAATGGAGGGGGCTATGCTGTAAAGGGAGTGACAAGACACACTTTATCCACGCCAGATATGTATTTGTTGCACAACCGCTTGGTCAGATGTGGACAAAGCAGTTGCAGGCGGTTAAGTTGTGCGATTTCGAGAACAGTTTGATCATGCGTCTGACTGGACTCGGCTTTGGATATAAAGTCACCTGTGTGACGTAAATGCCCCGGATGTGAAAGTCGGTCTTCAGGCTATGCGGGGTTGACGACAAGTAGAAGTAGATGGAGAGGTGGGTCGGGGCCACCTGCACAGCTGCTACTTGCTGGTTGAAGTGTGAGGACATGACTTGTTCACTGAGGATAGCCACATACTGCACAGCATTCACAGCCAACAGGTTTTTTCTTGAGCCCCACTGTGAAGGCACAAAGGGTGACACGCATACGATGGATGCACCACCGATTAGCACAGTTGGCTATGTACAGTGTGAAAGAAGTTCAACATACATACGTACGTACATACATGGGTAAATAAGGTAAAGGTGCAGCCCTGAAATGACTTGTTCATGCCACTTGCTGGCCTCCACTAGAGGAAGCTCTCAAAAGCCCATCTAGAGGGTATTTGACCTATTTTTCCATGCTGACCAGATATCTTAGGAGAGGTGGGATACCCACATTTTATCTCACCACACGCAACCTACTGATCGTCTGCGATGTACTCATTTATACTGCTGTGTGGACAGAGGTGAACATTAAGAATTAGGGGCATCACTAAAACGAATTATCACAAAGTATTTCTCAACCATGCAAGCCAGAATTAAGGTAAACACATAAAATATGTATGGTCTGATGAGGTTTCCTTGATTTATATATGTCCTGCTCCTCCTTCCACATACTTGATAAGAGGCACCCTGATAAAATGCACCAAATATAAATTATCAAACACATTTCTGCGGATTTAAAACAAGCCTAATTTTAGATCCACATAAAATATTTTAGCATTTTTTTCAAAGCCAAAAGTAATTTAATTATGAAGGCAAACTTACCAGGTTGTGGTTCTATGTTTCATCTCACATAATACTATAAAGTTGATTTACTTAATATTCCCCGACCCTATATTACCTTAATCTGTATGAGGTTTCCTGTCAGTTCTGTAGGGGTTTGCAGTTTCCATTTGTCTGAACTTTCAACATTTTCTGAAAAACGGGATCCCGGTTGTATTTTCTTCCACATAGATATTCGGCCTTTGTTTGTTCCACCAGCAAGCATGCCTGACGTTAAATTGAGCGCAGTTAAAAAGAAGCTTGACAACAAAATGAAAAATTCACAATATGCATGCTATATAATACACAGCTTTAGATACTCAAAAGCTTCTTCTACAAATACAAAGGCATTACATCAGAAAGTAAATACACCTTCACAAAATATAGTACCAACTGAGCCTATTTATATGGATTTTTTGTAAACATCCCCCATCCTCATGCCTGAGAACCCACTCCAGATTTAGTCCCGACCTCGGGTTATTCAAGTTGTTTTTGTATTTTTTTCAAATTTCATTCCAATATTATTATCGACGTAATTTCGTGAGATGAAGTATCCATTTGGAGGGCGTGCAGAACAGTGCAACCCAGTGTGTTAGAGAATGCTGCATGGAATGGGATTCTCACAGAACTACTTGAGATCCATTGAAGTGACATTTTTCTCAACACGTTCGAGGGTGCAATTTGATAGAGGACTCCCTATGCTCTTACAGCCAAACATACTTTACTGCATTACAAAACAGATATTTATTCATTCTTAAGAGCCGTAATTAAGTAAAAATGTGAAAAACGTATCTTATGGCTTTTTCTGCTACTACTACAAACTTACTACATTTGAGAACTTGGAATAATCACACATAGCTTAGTATGCCACGGTGGCGAGAAGGTCATGGGATCAATCCCAACCTTGACGACCTGTATCGAGTTTGCATGTTCTCCCTGTGGTTGCGTGGATTTTTATCCAGGCACTCCGGTGTTTTCCCTCCACATTTAGAAACATGCGTTTGGAGTAATTGGCTACTATAAATTTACACATGATATACCACTTCATTGAGATATCATTTAGTGAACAAGTCGCTTCTGACAGAGACTGTATATAGCTCAGCGTGCCTTACCTGTTAAAATAAATTTTTGTTGGTTTATCTGTCCCGTCTCTGTGGTCTAACCTTCGAGCCACCTGGCCACTTCCCAAGCATTTTTATCATTGGCTATTTCTTATATTCTTTAACGAGGCTTTTATTAGGCACTATATCCTGTGTATACGTGATTCATATATGCACATTTAACCACAAATATACATTTCCAGATATGCACATATATGCAGCATTACCTTTCGAAGGACAGTAAGATACACAGTTGATTGTTTCCCCTGGCTCAAATCCCACTGCCTCATCAAGCGCCAACACGTAGTTCTCATCTCTCTCGAGATCCCACAACCTGCCAGATTGAAATGACAAACAGTAATTGATTTTAAGTAACAATTAGCTACCATATTATTGCTGTCTCCATCAATATGAAAATATAAAAGAATACCTCGATAAACAATCATCATGAGATATATATAAGGCACTGTTAAAACACGATATGGTTAAATACACATCATATAAGATTTGAAGCTTTCGTGACTGCAGGGATCCATACTCTTTGGTTCTTTCGGTAAGGTCACGTAGGTAGAAATAAAACCAAATAAATCACGACGTTTCGGGCGCAACACAAGCGTCCGTCATCAGGTGGGAAAGCTTGTGTTGCGCCCGAAACGTCGTGATTTATTTTATACCTACGTGACTTTACCGAAATAACCAAAGAGTACACATCATATAATTATGATGCAAATACTATAACATGATCAATTCCAATCTACAATTATTTCCAATTAAATATATCGATTGTGTTTCTACAACCAAATCTGCTAAACGATGAGGACACAAATCATATACAATGCAGTGCCCTAAATACAAAGAATAAGAACTTGAGCAATAATGAAAGCACTTATGGAACCTTTCATTAGGCTTTAATTTACGCTTTTGCAATGACTGCTCACAAAGTGATGGCTTCAGATATCTGCGATGCATATGGAACCATACCGACCTTTTTGCAAACTCGTACAATGAAATTACATTAAAGATGAGAAAAGCTGAGACATGGTACGTTGTTTCTCCAGGATAGCACACCAGTTTACAAGGTCAATGTTACTTTGGCTGCCAATTACCAGACGTTTGTGTATTTATTTGAGTTTCTTTGTTACACGGATGCTCCCGTATGTTTGTATTTTAAGTTGCATGAATATGTATTACCTGCATGTGTTTCATATTATATAATATGTAATGCATGTGTACATGTATGATGCAATATTCATGTGAAAAAAACAACATGTGTAGAATATTGAGTATACCTTATGACAATTTCTCCAGTTGCTGTAACAAGCAATCCATGGTCTGCCCAAACTATGTCAGCTGAATGCCCAGCTTTCCCACTTAACTTCACCTACAAAAAGCAAATACATTTTTTTAATGAATAAAAGCATTCGCATCATTTATTCACACGAAATACATTTTCTTTAAATATTCAGACAGAGACAGCTGTAAAATATTAATAGGCTATTTGAGAGAAAATAAACTTTCCATTATGCTAGTGGTTTAACTTTCTGGCATGTCAAAGTGATTGTTGTAGAGATACAATACAGACTTGTTCTATTTTTGATGAGCAAACGGAGCCAAATGAAGCTGCTCACCCTAAAACGTATAAACAATCACAACATTTTAAGACACTTGCTCCATTTTTTATCTTCAATAATACTGTAATAGCCCAGCTTACGTTGGAGGATGCGTTCCTCAAAGGTACGATGACAAGTATCAAAACGACGTGGATAAAAACAATTTTCACGGTAGGCGGAGGCGAAGGTTGAGGCGACGAATACAAGAAAGGACGGATGATGCTGTCAGTGACTTAAGTGAGGGCTGTGGTGGCGCAAATCAGGTAGTGGTGTTAATAAAGTGACGATGTATTTGCCAAACGACGGAAAAGGGGGAGACGTCAATCGGGGTATTATTAGAGTCTCCCACAGGTGTATCGTTCTCTTAGATTATATTTGTAGTTTCACTGTAAATTAAAGGTATTCATTTTTACCAGATCTTCCAAATTGTACATCAAGTGACCCAAAAACAAGTCCAAGTGGCCCTATCATGAACGATTCATAGATTTGCCCCCTCGTTAATTATTGAAGAGCAAACAACCTGCACATCATGCCTAAATCAAATCAGATGGCAACGTGAAATGATGATATATGCGAGCTGGGCCAGTGAATGGGAGATGCCTGCCACAAGCTAATTAAAATGATTTAAACCACGTGTAAATAAAATAATTAATGGAATGTCCAAACACAGTTCTTTGTATAAACAGTATTCCCGAGGTGTATTTATTACAATTTCTGCTTCACTTGTATACAAAATACGTATTAATGCACACATTATTCATTAAATGATAATTATATTCCGATGGTAACAAGCACTTGCACAACAGTATAGCTAGGATTATTAGGGTTTAGTGGAATATCCAAGACAAAACGTGTTTATTTTTAACATTTGGGTAAAGTATAAAAAGTAATTAGAACTCTACAATGTCGTCTCTAATTTGGTATCTTTAATTGCCTTTATTGTGGCAACTTCTGAATGCCAGACACAATTGCCGTTGACTTACATGAGTTTCAGGTCACAAACCTCAGTGCGCTAGTGTTTCCTTCAGAACCAAAAACATATAACTGTCAGCCTCATATCTCTGCAATGAAGGATGGCTGAGCAATATTTTCCACCCAAATTAATACCGGAGACAAGGTACAACAGTCCCACAAGAGCTTGGATTGTACTGCGAAATAGCACGAGAGTCACGGATATACGCTGCTCTTTTAGCCACTACGCCCCCACCCTCTGTAACTCCCTCCCAAGGAAACTCCATCTGGTGCCATCTCTGATTTCCAGTCTCTCTTCTACATTGCTATTCGTGTTCTTCGTACTCCTTCATTATTTCCTTTCTCTCTTTCCTTGTTCCTTCTGTTACCTCCTGCTTTTCCAATATAATTGTTTGGCTCCGACACGTTTGTTACATTAACACATTCCTGCGGAGGGAGCTGGTAGGAACGTTGGGTTGCTCGGTCAATGGCCAGGGTTAACGGCGGCGTGGTGTATTCCGCAAATATGCCCGACTGTGAGGGCGGGCACAAGCCGGCGTGAGTAGGTTAAACGAGTTTTATAAGGGCACCACGGGGTGACCAGCCCCTCCCACCCCCCACCCAGCCCCACCCTCCCCACCCAGCCCCTTCCCACCCTCCCTACCCTCCCCACCCAGCCCCTCCCTGCACGATGGATGGACGGACACAATAATCCCCTGTGGGCTGGTGTAACCAGGAGGTTCCTACCAGTATAAATGTAAGTTGGATTGTTAAAGCATTTTCTAAGAGATAATTTAGCATCACTCGACAGTGCTGGTCCAGATGTCTTGTGACCCATATTTAATTCTCTAAAACTTGATATTTTTTCAAGGTGTATTTAAAACACTAATGAATATGCACAGGATACACATGTTAGCGGAAAATTAATTGGGGGCAACAACACATCTGGACCACCCTGTATCTTGACTGTACCAGTTGAGCTGTGGAAACACAATGAATAATGAACACCCCATGGAAATCTCAGCAACAATGAGCAAAGCCTTGCAGTTTGGATACCAGTGACAATTTATCTCATCATTCACCGCATGCTAATTTTAATTATGGCTCATAACTCCTAATCCATGTTCCGCACCTCCGATTAGCATGGTTGGCTAGGTATGGTACAAAATACATCCATACAGACAAGTGGGGGCATACTTCGATTGCTCAAATTTAAATTGTCATTGTGAAAGAACAAGGCAAACAAATGTTATTTATTCAGTTTAAAGATAAAATTACGCTCTCAAAGCTGATAGAATTCCAATTTCAGTGGATATTCCTCAGACCCCTGAGGGTTAGGGGAAACCTTCCAACTCGTCACCATTACAGTGGCATGGGATCATCAACTTTAATACAGATGAGATACCCTATGATTGCCAAACGAGGATGACCTGACTGGCAGGTGAACAATGCTTCCGCTGGATTAACTCGTTTTAACAGCTTGGTTTCCAGATGTATTAAATTATTGACGTTTGACGTGCTTGCTCTTAATTGGCTGTTTGTGCACATGCCAGCCCCATTCCACAGTTATCAATTACACGACACCCAGAAGCTCCATCGCAAGTACAATGGTAGTTTGCATAAACTGTTTTGAGTTTGCGGAGGTGGAACGAGCTGCAAAAGATTGCTGAAGCTGATGCAAGCTGCCCAATATACTTGTGTAAAGTCCATAGTGTGTATGTAAGGAGATAATGGAAGTTAATACAAAGTTTGGTCAGGCCAATAAACAAAGTGACTGCTGTGTTTATTCAGTAACTTGTGATAGAGAACTCTAAGGCACTTGAAAACCCAAACGTTCACAATATTCTGCTTGCTGTGGAAGCTTCAGACTCAACAAGCCAATCTAAGGTAAGCTACAGACAACTAATAAATTGGCAGGAAAATTGCTCCATACGAACTTACGTTGTCACGTGTTTAATATGTATGTTGAACTTCTTTCGCACCATACGAAGCCAACCGTGCTGATCGGAGGTATGATAAACTTGCACGTGTACATATGCCCTGTTCAATTTTTGAAAGTCTTACCTTCATTATTTCTTGGACAGAACCATCAGAGTTCACGCAGTACTGGGAAAGAACAAGTGATTCTGTAATAATAACCAGTACATCCTTTCCCTCTGCAAACATCATTTTTCTTATCGGGCCATCGCATGATAACACTTGGGAGTAATTTCCACTGTCATCGATGTAGTACACCAAACCTGTACACAGTGACACGAACGCATAGCAGTCATCTCAAATTAAATTAAGCATGTGTTTAAAAACGAGTGTGAACCCCCCACACCCCCCAAATTCTTCACTTCAATTTAAACGTCCCAGGAATACATGAAAGGCACTTGCTCCATATACGAATTTCGATTGTAGTAAATGTAATATCTGTTGCTGAAATACATTGTGCTAATCATCAACCAATCAACCACAAGTTAATAACTGTACACCTTGAGAGTATGGTTAAGGCTCTTGAAACCATATAGTGTGAGCTGCTCTTTGCATAATGCTGTATTAGTAGTGGTCCTGAAAGTTTCTTTTTGGAGATGGTTGGATGGCTTGTATTCGCAGACTACAGAGATTATTACCCTCATTACCCTTAAACGGTGCAATAGCTGATGCCTGATCTGGCAGAAGTTGGTGTGGGGAGATCAGCAATGTTCATGATGACCTCTTTATACTTGATGCCTGTTGATAATGCTGATATAGTTTAAAGTTGCCAATTTTTTTTTACCTAATCTGTACTGTTAAGATGTTTAAATGTTTACAATTTTTTGTTGAGTAGTGTAGTTTTCATCTAGCAGTCTCCTTTTTAAGGGAAACTTGAGCTTGAATATATTGCAAATCTCTTCAATAGATCTTATGTCACAAGCTACATGAGTACATTGCTGTAATGTAAGTTGGAGTATTAAGCAGATGTTTAACAGAAAAACAGGACTCTGGAACAGAGAAATTCCCAAATTCCACGTGTATATGTGTAGAAGGTGTAGTGGGTGACATCACGTCACGCTCGCCCTCGGAGAGAGTGGCGTCGCAGAACGTGACGTCAGGCGGGCCGTGGGGGATGGTGACGTCATGCCCCTAGGGGGGTATTTAAAGGGGGACCCGGGATGTAACCGGGGGTCGTCAGGGGTGTAGGCGTGGGGACTCGGCTAGTTGATCCTCACACGAGGCGAGGGGAGGCTACTCCGCCGAGGTTGGGGGTAGTCTCGGGCCGGGGCAGGGAGGAGAGCCGAGTTAGCCGGGGTGTAGGGATCCCAGTACCCGGTCCTCTGGGGAGTTATCGGCAAGGGGGGTTTTTGGTTCGGCGTAAGCCCTTAACAAACCTGGCGTAAGCCCTTAATAAACGTGGCGTGAGCCCCTAACAGCAACCTGCCTCTGAGTCGTGAATTGCGCCACAACATACGTAAGACAGAAGTGCCACCTGGTGGCGGACATGGATTGGGCTTCACAAACAGTAGTTTTATATTACCATCAGCTGAACTGAGAAAAAACGCAATTCCTTCTTGAGAATTGATCGAGGCGGCTGATCCAGGCTTGTTCGACTTATTCCAGTTGAACATGTCCAAGGCACTTTCATCAGCCGTTTACAGCTGCTCGAGCAAACCGAGCCAAGTCACTGGTAAAACGGGCACATCAGTCAAACAGGTCTGTCATCCTTCTCGAGTAGACATGAGGCGGTGATTAATCTCTGCTTGTCGCCCCCGATGTGGGGACAAAAAATTCCACATTCGTTTTTGTGGATCTGGGGGCAGTTTTAGCACAGGATAACCACTACATAACCACAAATAGAAGATGACTGAGCCAATTATTAAGTCAAATACTCAGACATTTTGTTATCTGTCGTGATTGATTAGCTTGTGATATAGTTTCCCAAAGAATTAAATTGCCTCATTTCAGTTGCTAATACTGTACGAAACAATTAAAATGTGAAATACACAACCGCTTCTCAGAGTGCATTTCAGATTGGTGGTAACTTTTACCTAGGACATTTTTAAAAGTTAAAACAACTTTTTGCGTATGTTTTGCAAATTTCGAATGTTTATTTTCAGCTTCACAATCGGAAAACGTTTGTCGCAGTTGACATAAGTAACTCTCCATTTTACAAAATATACATTGTGCTATCTTGTCTGAATACATCTAACTTTTAATCCTCCCCCCCTGCGAAAAGAACCCCGTTTAATTCAATCAAACAATGTGGTGAAACATGCACCATAATACTTACTCTTCAGATTTTCCTGGCCTGAAAACACAATGCGAGAGAGCCTTTTCCAACTCGAGTTTGAAAAAAATATTTCCATGAAATTTCCCTCGCTGGTCGACTCTCCAACAAATGACAAGTCCACCCTGTTAAAAAATAAGTAAAACGATGTTACTGTTGCTGTAACTACACATTACAAGACGATTTCTTTATCATTGTAAATTGATAGCCATAAGCCAAATGTGTAGATGTTATTTCAAACAGTATTATCCAATATAAATAATCTTTATATTTGGTATATAGATCTAGTAGTCACTTTTGTTGGGTTAAATGCATCCATATTCATGATCTATTTCAAGTACACATCACCAAACTCTAGTAATGAAGCCAATGTAAGGACAACTATAAGTCAAAGCAATACAGTAATTACAACCGTGTGAATGTACTTCATTTTTAAGGTGTTGCCACATTACCCTGTCTGCAGAAATCAGGCGAGTTCCATTGCTGCTCCATTGCAGCAGAGCGATGTCGGTACTGTGCAGTGCTTGAGCCTTTTGCGTTTCTTTGTCGAGCTCGTTATACACAAAGACCTCTCCAGTCTCCCAACCCACAGCAAGCAGCGGTCTACTTGGGTGCCAGGCCAAAGCCGTCGGCAAATAGGCTCGTGAAATAACATCTCCTGAGCACTCTCCCTGAACGTGAAAGGAAATCGGTCAAACAGCACGATTGTTTTGTGGTAGTGGAAACAATAGGCTGCTTGCACTTTAAACATTATAAGGAAGGCACTCGCAAAGTCTCGCAACATATCGCTTTATAAGATAGTTTGTATCTGTAATTATAACAAAAGAACAATACATTGTAGTGGTACTCGAGTCACTGACGTGAGCAATAACACAACATGTGAGCAACACTAAATGAAAAAACAAATGCAGGAGAAAATGCAAGCTGTAAATGTATCTGCGATTATTTTAACACCTGTATTCGGATCCATAATTTTGTACATCACGGAATGCAGACTGTTACATTTATATTCCTCATGTTTTTGTCAGAACTCTTATTAGTAGTCAAATAAAACCACTGTATTCACGTTATCGCACATTAGAGACATTTAAAAATCAGATGTACTCATTTGACAGCAGTCTTATCCTTTTTGAATTAAAACTTTCATGACTGCAGGAATTCATGATCTTTGGTTCTTTCGGTAAAGTCACGTAGATAGATAAAATAAAAGTAAATAAAAACTACGTTTCGATCGCTTGTGTTGTGATCGAAACGTCATAGTTTTTATTTACTTTTATTTTTTCTATCTACGTGACTTTACCGAAAGAACCAAATAACATTCTTATCTTGTTTGGCTTAACAGAAAAGTGCCCTTGCTAATATTTTATAAACTTAACAAACGTATTTGCAAAAGAGCAATGCATAACATTTATAGTATGCGATATAAACATACCTCTTGGGTAAAAACCGCTACGCTTCCTCCATTGCCAACAGATGTAACAGCTAGCACGGGATTGATGTTGTGCCAAGATATCTGAGATGGCGTTTGCGTCTCATCATGAAGCTTGATCTTTTGATCAAAATATACCGCCATGGAGAAAAACGATCATTCGTATGCTGCGAATAAAATTAGAACAATTACTTTCGGCTTATTGCAACTCTCAACACCCATAGCAAAAAACAAGTCGCCCACAAAAACCTGCACACACACTCGCGTACGCAAGTCTTATTTTTCGCTCCGCAGTATCCTCGCTTTTTGTTCAACCTTCCTTCAATCTGTACATTTACTTATATTTCAGGGTGCAATTACGGTACTTCCAATTAAGCATGGGCAGAGGTCGCAAACGGGTTTTGATTCCATACCCGTACCCGGCTGCACCAGGGTCGCAAACGGGTACCCGTGCCCGGCCGGGTACGTGTACCCGGGTATCGGGTAGGGTACGGGTATCGGGTACCCTTTTATCTGGCAACAAAACTGACACCTTTTTTTACAAGGAGTCATGTTTGCATTGACCACAATACCTGCGGTCGGAATGCAAGCAAAAAAACACAACTCTGATAATGTATGCAACTGGTTTTGAAATTGATTGGTCCACAACCGAGACAGCTCCTTGTAAAAAAATTAACCCGTAAAAACAAAGTTTTTCACTATAAATTCTTTATATGCGTGGCGGCTAGAGTCCTCTCGTCCTCTGGCTTGAGATGGCTGCCACCTATGGGTCAGATGATTGCCTGCCACCATTAAGCAGTTGGTAGTTAAATATAATTTATTTTTTCCTAAAAAGTGTAACATTTTGGAAAAAAAATTCTCACGAAAATAGATTGTCACGCACGAGTCTGTGTGCAAAATGTCAGCTCGATTGGATCACGGGAAGTGGGTTAAAAAACTATCGAAAGATTTGCACGGTCCTAAGCAAGCAAGCAAGCAAACTTAATATAAAGGATTTAAAAAAATAACCCGTAAAAACAAAGTTTTTCACTATAAATCCTTTATGCGTGGCATCGGTTTTATTTTATTATTCATTTCTGATTTTCTTGAGTAAGAGTTTCATTTTATCACATTGGTATTTTAAATGAAATATTTTTTTTTCCCTAAAAAGTGTAAAATGTTGGAAAACATTTTTCACGAACATTAATTGTCACGCACAACGAGTCTGTGTGCAAAATGTCAGCTCGATTGGATCACGGGAATTGGGTTAAAAAACTACCGAAAGATTTGCACGGTCCTAAGCAAGCAAGCAAGCGAACTTAATATAAAGGATTTAAAAAGGTGTCAGTTTTGTTGGCAGATAAAAGGGTAAAAAAAACAATTAACAACAGTACAGTACAACAATTGATGTTGCTTGATTGCCCACAACGTAGTCGTCTATAACATGTCTTGAGCGAGATGATCGCCTCACCTATCCAGCTTAAATGTCTACTTCGCTTCCGAGCGATGTGATTGTGGCCCTGCACAACGCAACAAATACACTACTGTGAAGCCCATCAAATGCATTTGCTGCGGCACATTTTTAAGACGAGGTTTGCTATTTAGACGCTACATTAAATAGAACATTGCGTGTAACATTTAATTTGGCTTCAAGGCGACGCTGAAGCCTATAGCGTAGGCCGCAAACAGCGCACCGCGTTCATATGCAGCTCAATCTCGTCCGTCGCGCCACGGCAAATACATAAAAGAGAATAAGCACAACCGAGCCTCCCCCTCTTCTTCACACATTTGCATCTTAACAATTCGTGTTTAAATGAAGAAAGGGAACTTGTGTGGCAGAGACCCGCACTCACTCTGCGCGTTGTACGCCGGTGGCGGTTGCCGTGGTAACGGCACCCGAGCGTTTTACGGAAATTGCCGAACCGCCTCCGGCTCGGGGAGGTTGATGGTTACGGAAATTGCCGAATAGCCTCGGCTGGGGAGGTTTCGATGATGGTTACGGAAATTGCCGAACGACCTCGGCGAGGGAAGTTTCAAGTTCAAGTTCATTTATTAGGTATAGCCCTGTGAGCCATTCAGCTCTTGAATCGGGTGCAACCGCAACAAACAAAAAACAAAACATGAACAAAAAAACATCTTAAAGTGAATATGTGACTAAGTGCAAACAGAAAATCCAAGAAAAGACAGCAAAAAATATTGCAGAAAAAACACCGTACACCAACGCTGTGTGCAAAAATCCCAGTGGGATGCAAGTCAAACAACAACAACAACCACAAGACAACTTAGATTAAGGCCATCAGTCTAACTCTGTACTACAACAACACAAACATGGCTAAACCAATACACTTTTCGAAATCACCAAAATAAAGCCATGAAGGCAATGAAAAAGCAATCATAGGAACTGACGGAATTTTCACAATAAATGGCATAAACAACATGTACTACCAAAACCCTGCAGCCATAGCTGGCTGCATGAGTCACTCCACAACAGCAGGAGCATCAATCGGAGTATTGTAATTTTTCAATGCACCTTTAAGATCAGCACACTAAATCAAAACACAGGTCATACTTTGTAGCGATCATCCGGAGCGAAACATTTTATTTTAGGTCACTGAATAGCACTGGCAGCTAGGGGTGTACAACTCCTCTAAAGCAGTTTTGAGTGAAGATCTCATAGGTAGTGACTCAAGTTTCAATTTATTTGCAACAGCATTCCAGACCCTGGGGGCATCAATAGCAAAGGCCCTTCCTCCAGTATATGTACGGCAATAGGGAATATTAAGCTGGTAAATGAGTGTAGACCTTAGGTCAAATTTGTTCTTTGAAACAGAGACGAGATCCAGCAGGTAATCTGCAGATTTTTTTGCAAGTACATCATGAATAAATAAGATCTGGTGCACAAGCCGTCGAACATTCAGAGATGTTAAGTTTGACGGAAATTACGGAAATTGCCGAATAGCCTCGGCGAGGGAGGTTTCGATGATGGTTACGGAAATTGCCGAATAGCCTCGGCTGGGGAGGTTTCGATGATGGTTACGGAAATTGCCGAACGACCTCGGCGAGGGAGGTTTCGATGATGGTTACGGAAATTGCCGAACGGCCTCGGCGAGGGAGGTTTCGATGATGGTTACGGAAATTGCCGAACGGGCTCGGTTCGCGAGGTTCTTAACCGTTTGAACTAAAATTTGATTTAAAGCTTTCGTGACTGCAGGGATTCATATTCTTGGTTCTTTCGGTAAAGTCACGTAGAAGGGAAATAATACGTAACAAAAATTGTTGTTTTATATTTTTATTATTTTATTATTTCCCTTCTACGTGACTTTACCGAAAGAACCAAGAATACGTTTGAACTAAATCATGTTATTGACCTGCCTTTCTCTAATCCGCGTGTCCATCTATCTCCAATGAATTCCAAGTGCAGTATCTCGAATACATTCTTTCAATGCGAACTTTTCAGTTCCTTTTTCATTTTCATAAACGTCTCCAACCGAGTTTTTTCGGTTTATAAACAGAGATCGGCATCACGAAGACTGTCATAGAGAGATGATCCAGTATGATTGCACTCGTATTGTTAACGTGTTTGCTATATTCTTGGTTCTTTCGGTAAAGTCACGTAGAAGGGAAATAATAATAAAATAATAAAAATATATTTAAAATCATAAAATAATTTTTTTTTACATTTTTTTTATTCTCCCTTCTACGTGACTTTACCGAAAGAACCAAGAATATGAATCCCTGCAGTCACGAAAGCTTTAAATCAAAATTTAACGTGTCTGCTGTTATATACAGAGATATACCCTGTACAAATCCCACCACACTTATCAAATTATTGCCCAAAACCTGGCGAAAGATAACGTCCGTGTTTGTGATCCATTTGTCTATGGCAGGCTGTATGTACAGTATTTAAAAAAACACACACTTTGCTGGCCAAACATGTTTTGAATGCGTTACAGAACCCATGCGTATGCATGATTATTATTCCTCCTTCATTTGTTCAGCCTTTCCGGCCCTTTAGACTGCTGTCAACCCCTAAAGTGTCCTCATGTGCTACCGTGTACAGATAACACATTTCAATTGCTTCACATTCAGTGGTAGGTCCAAGAGGAGAGGGGGTAGGGGCGATTAATCTCCCCCCCCCCCCAGTTTAGATCCTGAATGTTGGTATTTTATTGATATTTACCGGACAAAATACATAGAGAAAATGTTTGTAGGGCCCGGTTAAAACAAAATCTGGACGTCTCCCCTCCCTGGGAAGTTTATATATCAGCCTCCGTTTAAATGTAAAACTATACTACTTTACACCGTCATATGTGCAACAATTCAAGTTCAATTGAGTGGATCACTTGCCGCAAGGTGAGGCGTTAATCACTCGAAAGGTACCGGGAACGTCAATGGCAACAGATTTATTGTCATTTCTAGAGTTTGTCCGCCAGAGGGGGCCACAACTCATTACAGTATGTGCAATGCCACTCCTAAACCACCAAGCAACGCGTCAGCGTGTAAATCATCATAATCAGACATTGGAACACATTCCTGCGGAGGGAGCTGGTAGGAACGGTGGGTTGCTCGGTCAATGGCCAGGGTCAACGGCGGCGTGGTGTATTCCGCAAATATGCCCGACTGTGAGGGCGGGCACAAGCCGGCGTGAGTAGGTTAAACGTTGATTTTATAAGGGCACCACGGGGTGACCAGCCCCTGCCCACCCAGCCCCACCCCTCCCACCTCTCACCCAGCCCCACCCTCCCCAGCCAGCCCCTCCCCACCCTCCCCACCCAGCCCCTCCCAACCCTCCCCTCCCCACCCAGCCCCACCTCTCCCACCCCCCACTCAGCCCCTCCCTCCCCACCCAGCCCCTCCCCACCCTCCCCACCCAGCCCCTCCCAACCCTCCCCTCCCCACCCAGCCCCACCCACCCCACCCAGCCCCTCCCTCCCCACCCAGCCCCTCCCTGCGCGACAGACGGACACAATAATCCCCTGTGGGCTGGTGGAGCCAGGAGGTTCCTACCAGTATAAAGACTTCCATAAGACATACTATTCAGGTGGTCATTGCAGGGAGCAATACATTCAAAATTTAATCGATACAATTGCGACTCAACCACATTGAGCCACAGCAGAAATGAGTAACTAAGAGCCACGTGTTTTTGTCAATAAAGCATCAGTCAGTTGTCAACATCCACTGAGTAAGTCCTCCCCACATCGTATCGGTCACCGAAGTTGTTTGACTATAACTTCACCGTGCTGTTCGGTGTGGATTGTTGAGACTGCAGGGGTGCCCAGAATCGATTCACATGTCACACGCCACTAATGTTGGAGGTAACTGAGAGGGCACATGCATGGGTGAGATTGGAGGAGAGATGAAGGCACGGAGGAATCCGTGGAGGATCGAAAATTGTGAGGGTAAATCGCTTGGAGCCAATGGAGGGATATCAATATTGAAGCCATGTGGTGTTTACAAATGATAGCGTGACATTTATTTTACATTAGATATATTTGCTGAGTTTCATTTTTACATTGTAGACATTTTGGAGTTTTGCTAAATGACCGGTCGGCAAAGCCCTTACCAATCTGCGTTTCTCTACCTCGTTTAATTTTATGCGTAATCCGCTCTTGGTCCGTCCATCAGCATGTGTCATTCATTTAGCATCATGGCTATGGAGCACAATGAGCTGAAGTTGAATTGAACACGGCGAACTTTGCTAAATGGAGTTAACATGAGCAAGGAGATGGTAATAAGTAAACCCGTAAAAACAAAGTTTTTCACTTTAAATCCTTTATATGTGTGGCGGCTAGAGTTCTCTCGTCCTCTGGCTTGAGATGGCTGCCACCTATGGGTCAGATGATTGTCTGCAGTATTAAACAATTGTAATTAAATATAATATTTTTGTCCTATAAAGTGTAAAATTTTGGAAACATTTTTTCACGAACATTAATTGTCACGCACAACGAGTCTGTGTGGAAAATGTCAACTCGATTGGATCATGGGAAGTGGGTTAAAAAACGACCGAAAGATTTACACGGTCGTAAGCAAGAAAGCAAGCACGCAAGCAAGCAAGCGAACTTAATATAAATGATTTAAAAAGGGATCGACTATGCATAACACCTGGCTGAGAAAAGACCAGGTAATTAGTGCAGAATATATTCCAACCATTGTAGCAATGGTGTACCTTCTGTTCATGATAAAATGCCTTGAAATGGCAACTAAATAAGGGGCATCTTGCGTGTGGACATGACTACTGTGGAGTTGACCATAACTGATAACAAAAAAAGTACATTTGTTAAGAATGTTGTCAACATCACTTGGCTTAAACTCACCCTGTGATGTTATTCCGGCCGTGTTGGATGGTGCAGTGGGAGAAGATGATGTTTAACGGCTCCTTACGCGAGTTACGTCTAACTTAAACTGCTTCGATTACTCTGAGCTATGAGCCACTTTCTGTTACCACATTCATGATAACAGTAGCTTTCCAGATTTGCGAGAAATTTAGAGATAATTTCCTGTTCTCAGCCTCCAGGTGCTGTTGGCTTGGTACCACCTGATGAAGTACTGTAATAATAACTTTTATGATATTCAACTATTATGATAATTAGTGATATTGAGTTTGCATTCTTAAATCTGACAGGACGGCCTCATGAGGTGTGAAAAAAAGTTTTTTTAATCAAATGTGATAATTATTTGGTTGTACTGTATATATTGCTCATGAGTCGTGGATAACAAACGTAGCATTGCATGTTTTTTTTGTGTGAGAAAACACGATCACGCATTGCAGACACACTTCCACAGGTGGCTTATCTCCCACGCTCGAGCAATGGGAGGTCTGATCAGAGGTGTGGACTCGAGTCATGTGACTTGGACTCGAGTCAGACTCGAGTCATGAATTTGATGACTTCAGACTCG